TAAACAGTCTTTACTATGTGCTGTTGAATCGTCGCATCATATCTCGCGCCACACTGGTCCATATTCTGCCCACTTCCGGAAGCCTATTGTTGCGTAAATCAAGTTAGTCCTAAACTGAAAAGCTTCGATTCAATAGCTTCTTGTAATTCGGGACTTACCTAGCGACATAAGTACTTGATCTCCGAAAGAAACTCCATCCAGGAACATGCTGGTCATGCCTTTCCCGCTCAACGCCCGGTAACATGCATACAGCAAATTGGCAATGGTTGCGTCTCGGGCAAGGCCAACATCTGCTCCATCATAGATCGATGATCAGTCAAATCCGTTTAAACTATGGATACAATAAAATTGCCGTTATAGCCATTACAGTGAAAGTTAAAACGCAGAGCGAGGGAACTTACCTCTAATACAAATGCATGTAACTCCTCCAACATTGTCATTCAACGACCCCGGCCATGGAATATCAGTTGCCGCCGGGCTTTGTTGGCCAGGGATGTAAGTGATGGCCGTAGCTACTATTGTATCATCATTGTCAAAGCCAACGACAATATCGCCTATATGTTCGCTCTGTATTGTCCGCGCGTACTGATCATACCAACCGAAGCCGTGACTAGTTGTTGCAGGTGGCCGATGTTCAATATCCAGTACTTGCTGCGCATCTGATTCATAGCACTGCCTGTATCCTAAGCCAGAATAAGGAATCATAACGCCTGTCAAATCCGTAAAATGGAGAATCCAGTCCGCGACAAGGCCACCCTGGTCCCCGCGCCCTTGCATGTTGACAGGCCAACCTTTTCTAGCAAACCACTGGCTCGCATCGGCCATCTCAGCAGTAAAGCCACAGAGCAGTCGAGGAAACGTCGATCCTAGATGTAGTTTCTGCACGCCTCTGACTCTGCCGAACTTACTCATTGCCGCATCGTAGAGCGAAGAGCCAACCCCCTGCCTTCTGTATTCAGGATGGACAACGACGGCGGCAATGGAGCCTATTAGAGCAACATCAGAACTGTCTGCAAAGGTTGCGTAAGCTGCGCAAAAGCCGATCAACGCCCCTCGCGTTGACTCTCTCACGACATAATGCAGCGCATATCCGTCTCTCTTCAAGAGGGATCCGAGAGTAGCTGGGTTGAGATGGAATTGGTATGGGAGGCATGCCTGCCAGAGGGCGCATGTTTCCATCAAATCTCGCTCGGCAGCCCAGGACTGTACTAGCCATGCAGGTTCGGCATCTAATCTACCTTGGGTATCCGCGGGCATTGGTAGCCCTGGATCACTGTCGAGTAGCAAGGTGGCTGCAACTAGCAAATCGGCATTAGTGTATCCAGCAATGTGCACCAGAGTCCGGAAGTGAGCGTTGGAAATGTTTCGTCCTGCTAGATTGCAGCAGACAAGAAGTATGAATGGCCGTGATTCACATATCCGTGCAACAAGCTCGGCAAATTCCAACTGAAGCAAGTTGTCGGTGCCGGCCAAATGCGTGATTACAAAGATCACAGCCCCTGCTCTTTTAACAAAGGCCACATGAACGCCGGTAATGCCTTTGGCTTTGGTATATGGAACATGGCGTATCGGGATATTTCGGCAGGAAATCGTTTGCCCGAGAATCTCAAAGGGATCTCTGTCATCTGCTGGATTGCTTCCCGCCGGGGGCACCACGACAGGGGTCAAGAGAAGGACAGGCTTGTCTCTGGTAGGAATCTGTGTGAGGGGGATACAGTTCTGGTAATCCCACAGTACTGTACCGATTGGCCTCTCTGAACTTCCTGAGGGGTAAAAGCCGGGTGCATTTTCCGCAGGCCAGTATGTTCCGGTAGACATGTTGTTTCCTAGAGCATGTTGGTTGTGGGAAGCAGCGAGAATAGTGCCCTTTGTATCCTACAATTTTCAAGAATAGCTCTCGAGTGCCCACGATGCGAATATGTAGAAAATTCGGCTTAAGCTGTGCCGAGCTCAGTGAATGCACAAACTAGGGTGTGAATCAAGAAATAGGGAAGGTTTCTGCTGCTCTCGCGATGTGACAAATACTTGAAAGACTTGATTTGATATTCCAGTTTGTGTAACGAACAACAATCTGGATCTAAGAGAGAAATAAATGTGATCCACGGACATTTGTCAGGGCAATCTTGCTGGACAGTGTATCATCCTGCAATAAAGCTAGGATAGCGACCCATATTCCATCGCCAAGGCTTCTCCTACGGTATCAGCTGGAAAAAAAGAACCCGCACCGGCAAGCTCCATGTTTGTGGAGGGCCATATACTCCGTACAGTATGCTGCATATGGTAGCCCTAATCTTGCCATGGGCACAACGATTGGGCTGGGCAAGGGGCAGGGGATGATTCGATGGGCTGCAAAAAGCTTCATATGACTAGGGTAAGATAATGTAGGGATTATTTTCATGTGGGGGTCTCTTAGAACTTGCCGTGGTCATGCTTAAGCATCCCAATACGCCTAAGACGTGGCAAGAAGGCAGACTTCCGATCCACCTTTGGCTAGATGTCTGACCACTTGGGCTTAGACAAAGATGGGGGCCGGCTTGGGGATTACTACCAAAGTATGAAATCCCTCAGCCTGGGTAATTCTTTGCTTCGCTGGCACTGGGTCAATAAAAGGGATGAGGCCACCGCAAAAAGAAGAAATAATACACGGGCTGAATAGTGGTAAAGGTACGAGATGATCCACACGTACGGCCAATGAGTAAATGCATATGTACGTCAAACCGAGAAGGTATTAGGGCAAGAATGGTTTGAAAGCAGGGGCCTGGGAGGCTGTTTGACGCATGAATCCACAGAGCGTATGCATATTGAATGGCCACTAGAACTGTCCGTATACCAGACAGTGCGCAAGGCGTGAGAGCCGGCCAGTATGCGGCCAATCTGGGGTGGCAAGAATGCAATTGAGAGCCAGGTAGGGCAAGAAAGTAGTAGCGGTAATATCCATGTATTATTCGATAAGAAGCATATGGAGGAGGTTACTCCTGGGCTTGGCTGATTTTTTTGCTGCCATGCTCTGGGTCCGCTCGGATGGAAGTTGCATGGGATAAGAACTACCCAACAACCACCGAACGGTCAATGTGCTTTTCCATCTAGGGCAGATCTTGAACACCCAACAACGAGTCAAGACTAGGGCGTAATATTTTTTTTGGTTGCTCTATTCGGATGCAGTGACAGGCAGCCCCGGTTGGGGGCCAGTCAGGCAGTGGCTCTCAGGATGGCGATGTCCGCTCCACCAGTCCAGTCTGACGAGATTCGAGTACTAGAGCAGGTACGGGTCGATGAGATGACTTCTGATAGGCCTCATGGTCAAGTCTATGATGGTGTCAACATGTGATGCAACTCAACTACTTGCATGTGCTTCTGCTTTTGCTCGTTCGAGGCCAATCGAGAGAAAAGCCATGGTGAGTTCATATCGGGCCTAGCGTTGGCCCAATATGCCGGAATGATGGGTCCGGCAGCGGGAAGGCGGGAGATTCAAGGATCGACGCGAGCCAACAGTCCAAGTTGTAGCGCGCTTGTGTTATGTGCAGGCATCGCGGCTCGAGTCAGCAGCGGGGGTTACGATGTCAAGATTGGGTTGTGAGATTTCCCTTGGTGGTTTGGAAGTTCTGTTAGGTATGCCTACCTTTTGGTGCTTAGTAAAGTACCATAGCACGAGGAAGGTGCATTCGTTTGGAGAACTGCGAAAAAAATACCAACTCAGTACGTAACGAGGGTGCAGAAGTGAGGCAAGCGCACCCCAATAAGCGCCATTGGCAGAATGCGGTCTATATAGAGGTACCTTATTACCTAAAAGTACCTCTACATGCAAGTAGAAGAACACCTCAAGTGCTATCATGACAAGCAGAAGCTGCAGTTAACTGCTCCTGTACTCTTCTTAGAGGCGATTAATCCACCAAATGCTACTCCGTACTTTGGACGCGAATACCTGCAAGTCAAGCAAAATGCGAACTAGCGCTACCTAATTATAACAATCCATCCCTTTGAATAAACTAATGGATCTTTCTTAATGCACAAATAAGCATACCTACCCAGCAGGTAGATGGACATGTCATAGTAAATTGAACCTGGGCTGCTATAAACATTGAAACGGCCCCTTTATTGAGTCAGTTGTTGGTTCTGGGATTGGACAACACAGCATCAAGCTTGTAAAGTACCTGCAGTAGCCCAATAAGACCGTGCCAACACCGCCACGCCGGGACCATCAAGGATGTTACACGGCCTCCATTACAGGATGAGACAAGATTACCTACAGATCTTAGGCCTGAGGATACATTATGCAATGTTGCCCAATTCTCATGTCTTGCATGTGGCTCTCCGGAAGTATAGCCGGGACAGAGGCTGTCTGAAAATGATGCACCATTACTGCATGTGCGAAGATGTCATATTTACACGGTGAACCTTATACGCCCTCAAAATCCCCCCACGTGCTAGTGACAGAGAGGTAAACTACAGTGTTGCAGACACAGTAACACCTCCAGGTCACAAACTCGCTGCTCGATGGTTTGTACATTTCACCGCTGCGAACTTCAGACATTTCTCAATCAACTAAATGGGTGAAATCCTTTACACCCGCAACATCTCGTCCGTGCAAAGCGCCTGCATTGTTCCTCAACCGAACTGTATCTGGACCACATATACTGTCCAATAACACCTAGCTGGCGGCGCATCGTGCACGCTACGATTTGGTACCCCCACAACCCATATCGAGCCCAACAGGAAAATCATCCAAGCTACGCCATCGTCACTCTCACCGGCCACAAACAAGCGCGACGCTCCATTGCGGATCAGGTTCAACGTGGCAGCCTGTTTTATCCCTTTTGTCATGAGATCCTCTCTACAGAGCATTGCAACCGCAGGATGAAAAGCTGGCAGCTGCACCGCGGTTCTCGCTGATTTGTTTTCGACTGCCGACGCGCTATACCGTGTTTTGAGACTGATCGACTTCTCGTGTTTGCCATCCATAGTTCATTCGCTCCCTCTTTGTAGCATTGAATGCCAGCGATATGTCGTCCTCTGCAGCCGAGGAGATTGACGCACTCATCCAAGATGTGGCTGCAGGTGAGTGGTCAAATCCCCCCGCCCTTTAATGTGACGCCGACTTACTCGCCGTTTGGTAGCTTCCAAGATACCAACCAAATCAAGGGGCGCAAACATCAAGCCCACAGTTGCAAGCCTAACCTCTCTGGCTTATGAGAACGGCCTACTGCCAAACGCGCTTGAAGAGCTTGTTGGCCTGTTGGTTACGCCCAGTCATCTCGATCAGGCGAGTTTAGCTGCTATAGCCAGGAATCTGTATCCTGTTGCCAGAGTATCCCGGCAGGTTACAATTCGTGTCATTGGTGCCCTCGGACATGGAAATCTTAAGCCCTCGCTCAATCTTCAGGTAGCTCTTCTGAAATGGCTCATCATGATCCACCACGTATTAGAAACGCCGGCTGTGCTTGCCCAAGCTTATGGCGTTCTCTTCAATTTGCTTGACACAGCGGCGATTAGACCAAACGTTTGTCATCTACTGGCACTTATCACGCGAAGAAAACATGTCAAACCGTTTAGGATCCAAGCTCTGTGAGTACCCCATCCGCATATGAGCGGACTTCTTCTCACAGCCAATAACAATAGCTGACCAAATCTGCAGCTTGAATTTGTCACGGCAGACAGCTAATGATCCCTATTTGATCGGTCTACTGAGAGTCTTCAAAGATTACTATCCCGAGATCATCTTGGGGGAGTTGGTTCGTGGCAAGGCTTCGGCTTTTAAAGTGAGAAAGATCGCATGAACATGGGCCCGAGGCAATAGAGACTGACGGGACACCAGCACCCAGATATATCATGGAAAGAAAGGCTGCAAGAAATACAAGACGCCTACGCCCTGCAAGCGGAGAAGAATTCACGTGGAGCTCTTGATGGGTTCCAAGTCAATCGCGCTACCGGCCGTGCCCAAGGAAGAAGAGTTGTGCCGGTTGTGCACACTTCTCACGTAAATGAGGTAATTTGCTGCGGTCTCAGAAGCCTATTCGTACGCTAATGTTGTATCAGAATGCAGTTACGCTGGAAGAGATTGAAAATGTCACTGGCTTTGTCCAAAACATGGACAAAATAGAGCTGCCAAATCAGCTTGTAGCTGTACTTGCTGATCCTTTACTGCAAAAGCTCTTGCTCTTACGTCCGAATGCCGAAGCTTATCAGCGGGTAGCGAACTGGCTGAGCTCAGTTTTGCAGAACGTCATTGACGGTGATGCCGATGAAGCCACGCTGTGGGAAGTTTTGGACGTCGTAAAGGAGTTTGTTGTGCAGAGTAAAGTGAGTCAAAATCCTGCAGCAACTTTTTTTTTTATGTATGCCCTGGGATCTAATACGAATTCATGATGCAGTCTGTACCCCCCGTTCTCCTGAATTTCTTCGCCCGTTTCTTCCAACAGTGGAATGGGTCCGGCCACCGTAGCTACATTTTGCAGATACTTGCGTATGCTCCTTTATTGGAGTTTCAAGGTATACATTTGCTCTTCTATTGGCACAAAGGTTTCTGCGCATCAAGCTAACGGTAGCATCCAGAATTCTATGAGCACATCCTACAGCCATTAGAATCGGCTGTCTTGGACAATACCCCTGGTTCACAGGTCGATATATTGACTTTGTATACCGACATACTTCGCCATTGGATTGCTATATTACAGTCTAATGAGCCAATTCCATCCCACGCCAATACGAGCCTGACGGCACTGATTCGCCATACTGGACAACTCAGCCTCACTCTTCTACAAACGTCACCTACAGAGTCGGTAAATGCTGCCGTTGTCGAATTTTACGAGCAAGCGATTCACCTGGTCAACGACGATAGGCTAAAGTACTATATACGGATTGAACTACCACCATCTGAGCTCATATACAGCTTCTTGTTCAGTGGCTCTGTGACGACAATATCCCGCTTATGCGATATCTTGGCGTGCTACAAAAAAGGTTTTGAAATGGCCATGTCAACCAAGGCAAGGAATGACGGCTCCAACCGGATCGATGCTCTCTCGTACGACCGAGCCTATGTCAATTTGTACAACGGCTATCTCATGGACATTTGTAACTGTTTCTGGCGAAGTCGAGCCTTTAGCGATGCGGATACCAATTCCCACGGCTGTATGATTCCGCGGCCGGCTGTTTCCAAGCTCACATCATACGTATCCTCGGTAGACAAGACCTTTACCCTCCCTTCATTATTTTCCTTGTCGTACTCACCGGTGCTCTGTCTTCAGAGTATTCACTCAGTACGGGACCTGGAGGATACGGCCATTGCAAACGATAGCACCATTCGGACAAGACATGCTGGACCTGTAACGCAGGCTAGCCTTTCGAAGCTGGCTACGTCGGGAGGCATCCAGCTTTCATGGCAAGAATACCGCATTGAAGTTCTCAGATCGCTTGCTGAAAAGAACCTTGGAGGCATTGCTGAGCTCCTGAAGAACACAATGACGGTGTTAAAGAAGTCAATGGATGCAACACCGCGAGCACGAGCCAAAATGTTGAGCCAAGATTTCAGCTAAGCTACACGCGCAAGGGCGGGGGAAAAAATTGTATTGCAACTTCTAATGGCGACTCTACCGAGTCCAGTTGAAGCGGACCAGCTGCCTATATCCCATCGGTTGAAATTCAGGGTATCATGAAAGAAAGAGAAGTAGAAAGAAAAGACATGTGCCACGTTTCCATCAGGTATACCATCCAAGAGTTGAAAACAGAATGAAACCGAAATCCGTCTGTGAAGGCAGAGTTGAGGCCTGCTCCTCCACCGAAAAACCAACGCCATGCACCGTTGAATGCTGTGCTCACCGACCGTTCATAATGCAGAAAGAAAACTCGCCGTTTACGTCAGCCAATAAGCCGTTGAAGGCATTATTGCCAATTACCTGAAAGGGAGAAGAGAGTTACTGTTTAGTTTTCTCTTTGTTTCGACTCGTCACCATATCCGCCAATCTTGATGCCGCCAAAGCCATAGGTCTTGCCTTCGGGACCAATGTTTGCCTGGCTTCTTGGGCCTCTCTGTTTAAGATCATCCCTCAGCCAACCCATGACCAACTCTCCGAGGCGACTGTTGCCGGTAGGACCAACGGTTGAATCGAGAGATTGCAGCATATTGTCAGCAGTGTCCCACTCCTTGACGGTACCGACGTGCATGTGGACAAGATGGGTGGGCCAACCAGCCAAGTTGTCCAAGATGTGGGTAGCATAGACAATGGTGCACTCGCGGTTTTCCGTCTCGCGCTTCAGCCAGGAAAGGAACGAATAGCGGCTCAAGACGTCAAGGTCAACGGTGATCTCATCAAGGAAGAGAACCGTCCAGGGACGCAGGAGACCCATGGCCAGCTGGACTCTGCGGCGTTCACCATCAGACACAGCATGCATACGCCAGTTGATGTCGATGTCAAGCATCTCAACCAGCTCGTCGCGGCGCTCAGGGTAAGCATCGCCGCCGACAGATCGGAGCAACTCCATGACGCCAATGTCGTTGCGCACGATGGGGTTCAGCACCCACTCGAGACCAAGGTAGGTGACGCCCTCAAGACCCTCCTTGAAGGGATCGACGCCGCAGATGGAGATGGCATCTCCGGGAGCCAGACGCTTTCCAGCTAGCAGACGGAGAAGAGTCGTCTTGCCCGCACCGTTGGCACCAATCAGGAGCGTACGTGAACGCGGAGGCAGATCAAGAGTGATGTTGCGTACGCCGGTTGAGAAGTCCGGGAACGTGTAGGAGAGGTTGTTGACCAGGATCCGGGGAGGCTGTTGATTCGACATGTTGGCGGATATGGGAGAGTGAATGAGAGAGTGAATGAGCGAGAAAGATGTTGTAGATGGAGATGGAGAGTGGTGACATCAACAAAACAAGTGCGCATGCCACTTCATATACTCCGTTGCCTGAGACATTGAGAATCGGCGAGATTCCTGGGGTCTAGGGCTTTTGCGGCGCCTTGGCCCCGCCGGCGAGGTTTTCTAGCGCCAGCAATCGCCCGTTATTTCTTGGCCGGCTTCCCATCATTGGGTGACTGTGTAGTTTCCATGACCTCAGGCCCATTGTGGGGGTTGCGGATTTTACTGGAAGAGGAGGGGAATTCAAGGTTGCAGGGCTCGGAGTCCGGAGCACGCCGCTGGAAGAGGCAGTGGAAACAAAAATTTACAGTTACAGTAGGGGTCCTAGGCCCAAATCTCGGAGTATAATGGGCCACTTTATTAACAGCCAAAGCCCGCTAAAGTACATGCGTGTAGTGCTTAGCCCACTTTAGCTGCGATTATGGTGCAAATGAGCTGAGAGGATACGAAACAGGTACTTGTGGCACTTTAACTGCCGCTGCGCGTGTCGAACGCGGGGCACAAGGAAAAGAAATCTTGTCTAAGAGCCAGGCGCGTCAAGCTTGCACCGCTAACGGAGAGCTACCTTGATAACCGTGAATCCAAGGAATCAATCAGCTTCCAGTTGTTACATGATCCCTTCTGCTGTCAGACACAGCAACAAGACGCAGTTCAGCATCATCCACCGAGAGCATCTCCATTGAGGCTGCAGCACTCAACCACAGCATACTGCAAAGCTGACGGCCGCCAACATGGTCAAGCTCGAGGACGTCTCCAGCCTCCTCCAGGCGCCCGCGTATGACCTCTCTTCCTTTCCCAAGGCCTCCTGTTGGCTTCAATTCTAACGCTGGTGAAGGCCCTCGCAGAAAGTGCCCATCCGAACCGATTCGACCTACAAACCGCTTCACTCCTTCGCCCTGGACAAACAGCGGTCATACAAGCAACAGTATGGTGACATGTACTTTTTGCGGTTAGCCAAGATCAAGCCTGCAGTGGAAGAGGTGGCTTCAAAGGCGTGGGATGGCACCGAGATTGGGGGGGAACTGGCCAAGAGGGTCGATCGAGTGCTTGATGTGCGGCAAGGCGAGCTGTGTTGGGTTGCGGGCACCGTCTATATGGACATGCGGTTGAAGCCCAATATTCTCGAAGACGTATCCAAAGATGTGAGCCACCTACAGCTGTTTATCTGCGCTTTGATATGTCCATACTTGTGGTACATGGTGATGCTGACTACGACCGGGTTCTTCTGTTGGTAGCGTTGGTTGTCCGCTCCCATCTCCTCGCAAAAGTACTACTCCGACGACGGCTCCGACCAGATCATGCTCGAAGACGACTCGGGCCGCGTTCGCCTAGTGGGAGAGTTGCTCAATTCCATCCCTCTCGTCACTGGGTGCATCATTGCCGTCATGGGCACCGAGAACACAAACGGAGAATTTGAAGTCATCGATCTCAAGGTGCCCGATCTGGCTCCGCAGCCGGAGCGCTGGGCCCTCTCTAAAGCGCCCTCTGCGAGCGGCAAATCAAAGAGCGAGGATACAGACATGACGGACAGCCCCTCACCAAACGGCGGCAAGAAGGTTGCCATTGTGTCTGGGCTGTCCTTTTCCGGTACCGATGCCTCATACGATCTCGAGCTCAATCTCCTGCTGGAATACTTGCTGGGAGAAGCCCTCGGCCCAGATGAACAGACTAGTATTTCGCAAATCAGCAGGCTCATCATCGCTGGTGACTCTATCTCAACAACAGCCACCAAGGAAAACGATGACGAAGACGACGAGACCAAGAAGAGGGCACAGAAGAAGTACGGCTACGATGCCAGTGCATACAACCCCTTGCCATCCCAGCTGTTTGACGAGTTTGTGGCTGAGCTCTTGCCCTCCATTCCTATCACCCTTCTCCCCGGTGCTCGGGATCCCGCCAATGCAAGCTATCCTCAGCAGCCGATCCACACGGCCATGTTTCCTCTATCAAGAGCTTATGCGTCAGATCCCGGCGCGGCATCAACATCCCAGCCTGGCTGGTTCGATACTGTGACGAACCCCTGGGAGGCAGAAATAGAAGGATGGAGGATATTGGGCACGGGTGGTCAGAATGTGGACGATGTGTTCAAGTATGTTGAGAGTGATGACCGGCTAGGCATGATGGAAGCCATGTGCAGGTGGAGATGCTGCGCTCCCACCGCACCCGATACACTATGTACGTTTCCCTTATTTGTCTCCTTGCCATTGCTCATGACAGCTACTAACAAAAATTGTGATAGGGAGTTATCCATTCCAAGAAGACGATCCTTTTGTCCTCAAATCGTGCCCGCACGTGTACTTCGTCGGCTGTCAGCCCGAATTTGCAACCAAGGTCATTCATGGCCCGGATGGCCAAAGCGTTCGGCTCATTGCTGTGCCATCATTTTCGAAAACCAAGGAATTTGTGCTGGTGGATACGGAAACGTTAGAAGTGACAAAGATTAAGATTGCTTCGAGGTGATGGATGAGATGGGGTTGAATATGTGAGAGGAGTCAATGGAATGTACGTGGCATGGAAGATGCAGAATACCCCCGCCATTGATGACGCCACGATAGGAAGTAGAAGTCTTGATTCATACCGTTACCTGGATTTAGAGAGAAGATCAACGACTGCGGAAGATGAAGACTACACTGGAGAGTTACTAGACTGGGGATATAAACTCATGTAATTGTCACGGCGTACACTTTGGCCCTCGATTTTCATAATGTACAGTAGTAGACTGAAGAGCAAATGGCGGTCATGTCTCCTTGAGCAGCAAAGATAGAGAGACATGGATAAGGGAAAGTACCTATGATATGAAGTCGGTGGTATCTGGCCGGCAACGCCACCTTTCTCAAACTTTATATATTCCTACTCTTTCTCTTCTTCACTTACCTCTTACTTCTCTTCTTTTTTTTTTTCCTTTATCAGAACCCATCAATACTCTGCGACTCCCTATTCCAGAATCAAGATGACTCGACAAATAAATAACCCACGGAATACTCAACAGATGGACGAGGCGACATTGGCCAACATTAGGGATCTATTGGCCAACATTAGGGATCAATTAGCTCAACTTGCGAATCGAATGGACGCTTCTGAGGCACGAGCAGAGATGCAGATGCTTACTACGCAACTAAGGAATCTGTCTGTGCAGCAATCGAATCCGTCTCTGCAACGAACGATTCCGTCTCTGCTACAAACGAATCTGGATCTGCAGCAAAAAATGCAAAATCCGAATCTGTCTCTGCAACGAACGAATCCTTCTCTAGAACAGTGGAATATAGCTCTGCAGCAGCAAAGGAATATGGCTCAGGCCCAACAACGGCGCAGAGCAGCTCTGTTTGTCCACCTTTTTTTTTATCATTGCTTTTATATACTAATTTCTTATCTTTCTAATTTAGGAGAATAAACCAAGACCGCAGAGCTCAGAACACTATTACCTTGCATGGCCACCGTCTTATGGCTACAGCTACACCTGGACGTCTAGCTCCATTGGTTAGCCTGAGCACCGAGCGAGAGATTGAAGGGTTTCCTGCGACTTTTGATGATATTGCTCAGATTAATGGCAAGTATTCTTTCATTTATTGTCAGGAGTGATCAAGTACTAATCCATATCTATAGAGAATGATGCACGAAGAATCCTCGCAGCTCTCGAAGTCGCTACCGATGGATTGAGCACGGCCGAGATGCGGGACAAGATTCGCTCCCAGGTACACTATGGCTAGCTGAGACGGTGTTGTTCTAGATTTATAAGGGGAATGCCTATTTAGCACCCCAATTTTACTATTCAAAGTCCCTAGCTATAATAACAGATACTAGAGAAATACAGCCATAGTAACAGATGCTAGAGAATAGCAGATACTTAAAGAACCGGGCTTTGATTACTCAAGTAGATGCTTGTAGTAGGAAATAAACAGCCTTGTTTCACATCTTGATTTGGTGCTCAAACTGTGGCCACGCACGTTCGGGTGCTGGATACTATTAGCTACTCCCTGAATCAACTCGAGTCGCGGCTGGTCACGAGAACAGAGTCAGCTGCGAAGCTTCTTTTTCCCCTTTTTTTCGCCTCTCATCTCTTTGGGCCAGCTGACCACTTGGCGATGCCCGTAGAAACGGCGGTATCGGTGAGAGAAGCGAAAGGGAAATGGCAACGGCAACCTGGCAGAATTGGAGTCCTCCTCGCAGTTCTTCCTTGATATGATTTTTCTTTTTTACTAATGACTTTTTGTTGTGATTGTTATATTTCTCTGCATTAGCACCAGAATTCCCCTCACACCAAAGCTTAATACCCAACAGCTCCCGCTCTGTCCTGTCCTGTCCAAATCCCCCAAGGGAGTCTATTTTTGGCTTCAACCAAAAAAAAACCCCCGAATAAAATCCATCAAAGCAAATCAAATCGCTTCAAAAGTCTCACACCCCAATGCGGGCGTGTCTGATTCGTCCCAACCCCAAAAAGGGCCCTTGCTTCAAAAACAAAGGTGCTTCCCTTTTTTTCTGATTTCGTTACCCTATAAATCGACACTTTTTACCCTATAGTTTTGCTCTGTTTACCCTATAACAACGTAATACGGGGTCTAGAAGCTGCCGGATGGGGAAATAGCCTGCGGCGGGGGAGATGCTGGGGGTGTTGGGGCTGTATCTTTGAGGTACCTTTGGAGGGGCGTTTGGGGAAGGGTAGAACTGGAGGAATCCGTCCGATCCGGATGATTGATTTTTAATTTGTTTGTTTGGATGTTGGCATCGAGATGTTACATACATTAAGTATAGGTGTAGTGTGATTGTCCTTTTAACCCTTCAGCAGTCCCTCTCTCTCTATAAAACAGTAATATGGTATTATGTCTTACAGCTTGTATGACCACGCAAATCCCCCCTCAATTGGGCACATGCAGCCCATATACTTTACCCCTGACCATCTCTGACCTTGCCAAATACTGTCGTATTGGACGATCCGGCATGGCGGTCAATGTTCATGTTCACCAGGTACAGGGTGTGGTACATGTGCTCATCAATAAGCTTCGTCTCATTAGTACAGTACATGTAGAGCTTAGGCGGTGACATTGATCCCATCTCATCAAAGATTCCGCCATCGGCGCATCCATTACCCGTCAAGGCATGTATCTATCCATCTCGTTGGTAGCTAGGATCCTCCAAAAGAAGAGCGGCATTAGTTTCCTTCATCCAAAAGTGACAAGCATTCCCCTTAGATCCATACCATGCTCGTCGCTAAATCTTTCCCTCCACACTTCCATGGGTCATCTCCTCCGCTCAAGCTTCTAGAAACCGTTACTCCAATGCTGCCAATGGAATACTACTACTAAATACGGATAAATACAGTTTCGAGCTACGGAGTACTAACGGACATGCCATTCATTCACCGTGTTACTCCAATCTCGTCTCCAACACTCCCCCTCCACCACATGATCACATCCGGCCTTCGAATAACAACGGCGTTGGTCATCTAAAAAGGGGAGGGGGAGTGTCTCGTGTAAACGACACAAGGAGGAAGAAAAGAACATGGAAGATACATAAAAAACATTATTAACTCGTTCGGCTTGCGGCGGGCCGTTGTTGGACTCGTGAACTCGTGGTGTTCCGCTATCAAAGAGGAGAGAGCTTCAAGCTGAGCTCATATCAAGAGCTTTGGCTCCCCAGATTCTCTTACAATCTCTGTTCTTCATCATCATTGCTTGCTTCTCATCTGCCTTACTATACAATTGAGCCTCTTGTTTGTTTCTTCTTCACATATTCTTGCTAGTGAAATCAACACCTCATCTCACAATGGGATCCATCTCTCCAGACGCAAAGCTGCCCTGGATCAAGACACCATGCATCCTCAGTCGTCCGTTGAGCCGTGTGGCTGGCTGGTAAGTATTCTCTGTCAGCTTTGCAACGAAGCAATCCAATATATATACATTTATCTTCTTCAACTTACCAACATCACTCCCCCAACAGCAACATCTATCTCAAACTCGACAACCTCCAGCCCAGCGGCTCCTTCAAGTCCCGCGGCATCGGCAACCTCATGATCCACGCCGTCGCAACCAACCCCGACGTCCACTTCTACTGCCTCTCCGGCGGCAACGCCGGCCTCGCCTGCGCCAGCTCTGCCGCCGCCCTCTGCAAACCCGCCACTATCGTCATCCCCGAGACGGCCTCAGAGATCTTCAAGAATAAGCTTCTTGATCTCGGCGCTCGCGTCTTCCAGGTCGGCAAGAACCTCGTCGCTGCCGATCTGTTCCTCCGCGAGAACCTCCTCGCCAAGGACCCTCGCGGCTTCTATGTCCCGCCGTTTGACCATCCGCATATTTGGGATGGCGCGGCTACTATTGTTGGCGAGCTGCGGGACCAGATTGATGTTCCTATTGACGGCATCGTCTGCAGCGTGGGTGGTGGTGGTTTGTTTAACGGTCTGATGCAGGGCATTGAAAGCTTCCGCTGGTCTGGCCGGAAGCCTCATGTCCTCACCGTCGAAACCGCGGGTGCTGATAGTCTCAGTGCCAGTATCCTGGCCAATGCCCACGTCACACTGCCGGAAATCACCTCCATCGTCACTTCGCTGGGCGTTTCCCGCGTCTCCGAAGAGACTTGGAAGTGGTCTCAGGCACCAAACACCCAAAACGTCGTCGTCTCCGATGCCGATGCAGCAGTGAGCTGTGTTCGGTTCGCTGACGACGCTCGCCTAGTCGTCGAGATCTCATGCGGCGCCGCATTGGCTACGGTATACCGCGGCGACTTGAGAGAGCGCCTTGGGAAGGGCTTGACTGACGCTCAATGGGCGGAGAAGAACATTGTCATGATTGTGTGCGGAGGATCCGGCGTCTCGCTCAGGACTCTCGACCTGTACCGAGAAGAATACGGCCCACTTACAACTATCAAGGTGTAATGGCAGAAGGCATAATCTCTATTAATGAGGGCTAATGAATGATGATCCATGATCTCGATGTGGGAAGCATTCAATTTTGGGATGAGGCGTTTCCTTTCTTCTCCCTCCAAAGATGGGATTCAAAAAAATGTTGGATTATGAGCGAATAAACATCTTGAGGGGCGTTTGTATGGTATTCTTGACCGTCTTTGCAGCGATATTTGATGGACTCAGTTTTGAGGTCTTGTTATTCTCTTCTTCTAATATAAATGCAGAAATTCTGATCGTCAACGGCAAACTCGTATCGTCGTTGAATTTGGTTTTGGATCTTGACATGTCCCGAGTAATACCGAATAGTGACTCCTTTAACAATGAGGTGTCTTTGACTCTTTCGTGAGCACCATCCCAGCGACTCCAAGCCAACGCCGGCCCCATCATGAGATGCTCTTCTTTGACCCCCTGCCGAAGAAAGGGAGGTCAATCGAACCTCGCAATATCATGACTGTCGTTTCCTCCCGTCCGCGTGGCTTTCTAGCTTCGGATGCATTCATCCGACAAGATTAGCGGGGGAAGAGAGCCCAAAGAAAAGAGGTCGGTAGAGAGCGATACCGGCATAGTCCATGGCCAACTTGTTCGCACGAGATCTGACGTTCCTCGAACGGTATCAGAAGGGAGGGGCGTGTGCACATCAGGTCCCGTAGCCGCCCAATATTAAAAACGAGTCCCGGATCCGAATGGAACTTTCTTCGTAGTCCCATGGCGACGATGGTATCAGATATGACCAGAAATCATGGGTCAAGCTGTTCACGCTCCCTCCCAACGACAGTCTCTCAACCAGTTTTCATCAGCCACAATCAGCAAAGGGAAATCCACCAATACTACCTTTCTCCCTTTCCTTCACTCAGAAATTAGGGAATCCCCAGGTCTACTTCTTGGCCTTATTCTTCTTCGCAGCACCACTCCGACTGCTCCCCGCCGCAGCCTCCTTATCCGCCTTAATCTCATCCACATAATTCTTCATAATCTGATGCAAATCGGGATTCTTCCTCGCCAGCAAAAGCACATCATCCGTCGTAACCGTCGATCTGCCAGCATGATTGCAAAAAGTTTCGAGATCAATGGCTACGTTTTCTGCGAAGCGTAAGCCCTCTTTTTCACCGCATCAAACAGGAATGTATACACGTGAATTTATACACAGTGTACACCTCCCCCTGTTCAATCCTTGCTCCCTCCATGTTCAGTGAAGCTATTCTGCACTCACCTATTTGCAACAAGGTCATTTCGGTCAGAGCTCCGATGAATTGGGGCGTCGCGTTGCGGTTGCGCTTTAGACATTCTTCGTCGACGATTTGCCCGACGGCGTACCAGAGGGCGGATTTGAGGCGCTAGTGATTTACAGTGAGCTCGTCTTGTTATATGAGAAGGAGATTTCTGAGTATTCAATACTTCACGGTCCTCTTCACGCGTCGTGTCGGCCATGTTGATTCTGATATTCAGTGAAATTTCCCAGCGTTGAATTTGACAATGGCGTGAGTGAAAGTGAAGGTAATAAGAGTGAGAGTGAGAATGAGGTTGAGAATACACTGAGCGCGTCGCGGGGTGGCTGCACTAGTACTGATCGGGCCATAAAGCTACTGGCGACGACATTTGTTTCGAAAAGGCGTTTATACAAACAAGTTGGACAATGCAATAACACACATCACAAGATATGATTCATTAAATCAAGCTTAAATATTGATATTCGTTTCATTCATATCCTCGTGTAAGCACTTCATCCGATGCTTACATCGATTTTCAAACCCTAAATGTCCCTCGTTGAATCCAATTAGTCCCATAGACATAAATCCCTTCACGCCGTGGTAATATAGCTGCCAACATATAACAAATCCCGACGCCTTTACCCGCCAACTGGTTCTATCTACGATGAGAACAAAAAAGGCTCTTCCTTTCACAGTCGCATCTCACACACATCTACTCAGTAAGCTCAGTAGGCTTCTTAGTGTACAGCGACAGGCGGTTGCCCGCACCACAGTACTCGAGCTCGTTGCCGCTGCAAAGCATGTTGCAGTCAGACGCCGGAGCCTTCAGAGATGAAGGAGCCAGGATATTGCCGCAGTAGCATTCGCTGCCGTATTCAGTACCAAAGTACGTAAAGTCGGCACAGAAGTCGGCACAGGCCTCATCGGACATGGTACCTGTTGCAGTGGCAGCGCCGGTCAGGGCACGGGTGCCGTTGCCCTCTGTCTGGCAGCCGACAAACACAAAGTCACCAGCAGCAGCAGGTTGTTCAGGCTCTCCGCCAGTAACATTGGCGTTGATGTAAAGCTCAAGGCGGTTGCTGGCTCCGCAGTACTCAAACTGGTTACCACCGCAGGGCATGTTGCAGTCGGCAAGGGGAGCGGTTGAGCTCGAAGTGGAAAGGAAGCTTCCACAGTAGCATTCGTCACCATACTCAGTACCAAAGTATCTGTAGTCGGAACAGAACTCGGCGCAAGCCTCATTGGTCATGTCAGCTGCCTGGGTAGCTGCCTGGCCCAGAGCGCGGTCGCCCTGACCTTCCGTCCAGCAGCCCACCAACGTGTAGGCACCAACGGTGGGCTCGTGAGTAAGGGTACCTGTGGGAGTGGGAGGCTGGGTGACGGTGGTTGAGTACAGCTCAAGACGGTTGCCGGCACCACAGAATTCACTACCATCACCACCGCAGACCATGTTGCACTGATCAATGGGGGCCGCCTCACTGCTCTTGGCAAGCGTGTTACCGCAATAACCTGAGTCACACATTGGTTAGCACAAATGTAATTCAAAGAACGTGTAGGGATGGAATACTCACATTCGCGGCCATATTCGGTACCCCAGTAGACATAGCTGCTGCAAAAGTCTCTGCAGGTTTCCAGAGTCATCGTGTCATTGGCGTAGGAATTGCCAGCAAGCGCACGAACGCCATCGCCTTCGGTCCAGCAAGAAACAAGGACATAACCATCAACTGACGGCTTGTGGGTAGGAGTGGGAACTGCAGTAGTTGTGGGCGGCGCTGTTGTTGTCGGAGGCGCAGTGGTGACGGGGCCGCTGGTAGCAGGTTCGCTAGTGGCAGGTTCACTCGTGGCAGGTTCACTGGTAGCGGGCTCACTGGTAGCAGGCTCGGAAGTAGTTGGTACGGCATCGGTGGTAGTAGCTGGGATGGTTGGGAGGCCCGTTGTGCCACCGGATCCATCATCTCCTCCGTTGCAGGCAGCCGGGCTAGCAAAGGCACGGCAAGTACCGCCAATGTTGGCGAGAGACTTGAAGCTGTCAGACTGGTCGCCGTTGATGACATCGACATATGCCTCGTAGGCCAGACCACCCTGGATGGTGGTATCAATGTTGAAGAAAGTGTAGGACCCAACACACTGACCCTTCTGGAGGTCGACGGTAGTGCTCTGCAAGAGAGGAACGGGGCTGGTGGTCTGGGGAGTCTTGAACCAGATTTTAGCTTGCGCACCCTGGCTCAGGCGATCGTTGCGGACGGCAGCGACAGCAGTCAGAGCACCCGAAGATCCCAGCACACAGCTCTGGGGAGCCTGGAAGATGATGGCATCCTGGACAGGGTACTCATTTCCGTTGTTGTCGTGGATGTCCTTGGTACCGTCGGCGTTGTTGATAGTGACGGTGAAGGATGAGATACCCGAAGAGGCAAGGATGTTGGCCGTGAAGGGGAAGAAGTCAAAGGTATCATCAAAGCCTTGGCTGGTGCCTAGAGCCGTGGCAGTGATGACACAAGAGCTGAGGCCGCAGTCGGTGGTGCCCTTGCGGTTCTTGTAAGTGATGGTCACGCTGGAGATGCTGCCCTTGGCAAGGCCGGTGGTCTTGACACGGATGAAGCCCGTAAACTGGAGAGTGGTGCCGCCATTGGCAAGAGTCAGCTGCAAGTTGACCGGCTTGACGTTGTAAGGCACAATCGGGTCAGAGAAGGTGACGCCCGGAGGGACAACCTCAATCATCTTTTGCAGAACGGTCTTGCAGACAGAGGTAAAGGTATCAGCATCGGCCAAGGCCTCCATGGTCTGGTTGTTATCGGAATTGAAAACCTTGAAGTCGGAGTTTTTGCTAATCTTGACGGATGGGCCGACAACAAGAGGATTCTGGGTCTCTCCGGAGAGATACTCAGTCACGACCTTGTTATCGAAGACGGCATCGGAGCTATCAAGACCAGCTTCGCCATCGAGCCCAGTTCCGGCGGGAACGATATCGGGGAACTCAGTGTTGTGGACGCCACCAAGAGTGTGACCACAGGCGGTGACTTGGATCATTTCCTGAGTGCTGAAGCCCATGCGCTGAAACTGCTGCTGAAAGGTGAAGACAGAGTTTTGGGGCTGGGGAACGCCTGTAGGTCCCTTGCCGGTGGCATCGATACGGCCAACACGAATTGGCACAGCAGGGCCGCCGCAAGAGCGGACAGATGTGTAGACGCCCAGGGCGATGAGGTCAGCCAAGCTGGACCGGGGAGAGAGATAGGGAGCCATGAACTCGAGTGTCGTCCTGTGGCCGGGCCCGGTGTTTTCGCCATCGTCCAGCTCGTACTGGAGCGAGGCGTCTAGACCACCAATGCCGAAGTTGATGTTGGCAGTGGACATGTCGTGGAAGCCGACCCGGAGCCACTCAGCGGCGTTCTGCCGGCCGGGCCCCGAGGCTTCATTGGAGCATGGGTTGACGGTATCGGCGAATTTACGGGCGCGGAACGACTGGAGCTGGGTCATGATCTCCTCAATCTCGTCGACTGCGTTGGGCCATGTGGGATCAGCCAGGGCTGAGCCAGCCAGGCCGAGGAGGCCCACCAGGGCAGCTGTTGACTTCATGGTGAGATTGCGAAAGACTCGATGCTCAATGGGCAATAGAGAGACTGTATTCAACGAAAACAAGAAACGAATGGGAACAGCTCAATTGGTATTGCAGTAGAGTCTCTGTGTCGCTGTCTCTATCTCGACACACGCACAAGCGAGCGAGCGTGGATGGCCTCAAATCCCAAGAAAACGAGCGAGCAGACTCATCGCCTTTTAAGGAAAACAATAAAGAGAGAGAGAAAAAGAAACGACGATGAGGATGAAGGAGTAATAGAGAAGGAAAAGGACAAGGAGAGCAGAGTCTTGACTGGAGGGTGTGAAAGCTGCAGCCGTATCGTATCGGGCCAGAGTCGTGCGATGGAGCTGCAGCTCTTGCACTGGTTCGTCGTCCATGGCTTCGCAGAAGCGTCAAAGGCTGCAGGCTCTGCAGGCTCTGCAGGCTTTGCACCCTTGTCTTCAGCCCGGAGTGGCGGGATTGAGGCCGTCGATTGGAGAGATGCTGGCTGCAAGGGTTGAGTTGTTCAGGTCGTTCTCGTATTTTTGGCAGCCGACCTGCATTAGTCCACCGTTCAGGTACTTCAGGCACTCTCAGGCCCCAAAGCCAAGGGCTTTTTGGTGGACATTGTGCCAAGCACATGGCCTGGAGGGAAGGAAACAAGAGATAATCCCCGCCCCGCAGATGCCGTCCATCCATGGCCAAGCCTTCTGTTGTCGTGCTGTTGTTTTCGATTCTTACTGTACGAGCACACACTTACTCATACTCTCACCCTCACCATCACAAAGGCCAAAAAGTCAAAGCCGAAACTAACATGCCTAGCAATAGTCGCTGCGGGCTGAAGAGGCAGATCGAGAGCCCGTGCTCACTCACGCCTCCCACCTCGATTATGTTTGTGCTTGTGATGGCCCTTGTTCGGCGGCATGTGCCATCCAGTGCAGTGCAGTGCAGCTCCCGGACAGGCACAGGTCGCAATATTGCTTTCTGGGCAGAGTCAATAGTCACCGACATGCTTTTTTCGGACGGCACGGAGGGCGGGTTGGCAGCTGAAAAGACGGCGCTGATGCTTGCAGACACTTGCAGATGCTTGCTAGTATTGATTGCTCTGCTATTGACCAGGGGCGTCTGTCTTGGCAGCGTAGACGAGGTGAACGAGCAGAAAAGAGCCCACTCGCACACTCACACAGACTGACTGACCACAGTAATACAGTACAGAAACAGACACCAGACCATTTTATTGAATTCTCCCCATCGCCATCCCGTCTGATCCGCCCGCCGGCCTTGTCGAAATCCGTATCCATTGACATCAACATGGACATCGGACGGGCGGCTAAAAACCCACTGGCGTTATCAAAAGCTCCTAGGCCTTGTAATGGAGGGTCAAGAGGATCGGATATCGCGCCAGCTTTAACCGGATCGACAGTAGCCCAGTGCTCACCAGGGGCATCGTGATGGATTACACTCGGAAGCCAGCCGTAGCGCAAACCTTGAGGCCCAGGACGGGCTACAGTATTGCAAGCAAGTGATTTCCATCGCATGGGTCGTGCCGCAAGCCACCAAGGGGAAAGAAATGAATGCTGGCTACACGTACTGTACGCATTTTGCTCTGTACTACGACCAACCTTGTTGATTGAGTAACACAAACAACAAATCACCGGTCCATGGACCCAATAATCACACCCAAGAATTCTAGGCTCCTCTACAATCTGACAGTCTGAGAAGACTCATACTAGCCGCATGGGCTTCGGCACAACGCTAGCGTGGCTATGTTGTTAATGGAACCAAAGAGATGCAGAAGAACAACTGCACCAGGCCAGCTATCTCTCGTATTTTGGCCTTTTGCATCAACAATGCCCAGCCTAACCAGTGCATATGCAATGAATCGTCAGCAATAATTTATCCGCGGGTGGTGGCTGCCTCGGAGAGCAGATTGTTGATGCAGCTTCACAATGCGACTGAGAAAAATCGATGCCTCTCTCTACACATTTACTCGCAACCCATGACCGATTGAGCCTCGTCTCCATCCGACATCCGGCCAATAAGCAGCTTGCTTTTCAAATCATCCACTGGTCAGTTGCGAATGCAGATGCAGATGCTGACAATAGCCTCTGCGGCTGGCTGTCTCGACTATTTTGTCGCCCCCAACGCCATCAATCTCCACCAACCCCAGGTAACCTCGAATCCACACTCCAGACCGTCTTCACAACCAGCAATAGGTTACACGGCATAGGCTTCTCTTGACCAGACTTTTCCTCATGCCTCGTCTTCTTCTTTGGGAATTCGTGCGTGTTCCGAGGCACTAACGACGTACATACATGCGAGAGTACTCGTAGTAGATGCGCCACCATGTAAGTGGGCGGAGCGGCTGGACCTTTGAACAACACCACAATTTCCTTCACGGCCCCGTTAGCCTGCATCGAGGGGCAGGTGGTGAGCCGCAACCCGGCCACACCCTCTCCGCTGCTCGTGGGCAATCGCTTGACCAGATCCCGGCCGTTCACGGATCCTCGCCACAAATATTGGCCATGGTTTCTGGCTTCCGCGGCCTCGCTACCACCATGCAGCTCGATTCAGTTCAGTTCATTCGGTTCGCAATGCAACATGTGTGATGAGTCTACTGGAGACCCTGCCGGCTGAACCTCTTCAGCAGCAGAGACAAAGGCCGAGAACCATCAATCCCTGCGCACCATTGTTCATTCTACATCCCGAGTCGTCCATTATGAGGCTACAATGGCTCTTCTTTCGGCCAAGAAGCTTGCCGAGATTCCGGTCCCTTCCTCCGCAATGCAACTACCAAGGTGCTCATCTCATATCGATCAGCCTCACTGTTTGGAGGGTCGCCAAATAGATGACTTCGCTAAGCATATTATTTCCCGAACGGATCAATACTAATACAGCGCACGCGGCAAATTAAATGAAATATGACCACTAACCAATAGGCGAGTCTCTTTTTGTTCTTCGTTTTTACCCGATAGTGACACGCCAAGAGCGTCCTCCTGGCCTAGCCGGGCAACAAAAGACACCCAGCGGAGGATTCCGTACGCCACGGTAACATTGATTAATACCACCAGGAACGGGGTGGATGCCTTTCACTCATGTCTAAATTTACACTTCTCTTGACCGGTTCGCCACCTTTCTATGTATCACGGAGGGATACCACGGTCCGTCCCTTGCTCGGCGAATAGTCTAGATTCATCTTCCGTCGCCATCTCCTTGTCGTTTCTTGTGGGCTAATCAGCTTGTGTGTGCCGCGGCTGCTTGGCTTGTGACATAGTGCTCGAGTAATTCGTAGGAGATATTGCACCCTCCACATATCACAAGCACAACCACACTATTCTTGTTGAGTCCGGGAATCAACTCCTTCAGCCGGCCGCTGTACACCACCGCGGGAACGACTCCACATGACAACTCAACCAGGAAGCGCTCCTCGCTTGCGAACCGCTTACAGGCGGCAATAGCTTCGGCGTCGGAGAGCACCACGGTTGAGACCTGTTCACGGAGTCCGTACTCAAAGGCCCTTTGACAGACCCTTCTCGCGCCTAGGGTGGTGGCAAGACTAGTGATGGCGGGCAGGGTAATCAGCTCTCCCTTTTGGACTGCCTGATGGAGAGAGTCTGCTCCGAGAGTCTCAACGGCAATGACTCGAGTCTGTTGCATGGAGAGGTCGTCGAGGCCCTGCACGACACCGGACAAGAGGCCACCTCCACCGACACTGCAGATAATGGCATCGACGTTGCCTATGCGTGCCGTCACGTCGTCATCTGACACGCCCTCGATGGATACTGGATAGTGTTTGGTCATTGTGGGAATTTGTCTTGCGATTTCGTGCGAGATGCCCGCGGCACCGTCCCAAATCTCCTGAGCGTTGAATGGAGGTACATAGATGGCAACGTCTCCCTTGGTACGGGCTTCCTCCATGAGCGTTCCCGTCAAGTAGTCATCTGCCTCTTGCCACGAGGCCCCCTTTTGAATAACGTCAGTGGCGCCGGCCTGTCGCAACTTCTCAATCATGAAGGCTGAAGTCGACAGCGGGACGACGATGGTGGCCCGGCAACCCAGTGTGATGGCGGCATGGACACATGCCAGCCCAGCGTTGCCTCCGGACGAGCAGTAGAAATGGACCTTGCTGGTGTCTGCGCCTTGAGCGGCGAGTTTGGCCATCATGTAGTTGCCTATGCCGCGAGACTTGAAGGACCCTGAGGGTTGGAGGTTCTCCAGCTTAAGGAAGACATTGCTGAAGTCATGTCAGCGTCTGTCTTTCGGGGCGAATTACAAGAAAAGGGAACTCAATGTGAGTGCTTTTGTCCTTACCAGCCAGCGACTTCTGATAGAGTGTGTGATTTGATGAGTGGGGTTTCGATGTAGGGGATCTTTGTGTGGATTTCTGACCCCATGGTTGCTGATGGAGATGCTAAGGAGAGATGATTGGGATTCAATTCTTTCTCGGTAAGTGATGTTGATGCCCAAAATATGCTTTGCTAAGTCGTGATTGGTCACGTTCTATGACAAGGAAAAATACATAAACAACGATTGGAATGGACAAGTAAGTGAGCGTTGAAGCGATACAGTATGTTCAATACTATCTCATTGATATATAAGAAGTTGATAAAAGATTTCCATCTGGAACTAAGGAACCGACTACTGACGGATACCTAGTCAGAATGAGGGGTTGCCACCCAAAAGAAGCGTTTAGAACGTTCTGTTTCACTGTCTTACGGCTTGTCGGTTTGTGATTCATGCACGCGATTTATGAGTTGGGCGAGCCCTTTGACTTACATGCGCCCTTCTGTCAAAAATGTCGTTCATACAGCGACGACAGAGGACGATTATGGCAATGGAGTTTCTGACTGCCTGTTGAGGACGTGGCGTGGCGTCTCAATTCTGGCTGTTAGTGCCTGAATCTGCATGTCTCTGATCGACGCTGCTTTTTTTCTCCGGTGGCGGACAAATCAGCATCATCCAATGGATTATGATTTGCCCTTGCAGGTCAGATCTTTAAGCAGCAACGTGGTGAATGAGCTGCGTGTCTCATACATACTCACCACATTGTGTTGGGTTCCATCCGTCTCCATCTTTTTTGACTTTTTCCCGTTTTTTCAATCCTCCTCCACTGAACCCTGCATCTATTCTATTTAGTGAGACAATTTCCATGCTAGTTCTTCTTTGTGTTCTTTCGAATAATAAGCTGAGTCGCGGTTAATTGAATTCAATTGGACTGCAAAATCATGGTGCTGCAGTTGAGAAAAATATTCATTCGGTCCTTTGCAGTTAGCAATTCTGCCACACTGCGCGGAGGATGGCGATGCTGGCAGTAAACTCGACTGCACAGCCACACTCTTCAGGCTCAACCGACAGAAGCCTTTTCACTGTCACTAACCACCTGAGGTAACCATACTGCGATGCAATTATAACAGGTACTCCGTAGGCTGCCATTTATGTACCGTTAGCTACCTGAATACCAAGATAGATACACTTCTCGCCTGTCCTGTTCACCTTTGGTCTTAGCACCTACTTAGTAATGATCATCACGGCTGCTTCTGATCCGGAATCTTGTTCGAAGTCCTCCCTCTTAACTGGCTGCCTCCAGCTACCCAAATAGCCTTTCCACCACTGACGCAAGGGACCAAGCAAACAAGAAAAAAGATCTCCCCAGCAGTTCGCCGTCTTTAGTTCAGCTGCACCAGCCTCAGCCCCAAAAATACACCCCCACATGGCCCCGGTCTCAGCCACAGCGCCCGGTACGTTCTTGGCACTCTTACGCAAGCATCCAACCACAGAAGACCCTCCAGTACGTCATCCAGTGACGATTCCTCCCCGCCACAAGCATGTGCCCCTCTGGTGAGCCACACTTTGATGGAGAATCGCTTCGACAATCGGCTCTTCTTTTTCCTTTTCCTCTCGTCCAACTGACTCGAACTCGTGCATCTCTTTCTTTCTTCTTTTGGTATTTCACAGAAACGATCGTACACGGGTTTTCATTAATTCCGGCTGTTTTCTCACCGCTCTTCCTCGTCTTCTTCCTGCCGAGGTTTTCCATCTTCACATCTATCTAACCTTCTCTCATCCATCTGCATATATCACACACCACCTTAACCTCACTCTCACACCACCAATCAAAATCGACACTTTGATTCTTCTTCTTCGCACTTCAACAACAAACTCTTCATCATGGGCGCAGGACTAGGCTTCGGCCTCAAATTCGTGCAGTGGTTCATCCGCGGCATCCAGTTCTGCTGCTGCGCCATCGTCCTCGCCATCTACTCCTACTTCCTCGCAACGCTGCACAACCACAAGCTGCCCATCGCCACCAGCCTCCGCGCCGTCGAGGGCATCTCTGGGGCAGGCACGCTGTACACGCTGCTGGCCCTGTTGATGCTCTGCTGCCTCGCTGGCCACACGTTGACGGCTTTCTTAGCTGTCGTGCTTGACGTCTGCTTCATCGGAGCCTTCATCTACGTCGCCATTGCCAACAAGAACGGCGCTGGCTCATGCAACGGGGTGCTTGATACGCCTTTTGGCAAGGGTCAGTCGGATGCCACTGTCCAGGCTGACAAGGGCTTCACCACATTACCGAGCTTCCACACGGCTTGCAGACTGCAGACAGCCTGTCTCGCCGTGTCCATCATCGCAATGTAAGCAAGCATTTTACACAACCTCCTATATAGACTCAAAGACAACTAACTCGTTCACCAGCATCTGTTTTGCCTTTTCCATCCTCATGGAATTCGCCCTCACGCGCCACCACCAAAAGGAGAAGCGCTTCGGCCCCAGCCCCCAGAACAACTACACCTCCGGCTTCGGCAAGCGAAAGGGCGGCTTCTTCGGACGCATCTTTGGCTCCCGCCAGGTCGTCGACGGCAGCGAGGAGGGCAACATGCTGCCCCAGCACCCGCAGCCCGACCATCTCCACACTGACAACAACGACATCTCCAACCCATACAACCACACCGACTATAACCCCAAGTACGAGACTGGTTACGGGTACACCGGCGTCACCGGCAACAACAACACCGCTTACACGGGTGCTGGTGGATATACGGCTCCGCGTACTACCGCTGGGTATGGACAGCCGGTTAACTACCGCTATGAGGATGGTATCTACGACCCTGCTCAGCATTAAGTCCATTATGAGCTTGACACCTCTACCTCGATACTACCACAGAGGTCAGGATCAAGTTGACAAGCACAAAAAAAAATGAAAACACCAAAAAAACACACAACATGTACAACTTGTATCAATGTACGATGAACGAGCAATCAGGAATGGCACAATGATAGCCTTATCGTGCTCAACGAGAATATATGGGCTGGGGAGGGTATTTGCAAACATGAACGGATATCAATTGTCACGTAGACATACGGGGGCAATCACCTCCAGAGTTTTGACTTGTCAGCTCAAAAATTAATAAGTAATGAATCACAGATGTATATCTACTATCTATCTACATATGCACTCCGTACGCCGACTCTTCGCTGTGATAAGTGCATACCTATGACGGTAGTCAGTGCTTGTGTTTATGTATAATCGGTGTCTCAACCATGAGTCGCTTTCAGTGAAAAAAGTAGTCGATGCTCTCGCTCCACAAAGTTGATGCCAATCTAGTCATCCCCCCTCACGACTAACAGTCCCTTCATTTCCATCTTTCACCCCCAAGTCGACTCCCCATGGTCCATCTCACTCATAGTATCATCCCCATTGAGCATCAAGTCCGTCCAGTTCAGATCCACCTTCTCCAGCTCCCTCGAGAAGAAGTCCTGCTCCTCCCTCATGGCGATGCGAATGTCGGCCGCAATCTTCTCCGGGTACCTCCGCACATTCAACCAATGCGTCAAGCTCCGCAGCGCCTGCTCCAGCGGCAGCGCCGAGTCCACCTCGGCGTCAATGTCGCTGCCCGCGAGCCACTCGTCGCGGAGCTCCGGCCTGCAGTGGAGGTAGACGGCCGTGATGACTCGCATGTTGGACTGCCTCCACTTACGGCCACAGTACGGCACTTGGCCCTTGAAGAGCTTGAGTGTGTATAGCCGCAGTTCGGGCTGGGGTACCCTCAGAGACTTCTTGAGGATGGTGGATGACTTATACTGCACCAGCAGCAAGTTGCGGTGCGCCTTGTTCTTGCAGATCTTCTGCATCACCCTGAGGTAGTTGATCAGAGAGAAAAAGTTCCTCCTCGAGAAGTCGGTAATGGGCTCTAATGGGAGATTGCCAAGAGGCAGCCCCATTTCGTCAACCTCTGGCCTCATCGGGACCTGTTCTTCGCTGTCAACAGCCACGTCTTCCATCTGGTCCACAACCGGTTCCTCTAGCTCTCGCTGCCTCTTAATCGGCGGTGGCGCCGCGTCATCTCCGCTGTCTTCTCCTGCTAATGGCCCGTTGCCTTCATCTTCACCATGAACGTCTTCTTCGTCCACGTCTTCTTCCTCGTTGTCGGCGTCGCTCTCGGCCTTATCCTTAAATTTTGACCGAATGTTGCAAAATTGGAAGAAGCTGCAGGCAATTGTAAGTATACAAAGCTCGTCACATTCAGGGGCGAGTAGGTTTTTCTCCTTACCTATTTTCAACATGATCCATCTTACTGTCGACCACTTGTTGAATGTCTTGGTGTGCAAAGAGCTTGAGGACCAAGGGGAGATAATTAGAATCCAGTAGAAGCTGAGTCAAGTATTCAAACTTGAGAACATCTGAGACCCAAACCTGTTAGCTGAGCCGTACTTGACGCAATGCTTATTCGATGATACCCACGCGAGAGTCTGAGCCACTTCAGCAAGAGTAGGAGAATCGCCGTCATAGCCTTCGAGGTAATCTCCCTAGTTCGAGTGGCGTCAATCTCTTCAGGAGTCGGCTCCCCATCTTGCTCTGCCTGTCCTTGTCCACTCATATCCATACCCCTCTGCGACCCATGGCCACCATTAACGCCGGGATTATTAGCCCTATTAGCCATCCCTGCCATCTGATTCTGCTGCTGGGTCACTATGGCCGTGACATTAACAAGGATGGGACGAAGTAAAACAATCACTATGGACTGAAGGTGAGGCAAGGCATCGCTCTACAAAGGATGCATTCGTTCGCATTAGTCGTGAATCGGAGACGAGCAAATGAAGAAGTTGAGAGCAGGGTACACTTACATAGAAACGTTCCACCGCCATGAGTCGTTGCTTGTCGCGTTCGCTCAATCTATCCGGTTGAGGGCCAAGATCAAGCTCAGGGCCTTGAAATGGTCGTTCTTTCTTCTTCTTCTCTTTATGATCCTCCACTTTTAGTTCACGCAGCACCTCTCTCTCTTCCAACGTGAGCTCATTAAGATCAAGTTCCTCAATATCATCATTATCGCTTTCGTCAGCATCGTCGTCAGTCTCCCAGCCGCGCTCAAATTTGAGGAATCGCTCTCGCTCCTCCCAGAGCTGGCGAGTCGCTCGTGTCATCCTGACACGCGAAGAAAATAGTTGTCCCGCTTCGAGAATTGAGGCGGGAATATCGCTGCCCTCCCATTTTCTAGAAACCAGAGGATTGCCATATCCCGCTTCACCCTTCCCGCCAGCGCTGTTACTGGTGGCATCAAGAGGGGGATACATAAAGGGAAAATTTTGGTTAGTCTGGTAGTTTTGCTTCTTACCGCCCTTACCACCGACTCCCGGAGATGGCGGTGGTGATGGTGCCGGGGTGGCAATGTGTACTGGTTGGTTGAGGATAGACGCTCCTCCCATTTGTACATTTGGTGGTTGTGGGATAATGCCGTTGGCACCGTTTCGGCTCGCAATATTAGGCAGAGGTGGAAGAAGTGATGGGTTGTCAGCCTCCAGTGGTATCAGGGGCTGCGGAGGAACATAAGCCGGGTATTTTGAGGTTATTTCCTGGCGGAAAACATGATAGTCTAAAGGATTTGCTGTGATTGTATCTTTGGTCTTGTCTCCATTTGTCAGCTCGCTGGTGGCTTCCTTGACACGCTCAAGGTCTTTGGTTCCGCCGAAAACAAGAAGAATTGATTTCCAGAACAAAAGGAAAATCTATCCATGATTTGTCAGTGATCATCTCGCCGAGAAGCACGGAAAGCACCAGACAGAGGTTGCAGTGGGGTTCTTACTTGAGTATGAGGCATGGTGCTCTGTTCATCCCACCTCAACTTGGAAGTCGCCAGCATCATGAAATCAACCAACGAGGGATTCAACTCAACTATATATCCCGGGTTAGCATCGTGCACGTCTTTCCAGTGCCACGGACGAAGCATGGCCGCGACATATGTTGTACATACGCAGTTTTGCTTCAGTCGAAGCCATATCTTCGGGGTCGTTCAACGTCTCCTGAACAACAATATACATAATCGTCAGGAGATTCATTAGTTCGTCCTGCGCGTCCTGAGCACTGGCTTGTTGGATCTCGCCAGTCCTATCAACGTTAGACTCCTCTCGACACATTAAGCAATTGCACCACGTGCGAGCCATGAATCATACCAATGGATCTCAAAGACATTCCTCAGTGCTTCCCAAACGACCGATAAACCTCCCAGCGACGTTAAGCACGTCACGCCAGCCTTTATCGCCTGTAATTGAGGGATGCTTGCAATGGACCGGCTCGTTTCATCCGTCGCGTGAGGCATCGCGGTATCGCCCCATCTTCCCAACACCAGATACATAATCTTTCCGATCGAATTCGCCCTCAAAGCCGCATCGTTAGACTGCACGCCCGCAATGGCGCCCTGTATAAATCTCGCTCTCGTGTCGTGGTCCGCATCGTCCCAGCCATGCTTGCCGCCCGATTCGTGCTTCCAATGCCACTCAAAGGCCTTTTGCGCCGCGTTAAGGCGCACCCACTGCCAAAATTGATACACGAACCACTCGTCTATCTCTTCGGCATGGGGGGCCATATCTGAGTAGACAAAGTCATATGCCGCGGGCTCAGTTGCATTGACCGTGGCCACGATGCGCCGCAGCTGCATGAGCGACAGGGAGTCGGTGGGGGCATGCTGTGGGATTTGCGCTCGGTTCGCATTATTAGTATTATTATTACCGCCCGAGGCTGCAGGAGGAAGCATCGTCGAGCTGCCGCCCTGCCGTTGCGATTGTTGTTGGGACTGCTGAAGGGGGCCTCGAGACGACGAGAGTGGCGGCAGCAATGGAGCTGGCGATGGGGCTGGAGAGTCGTCAATCGCGGATTCGTCCGCGGAGTAGTCAATGGCCTCCTCCACTGCCTCGTTCGAGGCCTCGTTCGACGACGCCTGGGCCGTTTTCGCTGAAGGCCACAAACTATTCATCATGGACGACGGGACGTGGCGGTTTCTCGTTACTTGTGGTACATTGCGGGGTCCCGCCAAAGATTCGTCGTCAGGGGTGTTGGTTAATCCATGGAGGCTGCGTGATACAGCTACTTGAACGAAGAATATGAACGATGCTTGATAGACAAGATTTGTCGCGTGCTGATGCTGGTCATGTGCCGGTGATTCAATGCTGCAGCTCCCAAGTTTGGAGCTTGATGTTAAGGTGTGGTTTAAGTCTGTAACTGGAGGGGTCTTGGTTGAGCTCTAGCGGAGCTCCAATTGGCTGAACCACCCTGGACGTCCCCTGAGGTACTGGTGCAGCGCTCAGTGCTGGACAGGTACCTTCAACGCACTACTACCTGTAACAGCATCACTTTTGCCAGACGAAATTCAGGTTCGAAACATGGCAACCTTTATGCCTGCTTTTCCGTAAAAGATAAAACGAGTCGCTCAAAGGGCTTTGTATTACAGCCCAATTATTTACATAAGCGTTGTATGTACAGTACAGAATTCCGCCGTGATGCTGGTTTACTCTTCATCAGAAGAGCTGTCCTCGTCACCTCCGCCATTCTCGCCCTTCCCAGCCTTTCTCTTTGCCTTTCTTCTCGCCTTCTTCAACTTGTTCAATCTCTTCTTCTTCTCTTTCACCTGCTCCTCCTTATCAGCCATCTTCTGCTTCGCTGCTGCATCAGCCTGCTCCTTCGCCCTCGCCTTTTTCCTCATTGCTATTCTGCTCTTCTTCCCCAGCCGTTTCCTCTTCGCTTGCTGCTCATCGTCGACGCGTGTGACATCTACTCCTTCCCCGGGCCGGGCTTTTCTCGTGACTTTGATGTTTGTGACTCGCCAGGGGAGCTCAAGACCCCATTCCCTTATTTTAGATCGCGCAAGGATGTCTTCTCCGCTCACTGCTGCCATCTCATATTGGTGTTTCTTCTCCGGCGGCAGGTCTGTTACCAGGTAGTATGATAACGGCCTACCTCTGGCAAGTTTGCCTTCGATAATTCTGTCGTGGTTTTCAAGAACAACCTTTGGTGCCGGACCAGCCGTGCTGAAGAGCCGAAAGGTATAGGCTTCATCCTCAGCTTCGGCATCTTGGTTAGACGCAGACTCATCTGCAGGGGCGTTTTGTTCACTCTCCGAATCAGAGCTGAGTCCGTCGTCTTCTTTCGTGTCGCTAGCCTGAGGCTTGTTGGGTCCAGGCAAGGTGTCCTGTGGTTTTGGCGCACGAAATTCACTCTCGTCTATTCCAAGAGCTTTGGCGATTTGTGCATTGAGCCATGCCTCCCGGTCTGCATCTCCTTCACTCTCGCTCCACGAAGACTCATCCGATGCATGTAGATCCTCCCGGCGGACTCTATCCTCAGAATTAGCTCTCAAATATTTACCATATAGATAACTACGACCGAGAGGGACACAGTAAACTCATACCTCTTTGCATCGGGCAGCTCAAACATGGTGGCTCTCCAGGCTGGGAAAAGATGAGATATCGGTTTTTTTCGCCCCCAATGGGCTATATTTAGATGCAGTCAATCGGCGTTGCAGAATTCCAAATTCGAGATAAGATGAAAACCAAATGGGTATATGCAGTTGACATGCGCCTCAACGAATCATGTTTCAATCAAATCCAAACCAACATAAAACGACGCTGTAAAAAGAAAATCCCCGGCAGTTTCTTAGGCGCGGCTTATCTTATCGAGAGTACAAAGTACATCGCTGCAGTCAGCACGCGCCCGGCTACCATAAGTATTCAGTACTTTTAAACGCTCGCGCTTGTGCGCTCTAACAAAGTACCTCATACTTTACTCTATCTCAAAGTTTCTACAAGAGACTTCAAATGTTCTCAGGACACACACACACACCATTCCACCCCCTATCCATCCCATTCACAACCTCTCTACTTTTTCGGGTCTTAATCAAGAATCCGCAACTCCTGTTCTTAGATAAAGAAAATAAGAATAAAAATAAAAGAAAAATAAAAAGCCGGAGGCAAGGAACCTTCGGTCCGCAAGACCTCCATCTCGGCCCCCACGCTCCGAAATCCAACTCGGGCAAAATGCACGAGAGAAGCAATTTAAGCAGAAAAAAAATAACCTGCATAAGGAGATTATAAATTGAATTTTTCTTTCTTTAATCTATTTTGAATTTACCCTCTCCAATACCACGCCGCCGTGCTAAAATAGAGCAAAGGGAGAAAAAAAAACGGAACTTGTCCTGCCGTGTAACACAACTTACAGGTTGTACCCTTGGGTCACATCTCATGTGGGCGTGTCCCATGCAGAGCCAAGGCCATTTTCACGCAAATTAACCACCGCAATTTCGATACAGAGCGGCTTTTTTGTGAATCTTGAGCCGTGGTTTTCTCTTCTTTTCCCCGATTCATCCTAGGCAATCATAGGGGAATAGTAACAATAGTCTGAAAAGTGCGTTCTAAACAAAAGTGCCATGATCGTAGCTACATGTGCTTCACTCCCCAACCTCCTTGTTCAGCCTGGTTGTCGTCCAATCACGGCGTCTAAAGAACCTTTTCAACATAAGCACTCATCTCGCTAGCAGGAATCAATCGGCCCATCAGAACTTGCTTGTATTGTGGTATCTCAACGTCGCTCAGTACCTAAGCCATAGGTAACTTCATGCCCATGGCTCCGACGACCTTGACGCCATACCAGATGAATCATTTTTGCCACCGTTCCCATGACCTGCATATCCAAAGTCCATGTGCTATCCTAATATATACATACACACACACGAAAATATACAGTCGTACACATGTGCGTATACGTATGCGTATATATATGCATGCATATACTCCGTAGAAATGAATCCTCCCAAGAAATAAATCCCGCCCAAGACTCGCCTATTACGCCGCAGAATCAAAACGTCGTTGTACACGTACCCAACCCATCATCCTGAAAGAAAATCCGCCATAATTTACACCAAAATAAAAAAAAAGGGGGGGGGGGGGGTCAAGTTGAAGTGATATACTCTGTGAAAACAGCTTGCCAAAGAGGCAGCGGCATGGTATTACCAGCCAGGAGCATTGCCCTTTAGATGCCTTGAAGGATGTTGAAAACCTTAGTTTGCGTTCCATGAGTAGTTGTGCATGGGTTCAAAGGAGCCACGAGACTCGGCCTTGACCGATGATGCAGCTGCCGTCCCCGCCTTGTAAGGCTCGTGGGGGAAAGAGTACGGCCTTGCGTCAGCGCTGGCATAAGCTGTGCTCGAACTGTTTTCCCCCGCAGCCGAAGTAGACCATGCCTGGGACGGTGGGTAGTATTCCCTCGAAGAGGTCGAACCATGTGTAGATGATCCGTATCGGTACTCAGGCGATTCGCTGTTGTTTATAGAGTTGGTGGCGTGGACGGATTGCTGTCCACTCTGTCGGGGGCTTTTGTTTGGGCGTCCGTTGTCGACATATCTAGGAATGCTCAGGGCGCTATCTGCATGGCCGCTCACTGCTGATGTGGTCGTGCTGGCCGGCAATTGAGACCCTGAAGTTGGCTGTTGTACGTAGGTGTACTGCCCACGGGCTGATGACGGCTGCTCATTTGCCCCAATCGAAAGGGGCAGGGGTGGTATCGCGGACTGAAGTGGTAGTTCCTGAGGGTCTGAAGTATAGTTGGACACTTTGGAATACGTATCAGCACCCATCGTCGCTGTGGGGTAGTTCCCTGCGCCGGATGAAGCGACTTGGGAGATGGAGGTGTTGCTGCTGCTGGCACTCCATGTTGAGTATTGGCTTCAGAGTCATCCTTGTTAGAAACATATACCACAATTACGTCTTGAGTCAACTCACTTTGATCTCATTGAACTCAGCTGTCCACTCCCAGGGACCTTGGGAGAGCTAAAGGTAAAACTTGAGCGTGGCACTTGAATGTCCACGCTTCGCTTGAGCTCTTGAGGCTTCACGCTTAATGCGCCAGCGACAACGCCCAAGCCCGTCTCCACCAAAGCCTGGCCCCTTGAGCCAGCGCTGGATCCAAGCAGAGGAATCTCTTTACGAGCCTGGAAGTTCCGTGGGCTACGGCCTCTCACTACAATAGGAGCCGTCGTGGATTCCGTCAAGACGACCTTAGTGTTGTCGGACAAGGTTCCAAACACTTTAAGGTGGAGCACAAAATGCTGTTGAAGCTCCTTCCGTCGACCGTTGTTTGCAGTAGCACTGTTCCAACATTAGGCATACACTCAAAAGGAGGCAGAGGAGAAAAGAGAGAGTAGTTAGAAGGAAAGTAAGGGGCTCAACATACATTCTGAACTGCAGTCGACGCCAGCCGATGGGATAGACTGCGTAGTCGCCTTCAGGCTCAGAACCATCATCCTGGAAAGGAATCAAGGGAAGAGCGGCAGGCTCTTGATCCGGGGTCTGGTTGATTTCGGGGGCGTTGGGTGGGGGAGTCTTCCATGGAATCACAATGAGGCGAACAGGGTTGCCATCAACAGATTCAATAGCAGATATGGCGACCTCCATGTTAGACACTGGAAGGGTCTCATTACTCTCGTTTACCACAGAGAGTTGTCCTCTTGGGGTGATCAGAGAGCCGCTAATTTGAAACAGGTTCCGTCGGTAGCAGGTTAATTCGGGCTGTAGGGCAGTTCCATCGCTGGCGGTCGAAGGCATCTCGGAAAGGAAGAACATGCCATGGAGCTGAGCCGATAGTTCCAGTTGCTGCACCCGGCCTTGTTGATCCACGATGGTATGTTTATCTTGTGTCCGCCTAAAGGCCAGCAGTTTGTGATCCTGATTTACCGTCAAACGAGAGCCATCATCTCNCAAGTCCTGGACGATTTCTTGGTATGCGGCCGGTTCAGTTTGCGAGAAGGGCCTCTTGAGACTGGAGTAGCCATGCTGAGCGGGCAGGGTCTGTTGCGAGTGGCGATCATACGCAATAGACTCTTCCTGGGAATACCGCCCATAGGAGTAGGACTGATCATGGCCGCTGCGAGGACGGCCTGGAAGAGGGGATGCCGACGCCGAACTGTGAAAGCCAGAGTCCATGGTTGTCGTGCCGAGTCTGTTGGCAAGATGAGCAGATCCGTTGTAGGTGGACCAGAAACTAGAATGGGCAGGCTCTCCTCTGAGGTCTGACATGGTTACTGGGTATGCTGTTGCTGTCATTATGGGCGCATGTCCCTCTGTGTCTTTACGTTTGTTGAGGATGCCGCGACGAGACTTTGTTTGGAGTAGATGATTGGATTCAGGGGCTGATGTCGCAATAGATAGAGAGATAGGTAACGAAGTTTGTGTTGTTACTTTGCCACTTAGTAGGAGGTAGACTGGCTCAGAGCGTTCCTCGAAGGAAGAAGGACGTTTAAGTAGAAGAACAGATGGGTTCGAATGAAGAAGTTGTAAACAGGATAGAATGTGAAAGATGATAAACAAGAGGCATGCCCACAGATATTAAATGGAGCTTCAGGACGGCAGATGGTGGAGGGGAGCGGTTGGTAGATAGTGGTTGGCAGATTTAAAAGGCCCGGCACTGAAGCGGGAGTGGTAGGATATCGATCCTATTATTACCCACAAGTGCGTACCTGTATGTGTGTGTGCGCATATGTGTGCGTCTATAAAGATGGCCAGATGGTCCATGACGGGCTTGCGGGCAGATACACCCGGTGAGGGCCATCGGTCCTTGCACCCCAGGGACGGGACCTAATACAAGAATGGCCTTCTGTCTACGGAGAAGGCCCAGGGACGCTGGTCCACTCCGGCCCAAGATCCATGCTCTCTTCACGAGCAAAAGGACTCTAGTAAGGCTAAGTTGAAATCGATTCGGACTCTTTGACACAAGCGCCGGTCAGACGCAGTGGACTTGTGAAGAAAATAGCCCAGTAAGTTACCGTGCATGCAGCCATTCTTGGAAGGAGGACGGGGGTATGCGGCGGCAGTGGAAGGGGGCCAAACTCGGATCTCGTTCATCAGACGCTTGAGGGGGGATCCCAGGGATTCCCTGCAAGCTTTTGGACTTTGACATCCGGTCCAGCAATCGTGCATGCCCGAAATTCGTGCAAGAGAGCATATGTATCGCCGGCCTTGTTCGTCCATTTCATTCATCATATCCAGGGGGGGCGTGCCCGCGATCTCTTTCTCTCTGGCCATTATTTTTGCTTTTTTGTTCGAGGCGACATCTCAAATTGCTTTTTCATGCAGACTTGCCATTTCTCTCTCTCTCTCTTTCGTTGTCTTCTTGCGTTGTATCTCTACCGCAGAAGTGAGACCCGAAATATGGACAGAATACCAGTCATTTCTTCTAATCCTTTTTCTTTCTGGTCAACAGTGGGCCGCAACTCCGTCCGACGCGAGACATGAGCAACGCCTTGAACATTGATTCTACCAATTATTCAAAAGGTCAGGGAGATTTTCCCTGATTCGAAATGAGAATGCCTACTCCGTAGTGCTCGCTGTGCTTGTACACCCCTCCCCCCTTGAGAGCGACGTCCGCTTTCCTTTCTGTTTTGCGTGCAAGAAGACAGACAGAGGCACATTCGGGGGCTTTTTGCTGATGGCCCATGCTAACCCTGCTAGTACCTGATGGTACGGAGTACAGGTACAAGTGGTATGTAGTAATTCGTATGTTATTGTAACGTGTGGTATTGCATGGACGGAGTAAACGTGGGCGCACATCAATCTCACCAGTACGCTTTCAGAGCGCACGAGATTTCCCTGTTACGAGCACTCTCTGTCTAGTTATGTCGAAAAGGGCCCGCCCTCTAGCCTCTGCATGTACCGAGTGGGCGTGGGGACAGTTCTGCCGAGACGTACACCAGGGGGGGGCTGATGACTGGCGCAGCGCCTCGAGGCTAGGTGATGGAAAGGAAACATGGTTGTTACCCGGCTCGGCATGGTGGAAAGGTTAGGTCGAGGAGCCAGGGTGCGGTGGAGTGCCTTGCTCATCTCAAGACGAGATTCTCACAAGCCGCTGAAGGATGCATTCCGGAACCTAGCGAACCAAAGGTGGTGCTCGTGCAGTCAGAGGCAGAATACTCCGAGGCCAAGATTAAACCAGGCTAGTTGTGCTGTTGCCAAAGACAGCTCGTTTCTAGAAACCGGCAGTGAATGGAACACAGCACCGAGGCGGAAGGGCAAAGACTGGAATTGTCTCTCGAACCGGCCTGCACGCGGCTTTTGTCCGTGCTTTGTAAAAGTACTCCGTGGACGTTCTGAGCCAAGAAGCCGTGTAGGGCCGTGCAGAGACAAGACAGTAGAGTACTCCGTACTGCTCCGTAAGTATTAAACTGCGACCAGGTAGGGCAGCCGCGCCAGAAGTCAAGACGAGGCAAGTCAAGACAAGACAAGACAAGACGCCGGTCTCGAGAGCCACTTGCAGGGATCAAGGTGGAGGCGCACCTCGACGGCCGGAGGAGGATCCCTGACCAGAGGGAGAAGGTGTCCAGGTAGTGGCGCGGTGCGGTGCGGTAGCAATAAGCTGTGCAGGGAGCTGGACCTGCAAATAAGCTAAAGGATGCGTGTGTGCAAGTCCCTCGCACATGTTCGATGTTGTGCTCGTTTGTACGCTTGTACCGAGAGGGTAAACTGTTAGCACCGATTTTGCTTTGCCTTGAAGGCTGGGACGGACTCGAAATCGGCCGATTGACACCCGTGTATGCGGTGGATATGAACGGCTGGGCCTCTCCGCGTATTATCCGTAATGGATCACTGCATCTTTGTCTCTCGCAGGTATTGGTGCTTTACACGGGAAGCCCAAATTTGAACAAGGGACCAAAGCAGAGAGAGCTCCTGCTGCTATTCGAGGAATTTGTTCCACGTCCGCCGAATCTCCCCGTCAAGATAGGAGGCGACGACGAGGGGGGAACAGCAGGGGATAAAGATAGGTACTCTCCCACGAAGTATCGCACAGTAAGGGTGTATAGACCAGCTTGCTCCAGAGGGCCAATCACCTTCGCGTGTGTGTTCGTCCGATCAAAGTGCGTCGAGCGGCTAATCAGGTAGATTGTGAGATGATCTCGTGGTGGCGGCGCGAACAAGACTGCCGCCTAAGTCAATGCTACTATCACCGATGGCCCCCCATTCATCCACGCCTTAGTAAAGACGAAGGGGGGAGCGAGCGAGGGGCGTGCCGAAACATTGTCGGAAGAAACATTGCCTGAGAAGTAGTACAAGTAACAAATGCCACTGCTAGCCATTATTGGAGAGAAGATGAAGAGGATGGGTGGGTTTGAAACGGGTCGACGGTGGAGCATGAGCATGGGACCAAGGGGCCTTGTCTACAGGTACTTGTATAACCTGTTTGCATCGATGATGGGCTGAAGCTTGATTGACTCATGGTATCTGCGGGAAATCGTGACCCACGAGTATCAATAATCGGCCTCTGGGGACAAGCATACGAGGTAATACTCCGTACTCTGTACATCCAGTCTGGGGCACTGCACCATCTGTGTACTCGTACTTGTAGGTACTATAACATATTGAGATGGGCAAGAGAGACTAGTAGGGAGACATTGTCTAGGCAGACATGCAGAGAGGGAGGAGCTCCAAGAACCATGTTCAAGGGCATTCACATATGTGTATGTTTCGTACGAGATATATGCTCCGTACGGAGTACATGCAGCCAGAAGTGTAGTAAGGTATGATACAGAGAGCGGAACTATGTCGTACTCGTAAACGCGGGAGGTGGAGAGAGAGAGATAGAGTGATGATGAGAGTGAGTGGGCGCGTGAGTATGTGTGTGTGCATGTGTGTGCGTGCCTGTGTGCATGATGGCGCAACAAAGAGGAATCCGTCACACACAAAGACATGAATGCGAGCAAGCGAGGCGGCAAGGCTCTCGCCGCAGAGAGCCAAATATGAAAAACACCTTTGTTGCCAATGTTGCCACCATCTCCGAGGATTTGCTCAGAAGAGCGGCGTCGGACAGAGGGCAAGCCGAGGACAGGAATGCCGCAGTCTGGCCTCGGTCTGGCGCGCCCCCCAATGCCGTGCCCTCCTAGTACCCTATTCAGATCATCCTTGCTCGTGATGTGCCTATCGCAACCACCGTCTCTGCATTGCCTGAAGAGTGGCGTAACGATGCGTAAGGGTGCAGGAGAAGGCCTCGAGACAATGCGGAGGATAGCCCACCCTGGCCAAATGCGGAAGCTCGCGCAGGCCGGCTGTGTCCTGACTGGCCATCCAGAGGCAGAGATGAAGAAGAATCAAGAGTGGACTCGGTGGGCTCTCTCTAGCTGTCGATCTGGCCTTGGGTCATCAATCAGTGATCAGTCGGCTATAGACCCACCGCGGCCGGGTGGTGACAAGGCACATGGGCAAGAAGAAACACATTGTCCAGGTCGAGATGCTGCAGTTCTCAGGTTGTACGAGCCACCCCCGTGCGACTTTGGTTCTTTCTTCTTTATTCGCCCTTCCACGGCTCCTCTTTCTTCTTCGCAACTCGATTTCCCGCGCTCTGGTTCGTCTGCTATTGACTGGGGTAGCGCACGATCTAGACACTGATCAACTTTAGCCGTGAGGGGATGAATGAGTTGTGCCCCATGTCAACTTCAACAACCCGAGTCCCCGTGATAAAGCCGTGTGACTAATGACGACAGGACGAGAGACGGAAGGGGGGAAAGGGAAGACAATATTGCCAGAGGCTGAAGTTGAGTCTTGTTAGAGATGCTAGATGGATAGGCGATGGATTTTGAATCACCGCATCTATGTAGGTAAGATAGGGAGCAACAAGTGAGATAGATGCTTGTCGTTGGGGATGTTGTGCCGGTCAGCGATCCAAGGCAAGGGCTGTCAGGCACTTGTACTCAGTACTCATGATAGGCCGCCGTCAAGGTGTCGTTTTGCACCACTTTAGCAATCAGCTTTAGTACAAGGTACCTAGCAGGCATTGGATGCCATGTGCCCTTGCCTCAGGCATCGCAGCTTCCCGCCTGTCTCCGGTTACAGAACTTTACCTTGTTCATCTCCAGGACTGTATGGATGTGCTCACCACCAGCACTGAGCATCTTAACTCCGATAACCTTGCTGTTGAAGCTTTGCTGACCTACAGGCTACAGATATAGTAATGGGCCCTGAAATTATACCGAGAACCAAAGCTTACTTGTCTGACTAGAGTCTCTCAGCTGCGCCAGAACGTCCATCGAAATCCTAATTCTCCGTTCGCCCGCTCCATCGAGTCAACGCTCCGCCTAGAAGCAATAGACGGCAGCTGTCCATGGGGGTCGCGCATGTACAGGAATCTCCTGCGCCGCCTGTGGCTGCGGCTTGCTTCTCTGAGGCCGGTGATTTGAAACCTGATGGTGTACGGCGCAGGCCTTCCGGAGGCTCCTCAAGGTTTCCTGGCCCACCCCGTCTTCTCTTTCGGTGCCCCTGCGCCTCTTGCGCCCCTGCAATCACTCGTCCCGCGGCGCCCCGTAAGGCAGGTACCCCGACCAAGCCACTTGGAGCCTTGTTTTTGACGCCTGCATATGCACGGCCACGGAGTGTCTGCGGTTATATTTCGAGTGCTTCTTGACGGCAATGCTCTAGGCTGCGTGAGGCCTAGTTTGGCCCCCACCAAGATGCTCATGCTCTCTCTCGAGTCGAGTCCCGCATCAGCATGGACAGCTCCACTCAGCACATCCATCACCTGAATTGCTTTGAAAGACAAGACGCGGCTGTCAACTCCACTTGCGTGCGATTTCTGAATCAAAACAGTACGGATACGGAGTGCTCGTAGAGGTAGTCCGAGGGCGAATTAGCCTTTTGCTCGACTCAAGCGAGTGGGAGTGTCCCACAAAGATCCCCGAAAGCCACCTCGTGTATTTGCAAAGCAGGTCATGTACGCCTTCTGACATTAGCATCGCTTATTCACCGGAGGCTCGTTAAATTCAATCCTGGGCGAAAGACATACTGGTACAAGAACTACACCATGGGCGATTGTCTATTCTCTTTTCCGTCTTGCCCGCAATCGGTTACAAGGCAGCGACACCTGCAGTACATGCCCGGAGTATATATCGGCGCCTTCTCTAGGCTTCAACTTTTCGGACAGACCAAGGCATGGGTATAATGCTCAGTCACGGCTGTCCTTTCTGGCATCGTGTGCATGAATTCTCAATCAGCCGTGGTATATGGAGACTACAAGGGACAAGGTACCGTGCGGAGTTTGCGGAGACGCGGTTGACCCGTCAAGGCAAGGCATGGCAATCATGGCAAGGCTACGCCCAGGGCTACTGTCTTTGATTGGACATGTGCGGCACGGATTCTACTTGCGTGTAACAGCCACGGCCAAAGGAAAGCCCGGATTGTCTGCGAGCTTGCTGGCACTCCCTTGCAGACACCAGTGAAAACTTTATCGATTATCACACTCTACAGTAGCATCCGGCAGGCTCGCCGCTGAGATCCACAGCGGACGCGCCATTCCTAGCAGGGTAGACACATAGTCGTGCCTGGCCAACTGCCGAGAAGAATCGTATGCATGGTACCTTGGGAAATGCATGCGGGTGCAGAGTTGTGCTACGGAAATAAGGTCGTACTCGTCCGCGGCGCCCGATGACATTTGTGCTGCCAGTTGATTCAACTACCTTTGTTCTACTACAGTACTACTGTATGCCGCTTTTCTCACAGCATCAAGTGCTGTTAAGAAAATTCATGTCATTAACAGGGTATTAACGTTAGGGTTAACATCAAGTTTTTTGAAGTCAGCTCGTCTAATATCAGATACCCATGGTGGTGTTAAAGTTCACTCTTCCTCCATTCTTGCAGTCAAGCACTTTATCCCGAAATTCGTTTTCACTCTCTTATCAGCCTACGGCCTCCTCTATTCCGGAGGAACTCCAAGGGCCGTATTGCATCCTAAGTGGTGGCCAGCACGGTCCATTACATGTATTCCGACTTACCTTAAAGATACTCTTTGCAGGGTAAGATTATTCTACGGGCACATAGTACTATCCTATCCTCGGCTCTGTCCAGACACATGCACTTGCAAGAGCCAAACTGTACTGCCCGAGGCACCAATTTCCCTTCTTGCAGATTCCAAACCTCCTAGGCTGTCTCCCTAATGCCGAATGATGCGATCCCTTGAAAGCAAGGGACGTCAAAAACACACTTATACGCAAGTACATTCTTCAAACAGCCTCCTAAAAAGCGCTATGCAGGGACTTATTTCGCCTTATGCAAGTAGATTTGCTACTAACGTTGCGTCCAGATCTGCAGGTACCTTTTGCGCCTGGACAGGCTCAGGTACGCCAAGTGCTTTAGTACCTAGTAGCGATGCTAAGGTGTCATCTAACATGACCGATGTAAGTGCTTGTAGCGTTCGATGAGCACGGTACTTCTCTTGACGAATACAGTACCTGTACTTTATACACTTCAATCATCGACTTCTTGTATGCTGGGCGCCGACCTGTAGTACCGACCTTGGCTCTAAAATTAGGGCCTGCTAGTACGGGTACGTGCTGCCAAGGTACCTGGCAGCTCCCCCCATACAGGTCGTACAGGTCAATGTACAGAGTACACTACACTAAGCGGGAGGTGTTGAAGAAATGCAGGACCCAAGGCAGTAAGTGGCAGGAACTACCATGTACCCAGCAGGCACCTGCCACACTGCATTTGTTAGATTAGACATCCCTTCTGTGTCAGTCCTTTGCAGTCCGCTGAGGCCTCCTCCATTCAGGACACGTTTTTCCTTTGTTCATCAGCTCCATGGATGTCTTGACCAGTGCAATTGATTACCTGTTCTAGGTAGTATTTCCGGCTCTTCTTCATGCGCGCCACACCAAACCCTGCTCTGTGCGACTGCCTCGGACACTGACAAGCATCAGTGTGGCGCTCAGGCCATGCATGTGACAGCCTGAAGGGCCTCCAGCACTTTGAGGGCAGCCAATCTGTGTCTCCAAGCAGCACGAGTAGTGTACACACTCCGTACCGATATCGACGGGCTCTGCAGACCTCGAGAGACCCTTTGATAAGTGCTCACTGCGCCCACGCCTGCAAACAGCCACCGAGGCGGCCCTGTCCTCATCTCGAGTTTCATCGCTCTGCACCGGGCCTTTTATCGCTGGCGATGTAACCATCAGGGGCTCGTTTGGGGGCCGCTTTTGAGATCTCACCGTCCAGGGCACTCATCTATCCTCATCGTGATGGTTGACGAGCAGCGCCAGATGGCTGATGGGTTACTTCCCGTCTCCCCACCCCCATGCTCCTTTGCCATCACCAGGCATCCCTGGCGTCCCACGCGAAGGCCTGCCACTTGCTGTGGTCCCGTCATCAGCGGCCCACACCACGAGCGCGAGAGACACGACATGGTGCAAGGCCTAGACAGAGGGCCCGGAGCTGCCATACTGTAGGATATGTCGGCTGTACGAGTACCTACGAGTACAAGCACCAAGCCGATCTGGGCAGAGCTTCATCTCTTTCTCTCTCTGGCCATGACATGGATTCCTTTATCCGCCTTCAAGATTAATGCCCTCGCCGCTTACCTGCATCTGTCTGGCGCGCCTCACTACGACTTTGTCTTGCATCGCGTCAAGGGAATACCGCTCAGGCTGTCAAAGAGCCTAAGAAGACAGCCGATTGATGAAGAACAGGCACAATCATGATAACCCCAGAGACATTATCCATAGTACTACATTATGCATACTCATACGCACAAACCCCCTTCGGCTTTTGGCCGAGCTTGTTTTAGCGACGTCACAGAGCTTTTCCGGCATTGCCAACTTTGATGGGAAGCGACGACATCACACATCCAGTGTCAAATCATTCGCGGCATCCTGTTTTGTCAAAATTGGTTATACCCGTCTTTTCTCGGTTACAAACAGCAAACAAGTCCTGAGGCATTCGATATGTATTGATTTCACGAACTCAGAGTCCCCAGTCAACCAGTTTGCCACGCATGCTTATTATTACACTCTACGGAGCACCGACCTTGTATTGTGGGCAGTATCGGTATCGGATCTACTACTATTACCCGCCATCCGTAGTACTGCATTATACACATGTCTTTGTACTACACAAACACGTGCAAGCTCCGTCGGCATCTCGGGGCTACTTTGATGAGCTTGGCGCGTCCATGTACATACAATGTTTGCAAAGCTGCGACTTAGAGATCGGGGCATAAAGCTCGGTGTTGATTTTGCTTCCACCCTTCCCCAATCGGCGTCAACTATTGCGCCGGCTGTGAGCAGAAATTGCCTGCGATCAGAATCAAAGGATCCTCGGAAAGAAAAGGTCTCTGGCTGTCTTATCATGTCGCATTCGGTAGCAACAACCTACAGGGTGCCATCCCCCATGGCTTGATGATCTGCGACGCTTTGGCAAGATGCAGATCCCCGGTCTGCAAAGCATATAATACGATCCTTGGTCAATGGGGCTCCCTAGGGGTGTTTCCAAAGAAATGGCCGTTCAAGGTGGTGGCGACGACTTTGCAAATTATACAAGTGCGAGGCAACTACTCAGCACCTTTGAAGGGCGTCATCATTCACATTCACACGGCCCTCATCGTGGTGTCGGCGTCGTGGGTGGATAGAAGTATTTCTCGGCTGCGGTTGAAATAACAGGCTTCCTGCTGGAATAGCTACTGTGTGTCGATCATGATGCCGCGGCCAGTCCGTGAAGGCGGATTCTCAGCATGTATGCCTCGCTTGTGAAGAGGCGTCTGTGAGCCAGCTAACCGGCGGCCGAGGTCCTTACAGCCGTTGGTCAGTACGCGCCTAAGCTCCATGTCCGGCCGCCGAGATGGCCCCCTGCTAAGACCTTACCCCGTAAGGAACAGGCGCCGTTGTGCTTTGACCCGCAGAAACCCCGCGATGGAAGTTGTTGCATGGCAAGTCCATGCCCTCGTCAAAGAGACTACTCGTACGGCTAGTTTGTGTGGAGCATCTACTACAGGTACAATGGTGTGGACGCGGATACAGGGCATCTGTGCCGCGGCCGTATTTGGCTTGTCATGAAGCAGCTCGGCCATCTCAACTCTCGACTCATGCTCAGCAAAGGAAAGAAAGCCTTGCCAGTCATTCTCGCGAGTATTAGAGTCCATATAGCAACAGAGGGGTTAGCTATAATACGGGTAAAGCTTAACAGAGCAACAGAAAAAAAAAATGAACGAAGAGAATGGTGGAAAGAGAATGGGAAAGAAGAATAATGAAAAGAAGGGAAAATAACAACAAAAACAAATGATCTTGAGAGCGGCGTTATTAAGTCGGCGGCCGATAGACGAGATGCCCATGTGGTATCATGTATCTAAAATCCGGGATGCGGATGATTCGGCCTTGACTTCCAGACCGAATTGGGACGCTTTACACGATACGGCGCGCGGTTCTGCGTGAATAACTCGACTGGCTTTGCTTGTTCACCAATAAACCCTTGGTTGACAAGCACTTGACGAAACATGTACAAACATCTTGATCCACCTGACAGCAAAAGCATCAAACACAACGCCAGACAGCACGAACGGTCGATATATCACCATTGCCAAATAGGCGCAGGGGTCTGTTCAGCTTCAGCCATGGGCCGTAAGAGTAACGGCTGGAATGCGGTTTCAACATAGGCGGCACTGCGGCACTCATACCAGCCAAATGTGTATCTATATGGTATGTCAATACGATACATACTGCTCACCCGGATAGGCGACAAAGAGATGCGGCTAGCGGGATGTCACCCAGGGTTGAATTAATACCTCAATCGCCTTATTGTACTACTACTAGTAGTAGCATTACGGAGCAGATCATCAACCCCATCTTGATGCGGTAGAAACGGAGCTAAAATCAGCCGGCGGAGGCTCACCCCGCGCCATGAACCGGATCTACTTGTACTACAGAGTGTCACCCTTCACATCTTTTGCGTCCAAGTGGCATCACTGCAACTGACCCAGACAGTCTGCCACAGCACGGCCTGTTCAAGACACTTCCTGTATGCGGTGGTATAGTGCGTGACCAGGACCCATGAGACCCGACGGCTCTCCCGAAACCTGGTATGAATCTATTACCGTATTCCACTCCCAAAGAGCAATAGCTTCTTACCTCACGGCCACTCGTGCCGATCTCGAGTGCTTACTGGGTACTACCACAGAACGACGTCGACGAGCGGCACTCTTATTGCATAAGACTGTCCAACAGCCTCTTTGAGTCGATCGATGAGGGAGGCTTGCCCACGGAAAGAGGATGCTCGGATATCAAGTGTTGGAAGCTCAACACGCTGATCTGAGATGTTAGTGGCATTCTGTCGTCAGATCTCTCTTGCATACGCTTCTTTACTCGTATGAAAGAGGCCCTATCAGACCCCATCTATTCCCAATGGACTATGGTACATACATTCAGGGTACATCCACACTCCCTCGCCAAGATATCAAGACCTCATCAAGCGTGGGCTTGGCATCACCGGGCTATATCAACACAGTTTCTGCACATGGCGATGGGGTATATTGTGTAGCACGCTGTGGTACACGATACTCAAATCTTGACGACCCATTACGACATGATACCTATTATATCATCAGAGATCTCTCTGTCCTGGCTCATTCTTGAAGGCGAGGGAAGTGGTCGCCCCGTACCAAGCGCTGTCAGTGGAAGTGTAGTCTGACGCCGTCCCGTCAGAAGACGATCTAACGCAGACATTCCCTGCTGGCTCTACAGGCGAAGCAGCCGATCGGGCGGCGTCAAAACCATACAGCAGCGGTGCGACATAGCCTGCGGCTACATACTACTCCGCATGAGGTAGCACCGGCACTGCTAGTCTTGCTACGAAGAATACGACATCGATACCTGTGCTAGCCTAGGCACTAGCTGTAGCGCTGCAACTCTGTGGGGCGCCATCATTGTACGAGTGGAGGGCCTCACGAGGATGATCTGGTCGGCTGAGAAGCTCGGACGACAAACTTCAATGACCTTTTGCTCAAGACTGCAATTCTCCGCATAGCGTCAAGGGAAGAGGGAAACACGCCTCGCAGAGGACACGTTTGCTCTTATTCAACCCTGATTACACCAAATGCCTGGCTGCAGTGGTGAAACAAAACCACCATCTTCTTTCAGGATGAAGATGCCCGTTGTTCAACCTCTGCATACCAAGTGTTATTTGTTTCAAGAGAAGGGCTGACTCGCGGATCACGGCAATTGCAACATGTCGGCGCTTTATGCTTAATGAATCTTGTAACGTGCTATCTGCTCTATATTGCCTTGCTCCTCTATTCAACGGCTCACACCCTGTGTCCCACCAATGCTACTACTCAAGGTACCAGGAGCAGCAGAAACCTCTGCTCTCGCGTCCATCGCCCGTTTTGTATGCCGCATATACTTGGTATACCTACATGCACGACTCCATCATACAGAGCACCGTACCAAGCCCCGACGCCGTTTTGTAAGCCAGCCAAGTGCTTATGAATTCGGCGGTGGCCGAAGAGGATGCAAGCCGGCGTCGAGTTTCCGCACCTCTTTGGTTAGGGGTGTCTCACTTTCCTTTCTTTTTCCGTTTTTTTAACCCATTATCCCTCTATGTTGACTGGCCAATGCGTGCGGTTTCCCCCCTGGCTCCCCGAAAAATCTGCACATTGTTGCTCCGTCCGCCGCGTGGTCTCGGAGACAACGACGCTTTGGTAATGTCTTGGGAGGAGATGGTGATGGACGAGAGCCTTGAGTGGCCAGGTGAGGCGGACGGCCCGAAAGGGATTCTCCGCCATGGCCGATGGCCCAATGCGGCAGTATCAACTCTCTATCCCTTTGCTTTGTCTTACCACTCCCCCATACATACGAGGCACGCACGCTCCATGCCATGCCCTTGGAGGGAGTGAGTGGTACAAGTTGTCTCTACGGCCGAGACATGCTTTCCCAGCTAGCATCGCGGCTTGAGTGCCGAATGACATGATCATCAACCTTCTCTTTTCGATACGATGGGCGGGGATCAGCAAAGCTCGTCAAGGCGATATTAGCACTACCACCAAGCGCTCGGGCCCGGTAGCGGCATCTGCGTTTTGGCGCGGGCCTTCCCCTCTGGTCGTTTTTTGAAATGGGACAGAAACGCCGAGACTGTCACTTTGCCTGTCGTGAAATTTGAAGACCAAATGGCATTTCCTCGGCCTCGCTAGGCGGCACTAGCCTGGCCGTTTTGTTTAATTATGGGCTCCGAAAGCTGTTTCTCACGGACCACGGACAAACACGACCAGATCGATCTATGTAACGTTCTATTCAATTATTAACTGACACAAATGTAATTTCGTAGACGCGTAGATTATTCCATCGCTAAACGACCAATGTCCCGTTGCATCCCTTTGCGCAATGTCCGTGGTGTCGATATGCTGCAAACTGGCGTGTAATGGGCCGAATGGTGGTGCTTTCCGCATCACCCTGCTGGCTGAAACTGTTGCGTAGAGTAAAAAAGCAAAGATAGCAACACGTTGAAACGTCAAAACGACCCATCAGGCGCATGAATAGGTAGACTTTGTAGAATAATCATTGCAAGATTCTTTGGTTTCAAATGATGCCAATCCGTAGGCTTTTGAGGGCAAGTTTGCTGCCTCGAGTGTCACCGAAAACGCCAATTCTCGTCCTCTTCGTCTGAATCGCCGCCCTCAACCTCATCTTCCGCATCGAGGAGTGCCATCCGAACAAAGTGTCTAACCCACGCCTCCTGATCGGCATCCAGCCCGTCCTGATTCTGATTATTAGGGTCATTCGGGTCCGGGTTCTGCCTCGCACCTCCTCGACCTGCAGCTCCAGCTCTACCTCGCGCTCCTCCACGTCCGCCGTCATGACCTCGACGGGCATCACCTCTAGCACCTCTTGCACGGTTGGCAGGATGGCCTCTAGCATTGTTGACGGCTTGGCCTCCACGATGATTCGGACCATGTGCCGCACCACGGCCTCTTGCTGCTCCTCCGCCGCGGGCTCTGACGGGTTGGTTGTCTGCACCTCGATGCCCGCCACGTCCCTGATTGTTGTTGTTATTGTTGCCGTTGTTAACTGGATTGTCCATAAGTCGTAGGACAAGGGGAGCCTCACGAGCTACAGCAACTCTCTGGCCGTTCTCGTCAAGCTGCACCGGGGCGTTGGCATTGACATTGGCGTCACCCTCGACCTCGTCGTCCACCTCTTCAATCTCCAAGCCAATTTCGTCCAAAGCCTCTTCACCTTCCGGCACGGCTTCGTTCGCACCATTGTTTGCCGCAGCACCTCGTCCACCAGCGAATCCGATACCAACATCATCGCCATCGCCACCTTCCAGCTCCCACAAGCGCATATAGCATGATGTAACCTTGCCATCTTCCTGTTGGTTGTAGTGTCGATATGGATTCCCTGGATCCAGCCAACAGGAGCAAAGGTAACAGAAATGTGTATCGCATCGCGAGCAAATCATATGGTTACAGCCGTGAGTCTTTTGTGCCGGGGCGTTGCAAGTTGGGCAGGGACTCGTATGCAGCTTGAGATACTCGAGAGAAGCCTTGTCGTCCTCGGTAAGCTCGCCGTCTTTGCGTCTGGGGGCGCATTGGAAGAACTCTCCATGCCATGACTGGAAACATCTACTGCAAAAGGCAAATCCGCAATCCTCACAGACAGATAAAAGGTCACCGCGATTGAACTTGTCTGCTACTTTCTTGCTCTTTCCGTTGGCTTCCCCCTTCTCGTCCTGATCAGACTCAGCATCTGAAGCTTCGCCAAAGTCGAGACCTTCAGGCTTCTTGTGCTTTTTGGAGCGCGCAGCTCCGTTGCACCACTGTCGAGGGCAGTAGATGGTGTTTTTGTCAGATTCAAGCTCCGTCTTATACTTGAGGTCAACATAGCGCTTCACCATGTCCTCAGAGAGGCCAATCTGAAGCAACTCGCTGGGGCTGATGAAAGTCTTGGGCTTGCGTCTCTTTTCCCCTTCCTCCTTTGCAGCCGCAGAACGCTCTTTAGCACAGTTGGGGGCCAGACAGCGAACAGTCGACAAGTTGCCTTCTTTGATGGCATCATTGTAGAAATCTTGGAGACATTGCAAGCAGAAAATGTGAGTGCAGTCAAGCATCTTGTGACACTTTGATCCTTTCTTGGGATCTACAGAGTATCATGGTGGATTAGTATGAGAACGTGGGTTGATATATGGGCTGTTTCTCATACATACCTAAACAAATGCCACAGTTGAACGTCTCCTTGTCAAAGGCCGCCTTCTTGGCTTTGATATCGTAGTCTAGCACAGCGAGCTTATGCTCTGGATCGACCTGGAGAGTTCCCTCAGTCGTAATGGACCCAAACACATCGTCAGCAGCCCGCTGTATGTGGTCGATATAAGTGTAGGCCACCAGGTCCCGTCCCATTTCTTCCCACAGTTGAGATGCTTCTCCCGCAAGATGTGCAAGCTTTTCAGCCGAGAGCCATTGAGGAGTGGTTGAGATCTTGACCAGGGGCGGGCATTCTGCGGGATAGCCATCCGGAAGCGTGATATGCATGGTGAGAGGAGGTAGGTGAGAGACTTGCAGAGAGTCTACCAACGCCGGTGCATCAGAGGCCGAGCCGTTGAGAGCCTGACCAGGCTCAGCAGCAGCAGGAAAGGTCACGGTCACAGGGGCAGCCGGTTCCACGGGCAGCTCCAGCTCAAAAACGAATCCAGCGCCATCTGGACGGCGAAGCTCGGGATAGATGGCCTCGAGGGTTTCCAGCTCTGTGGCGCGGACATCATCGTCATCGACTGCTGAATGATCCATGTCGGCTGCACGGCTGAAGCATGTCCGCTGACAACAGAGAGAAGATGGCGGTGACAAAATCTATCGAGCTTTCGTGAGAGAGCTGGCTGACAGTGCAGTTGCAGTGCAGTGCAAGAAACCTGTGGCAAAGCGTGAGCAAGAAAGACTTAATCGGCGATAATTCTTGATCCAATCATGTCAAGGGCGCTCGCCATACTAACGCACACTATTGCTCAGTGAGTGTCTGGTGAGAGAAACTGTTTAAGCAGACCGACAACGCAGACCGACAGACAGAAGAAGAGAAGAATATATCCAAAAATAAGAGAAAAGAAAACAAAAAATAAGAAAGAATTTGAGGAAATATGGCTACAGATCCATCTCTATTTGCCGCAGTTGAGTCATCGCCGAGTGTTTGAATATTTTGCAGTAGAAACGTTTAGAAAGTACTAAGTTGAGCCCAAAATTCATTCATCTGCCACTATTATTCCACTCTACTAGAGTCAGGCAGGAGCTGTTAATTCTGTGCGTCGCGGGCCGTGGCTACCTAATCTGCTAATTTCCGTCTGTAATTTTTCGCCTCCGGGGCTCTTAACAGCTGCGCCACACCGCTGCCAGAATCAAGCCACGGTTTCTCCTTGGTCAGCCCCGAAATGCCGTCACATGCATCTGGATGTGTCTCTTGCATCATCACTTTTTCCTTTCTTCATTCTTCATTACTTTTCATCGCTTTTGACTTGGGGGCGATTGCTTTCTGCATGGGACATGATGGGATTGTTGTTGAACCGGTAGCCCCAGCCTGATTCAGATTCTCTTCTCCCAGATTCTCTTCTCACATCTTCTTCTTTCCACTCTTTACTTTTCTACTTGCATCGAGGTATCATGCACTCACCAACCGCAAATATGAGTGAAGATTACACTTCCACGCTTGCCTCCCTCTCCGTCACACATGTCTACTATGTAAGTTCCCACCAGTCATGCTGTTCTCCTTGGCCCAATAGACCAGCTAATTAATTGTCTTTCTCTCTTCCAGGACCCGGACGACTACATCTCCCTCGTGTGCGCCTACCTCGCCCTCCTCCCCCAAGCCCTCTGCGTCGTCTACGCCACCCTCATATTTTCCACCCGCGAAGCCGAAATATGTCTAGCCTTTGCCGGCCAACTCGCCTGCGAGGCCCTCAACTTCATCCTCAAGCGAGTCATCAAGGAGGAACGCCCGCGCCGCATCCACGGCAAGGGCTACGGCATGCCTAGCTCGCACGCCCAATTCGTTGCTTTCTGGAGCCTCTCGCTCGCCCTGTTCCTCCTGGTACGCCATAAGCCGCTGGCCCAAGGGAAGTCATCGGCGAGGGCCACGATATTCGACGGCGGCCGGCCCTGGACTCTGGTCGAGAGGTTGGCTGTAAGTCTTGCTGGAGCGCTCGTGGCGGCGGCAACGGCGTGGAGCAGGATTTACTTGAATTACCATACAACGACACAGGTGGCTGCAGGTGCGGCTGCGGGACTCATCTTTGCGCTGGTCTGGTTTGTGGCGACGGAGATTATTAGGAGGACGGGATGGCTGGCTTGGGGCATTGAATTGCCTCCTGCGAGGCTGCTGAGGATACGCGATTTGGTGGTGGAAGAAGACATGTGCCAGGCAGGGTGGGAAAAGTGGGAAGAGAAGAAGAAGACGAAGACGAAGACAAACTAGACGAGACATACAAGCGCATGTGCAAACTCATTGATGGCAATATCAGCAAATGATTCCTCATGGTTACTTTTTAAAAACCAGTTATTCATACGAGCAAAAGTGGCTATCCAAAAACATGTCTCGTAGTGTCTAATTTTGACGTCTTCTATCATGTTCTCATACATAGCCTATCCTTACATTGCAATTCCCATATACCCGACTGCTCCAGCAGTATATACCGTGAAGCCACCTTCACCTTTAAACCTGAAAAAGAGTTTTCCATACGTGAGTAAGGAAAAGAAGAGAAGAAATGAAAAAGAAGAAGAAGCAAAGAAAAGAGAAGAGAAAAGGTGGAAATAGCCAAGGGAATAAAAATACATCGCCCGCTTGCATTCCATCACATTTCCCCCCATCGACAAGAAAACGTCCCTCACAGAAGGACTTAAAAGTAGAAAAGGAAGAGAAGAAAGAAATTGGTCGGAGGGTATCAAGGACTTCGGTGCGCACGGTTTCTTGCGAACCGGTGTTAGTCGTCGCAGCCGCAGCCGGAAACTCAGGGGTCAACCCCAGGAGTCACAATGTACGAACCAAGACAATTGATAAAAACAGCAGTCGCCTAAATCCATTCCGTTGTTCCAACTGAATGACTAGCATCGGCGTTGGAAGCACCTGGCGTTGAAGGAACAGAGTCAATACTTCGGCGGCTTGTCTTTGCCCGTGGAGAAACGGAAGCGTTGTTTGGGCTGTATACTGTAGGACTGAGAGTGATAGGCTTTTCACTTTGCTCCATCTCAGCGGTTGCTCTAATAGGCGAACAAGCCGAATTCCTGTAATCATCACTGACAGCTAGGCCGATGTCACGAGTAGAGGGTGTGTATGAGGGCCTGGCGGCAAACGAGGAATCGGGTCGAGTAGGTGAAAAGGGCCGCTCGGGGGAAAAGTAGAACGGGGCTTCCAAGCGCGTCACATCGGCAAGATTGGATACTCTTAGACCAATCTGGACTGTCGCGGAAGACACCAGCGAAGAGTCTCGGTTGTGTCTAGGAGCGCCCGAAATGCGGATCGAAGGTGGCGGCAACAAGTCTATAAACATCTCGTTGCCTCGTGCCGTATTTTCGTTGCCTCCTGTTGGCGAATATGTCGTGGAAGGGAGAAGAATGCTGTTGCTGGTTTTGGGTCTTGCTTCAACCGCCTCTCGTTGACTTGGAAACAGACTGTACGAGTCTTTCCGAGCCCGAGTCACAACGGGCGACGGAGCCACATTCATCAATTCGGAGCCGTCAGCAGCGACTCTGTTGAATAGAGGTGTTATAGGGATCGTCTCAAAGCCGTGACCATTTCCGTTTGTGTTCTCTGCAGTCTCTCCAATAGCCTCTGACATTCTTGTACTTGCGCGAGACTCAAATATCCTCGCCGGTGATACTGGTTGCTCGATCTGCGTGTTGAAAATATCTGTCCCGGGCCATGATTCGACGGATTTTTCTTTTCGCGGAGCGCCGAGTTCAAGGTGTCCTAACGGACCAATCTTCTGCATCTTTCGGGAGCGGAGAAAGAGATAGAGGACGCCAAATGTGATCCCCGATACGTTACTTGCCACAGAAGCCACCATATTTAGGCTCAGTTGTATTTGTGTCAGTGCGAGTGGGTTTTGAGACGAGATGCTAAAGAAGAAGGGAGCCATCAAGCCCTAATTTTCCCGTTAATTGCTTGTAACAGGAAAGCAAGGGGATCTTGGGACAACGTACGTTTATGACAGCGCCCAGAATCATATAGTAGACCATTCTAGAGGCGCCCGTCCTTTCAATAATGCCGACTGATGGGTCTCGATGTAGCCGAACAAATATGATTATGGCCCCGATGATCAGGATGCAAGAAATTGTCGTTAACAGGATGAACGACTCAAGTCTCCAAGTCTGGACAAACCAGAAAAGAGAAGCATAGCACAGGTCTGGCGGCCTGATAAAGCGCGTTACCACGTACATCGCCACGGCACCAATGATGACAGTGACAAGACAGGCAACGATGACCCATCTGGATCGCCGTTCAAATGGTCGTCGCCTCAGTGCCTGCACCGTTGTTTCCAAACCAAAGATGAGCTGTATATAGGGAACAGTAAATAAGGCTACCGATGATCAGTCACAGCTCTAGAGCGTATGGTAGCGGTAGAAACTCACCCGGCAACATAGCCTGAGATATTGACGTGCATCCGAGGATAAGAAGCCCCTCCAGTCCCTTGGTCTGGCTAACCACATATACAATACCCTGTATTGCTATGCCGATAGACAAGACGAAAGGGAATATTTCTGATGTTTCTATAAATTTGAAGACTGACGAACTAGGCCACAGTTAGCCACACGCTGCGTATTTCCACGAGAGCAGGGAAGAATATACCGAAATCCAAAAGCTGGATCACTCCTCTTCGCTCCCTTGTAACAATTCCGAAAAATGACGAATGCCAGAACCACAGCCATGGCAATATTGAATCCAGCAAGAATAATAATCATGGTCCGGACCTGCTTGGCAACGGCGAGTTTGAGGTCGTTGATAATCGCGGACGTCGAATTGTCCATGAACGGGAACCCACCCACATCGTTGTCTATCTGCCTGGCCCAAACCATCCCCCCTTGTTGTTCTGATAGCATGTCCCAGCTGTCCATTTTGCCTTGATTGCTTTATGGCTTCTTTTTTTTGCTCTTTCGTGACGAAAGCTTTCGCCAATCTAGCACCGGCGTCGAAGCCTCGACGAGCCACGCCTCAGATCGCCATCGGCGCCTTGGATACCACGTAAATATGTGTAGTCGTCGTGTTCCGTATAAGTCGTCGTACAGCTAGATATGAGCAGTCGTAAAGAGAAAAGAAAAAGCAGAGAAAAGACAAATAATATTGAAAAAATAAGTGTGAAGACTTGCTATCGTCCTGCGGAAGCAAAGAAACGAATGAGAGAGGCAAACAGTTTGAAAAGTTTAGTGTAGTAACTGGTGCATGCCTGCAAAAGTCCAACTATCCAAGTGAACCGAATGCAAAACAGCAGCCGTGTCAGTCGTCCAGACGACTACGAACAGAAATGGAACAAAGTCAAAGGAAGACAAAAAGGAAAGGAAAAGAATGGAACGAGGAGAAACACTGTTTACTCCAGTCAATGCCAAATACTGCTGCCAGAGCGAGTAGAGAAGGCAAAGGGATACATGAGAAACAGGTCAAGACGAACGGGGAGAAGAAGGCTGGATAGCGTGGGGCAGGAAACGCAAGCGTGAACAGGGCACTCCGGGACATGGAGATCCGGGCAGAGATGCTGGAGAGGGTTCCAAGGTCCGTCTCTAGCAGGGCATGGGTTTGCGTTTCCATCGGCACCAACGGTTAGGGTAGACACCGTTGTCTTGGCCAGGGGTTGGTGGCAATGAAGCTAATTGTAGAGATGGCCAATGTCTTGATTCATTCACCGGGCTCCCTCTTTCTGATCCTATACATGAAGACGACTAAGAATAGAAGCGAGAGAGGGAGCCTGTTTGGGCTACGAAGACGATGAGACGCAGGGAATTCATCAATTGCTGGCGCCTGTCCATTCAATGATGGGTTTCCGTTGCGCCCTTTGGTTACTACAAGTCGAACAGTCCAAGGGGGAACAACCGGGAGAGAGAACTGCGTCAAAGCCCTCCGGAATTTCCTACCGTGGCTGTGCGTGCGTTTTCTTCAATGGCCAGAACCTCATTAGCCGTGCGATGATGATGATTCATTTTGCCCAAGTCCCGGCTACAGGCTGCCCGAATCTCATCAGGGCGGTGGCGGCGGGGGTTGAAGCAGACTTGCAACAGATTCGAGTTTCGAAACTCAGGAGCCTTGCTAGATGTAAGAGTTGAAGCTTAGTACTAATGCACGTAGCTACGAAAGTGTCCGCCTACAGACAGATGCGGTAATAGGTAAAGAGGCGCTATGCCCGGACCAGGCTTAGGCTATCCGCGGAGAACCCCTGGTGTGAATCTGGTGTGCGGGTCCCATTTACAGAGGCATCACGTCTTGTATCGTACAAAGCACTCTGGTGTTATCAGTATTACTGCAACACGCGTGTGAAATATGACTTGTCGTGCGGAGTAGAGGAGCCTGGCTCGTGGCTGTTTCGAAGAGACAACGCGGCATGTCATCCGGGGTGCGAGCTCGAGTGGATCTTGGTGGCCATGCTGATGCGATAAGCACTGCTGAGTTGACGGGCTAAAACATCATCTGGAGAGCCTCCCTCTGTAAGCCGGGCTTCAGAGTCAACGTGCACGAACCCTGTGCTCGACGGTGCCTTGGAACGACTAGACGGTTGTTTCGAGAGCTGATGTTTGTGATGAGTCCTTAGAGCTCAGCTCTCACTCAACAAGTAGTCCTCTCGGACACAAGATTAACCCCGTAATTAAGCGATGGCATTTTGTCTGCTGGTTCGGTGGACCAGGCCGTCAAAGGCCGTCAAAGGCCGCCCATTCAATCAAAGGCTTTGCATCCTTCTTCAAAGATCTTCTCAAGAATCTTCTCAAGAATTTCCTCAGCCAAGCTGCCTCGCAGGGTAGACTCTATTTGTTCCTCAGGGTAGCCGGAAGAGATGACTTGTTGTGTGCGTGCTTGTTGTAACGATGAATCTGTGATGAACTGTCACCTTTCTAAGGCTACAGTCAGCAAGTCAAATTCTGCCATCTTGCTCAAACGCCAAAAGCTACACCTACATGTGCCAGCGAGAGCGCACACGTGTCTGGTCACGTCCACAGACATGTATGCGTGTGTCCTTTGGACCCCGCAAGACGCGAAGCTTTCCCACAGTCTCCACGTCAAACTGACGGACGGCATGTCAAGTATGGAGGCAACATTGAGGGAAATGTTCGTCGATTTCTCGTGGGTAGAGGGGAAATTCAGGATCCGTCTGCAGGCAACAATCAATACGTAGAAAGCAGACACTTGTTCTTTTTGTCAAAAGTGCCGAAACTGCACGCATGCACATCGTTGCCTTCAAGACAAGCTTCATAGCGTCATAATTCGGTAAGCTCTATCGCAACGATCCAGTTGGCAACTTGTCACGCTTCGCAGCACGTGCAACCGCATTGTCCATCGTATCACGGCGTTTGGTGTTACCCGTCCATAACCCCCCGCGATTGCCCGCCTTAGTACAAGAAATAAGCTTCCCGGATTGCAGTCGATAGCCGTGACTGCCAAGTGGCGGAGGAAAGCTTCCGGCTTAGGGTCCCTGGAGATCTCGATGCTCGCATCAGCAGGCCGATGCCTGCAGCAAGGCGGACGCTGCATCTTGCAAAAGGGAAGCTCATCGTAGCCATTATTTCATGGATGCGTCATTCATTCGGGCGGCCCCACTCACGACGGGCCCGTAGCCTAGCCGCCACGTGTGGCGTCGCCACCGACAGCGTACCAAATCATTGTTGGACGAGAGACGAAGGCCGTTACCAGCCACATTTGGCCAGAATGCACTCGTAAGAGCCTGTGGGCAATAAGCTTGGGAACGGCCGATTGATTGACACGGAACCGTCGATTGTCGGCGGGATCTCTCACGGTGGCTGTGCGTAGCCCAACCGTACGGAGTAACTAATCCACTTTGCACATACATTCTGTCATCCTGTAGTATGCAGTGACGTTTCGAGCTCAAGGCCATGATGTCATCCACTCGAGGAAGCTTTACTCCTCCGTGCAACTGCTTAGTTCTCCAGGCAAGTTGCGTACGAGGCCGGACAATCGATTGTTTCAAAGCGGGTATCTGCGCTCTTAACGATTCATGGCGGAAACAGGCATGTACATGCGTCGTAGGCAATAAATCACTAAGATCTGATGTCAATCGAAGTGTTAATCTGCACCGTGATTGTACCTCCCCGCCTATTCTCGTACTATAGTGGGCGCTTCCAACACATGAATCCTGCCTGCCTGTACATTCACAAGCTTCGGCCGGTGAATGATGTGTTTTCGATGACGCCATGTTCCTGCTTCACATGATGGAGAAGGAAGGAATGCCATGGCTTAAGCTCTTCTAGGGGGTAATCAAGGTTGTGGATTGCCGCTTCCCTCCCCTCCATCATCGGTCTATATAAACTTCTTTCATCCCCCCTTCATCTCTCAAACTTCTCCTCCTCATCACAACACAATCTCAGATCCTCATCTCAACTTTAAATCAATCTTCACACAAACAAACAACCAACAACCAATCACAATGGATTCCATCAAGCAGGGCGCCAACTACGTCGGTGAGAAGGTTCAGCAGGCCACCTCTGGTGCCTCCAAGGAGACCAACAAGCAGGTCGCCAAGGACTCCGATGCCCCCGTTGGCACTCGGTAAGATTCTCTTTGCTCTGCCTCAACAACGAACATCAGCTAATCATGTGTGCTCTACAGTGCCTCCGCTGCCAAGGACGCTCTCGGTGACAAGGTGGACGAGTCCAAGCACGACGCCAAGGGCGAGGCCCACAAGCAGGCCATCTAAATGGACTGAGTGAGAGGGAACGATGACGACAACACTTTTGCTTCTACCCGTCTTGAGAGACGAATAGTCGATACCCTTATGAGAACTCTATAATACAAACAATTCGACCTATCTTGCCATTTTGCCTCCATGTGACTGTAATACACCTCAGATTCCTTTGCTAAATTAATGCGATTTGTATCATGCCATATTCAAGCCTTTACAGTATTTCCAACTCACTGCGAGAATTAAACTTTCACGCTCACGTCGAGATACCCTCACCCATCGCTCAAAGCTTCTTCCGGGTCTGTGTCGCAGCCTGTCGAACAGCAAAAGCATTGGAAATGTCACGAATCGAATACACAACCGCAAACAGCGGGATAAAGACCCAAAGCATGTTGAAGAAGACCAAGTACACCCACATATACATGAAGTTGCTGCCATCGAGGTTGATGTTGCCGGTGAGCCACTCGGGGCAAAAAGTCATGAAGCCTGGTCTCCATTAGCCGTCACCTCTATGCAATTATTCTGACTATCCCGTAGCCTAATACATACCTCCGTAGAGTTCGCAAGTCGCCAAGACAATCATCCAGATGTTGGCCATGGGGTTCTTCTTGGCAAGCAGATAGCAGATGTACACAGCCAGGGGCCCATCGAAGAAGACGGTCAAAAGCTCAAGGCTGATAACGCCCTGTAATGATACCAATTCCCACCGTTAGCCAAGAAAAACCAACAGTCCACAATGACGAAGACAAAATTCATTTAACAAGAGAAACGTACCAAGTCAGCTCCCGCCCATCTCTTATCCGCCCTCGCATACACCATCCACAGCTGCGCAAACGGGTTATCCCCCCCGCTCTGCGGCCCATACACGCGCCCATTCTCATAGCCCAGGAAATTATACGGCGTGGGCACCAAGTCGGCCAGGCGGTCGCCGACCTCGCTGGCGGGGATGTACGAGAAGAAGCAGTGGTAGAGGAAGCTTCCCTCGAGGATGAAGTGGCAGAGCGCGTCGGCGAGGTGCCAGATGAAGAGGAAGCGGACGGTGGCGGTGGTGGAGGCGCGCGGGAGGGCGATGCGGGAGACGGAGTAGGCGACGAGGACGATGGCGAGGGTGGAGAGGAGGGAGATGATTGTGGTTTGGTCGAAGAGGTCGGGCGGGAGGGAGGATTGGACGGCCATTTTGTTTGTTTTGTTGGTTTGTTGAAATTAGGTGTGCTGTCGTGTTGTTGTCGAAGACTCGATTGGGATTTCTGTAGTGGTCAATGGAGGTTTTGAAGATGCTGTTGATGTTGATGTTTGTAAATTCAATGGCAGAGTCAACTCTTTTGTGCTGAAAACACAAGCACATGACACACACTCAATGGAAGTGAGATGTTGACAGAGTAATCTCTTCTCTCCTCTTGAGCTTGTAGGCCGTTTCTTAGCGTGGGGTCGCAAGATTTTAGACAAGGCCACAGCTATTGTGGGGGTGGGTCAATTGCAACGAGGCTCATCTCAGACTTGCATCAAGTGCTTATATACTGTCTTACTATTACTCCGTATATTGCTTTTAAATTTTTTTAATTTCAACTGCGTATGTTTTTTTGTCTTTGGTGCCCTAGATATACAGAATAACCCAACATATTGAACTTGATGAAACTCCGTCAAACCCTTGACCTCTATTGTCAAAACACCATGCACCCCATGCAAGACACATCACACCTCAGGCGTCCCACTCCTTGAATCCCTTCTGCTTCTGTCTCGTGTTCCATCCCAGCTTTCCACTAATGCTATTGATCCAATCCTCGCTCCTGCGTCCTTCTGTCTGGACCGAAGCAAAAGGGTATCTGCTCGCGCTCACAGTCACATAGTCGCCCGGGCTCAGCTCTACCCGCTCTCGCCCGTCAAAGCTGGCCCATGAAGCCGTCCTGGCATTGTACGGGACGCCAACTCTCAAAACGATGGTGTCGGGCAGGATGATGGGTCGGAAGGACAGCGTGTGGGCGCAGATGGATGTAACGAGCATGACGGGATTTTCAGGGTGGCACAAGGAGCCACCAGCAGCGAGATTGTAAGCCGTCGAGCCCGTCGGTGTAGATACACAAATACCATCTGCGAGCACCGAAGTAAAGTGCTCATCGTCTCCAAAGATTTCCGTATATGACATTGCTATAAGAAAAACAGTGCCGTTAGAAATGCTGTTGCAAAAAGAGTGTAAAGATCCAAGACGACTTACTCGGGTTTGGTCCTCGATCAACTACCAGTTCATTCAAAATCTCAAATGTCCCCTCCGGCCGATGAGTCCGCTCATCCTCATTCTCCTCTCCAATCAGCTCCTCCACCAGATCCCGCTTATAATGCAGCTCGTTGCCGTCCTCCTCAGACTCCGAGTCGGGCGTCTTCCTCTTCACGCTCCTCATGACGGTGCACTCAAAGCGAAGCCTCAAGCTCACCGTCACGCCCTTTGAAAACGCCGAGTTGAGGATCGGCTTAAAGTCTTCAAAGTCAAACTTTGTCAGGAACCCAAGGCTTCCTAGCGCAAAGCTCAGCACGGGCGGCACGATCCTCTGGAAAAGCCAGCTCGCGTACAGAACCGTGCCGTCGCCTCCGAGGGTGATGACAAAGTCAAACTGGTGAGGCCGTGTCCTGCACATGCCTTCGTCCCAGTATCTTAGGCGTTTCTGGATATCCTCTCGAGCGGTGTCCTCGTCCACGCCGCCCTCTTTGGCATAGTCGTGAACCAAGTCATCAACCAGCTTCCCCACATCAAACTTCTTGTTGGTCTTGAGGTTCTTCTCCACGTACACGACATACTTGACGTCTCTCTCCTTGCTGAGGAGCCACTGTGCCAGCGCTCTCGTGTTGATAATCAAGTCCGAGTCGTGAATCTTTGTCAAGAGAAAGATGCACTTGACCCGGAAGCGGATGCGCATGCTGCTCAGCCGTCTGCTCAGTTCGCGAACGCCCCACGCCATATCGCTCAGCTGCTTCTTAGTCAACATGCGGCTATGCAGGTTTTCGTCTTGCTGCTGAGTGAGATCCGTCTCCGAATCAGTCTTTGTCATCTCCTTGGTCCAGATCTTCTGGTCAACCTGCCCAAGGCCGGCATCGTCATCGTCCTCGAAGCAATCTGTGTCCACGACCACTCGGGATTTCCGCCGATGGCCGGGGCTCTTCCGATCAACGACCTTGTCCATCCTCTTCTCTCCGCTAATGTCCTCCGCTCCATCGTGGTGGCTCGTGTATATCGGATGCGCATGGTGGAGGTTACGGTTGGGTGAGCTCGCAGCCGAGCTCCCTCTAGACCGCCGCTGGTCCTCGATCAATTGATGGACAACACATTCAGCGCGTCGGCCCGGCGGGATGCGCTTTGTCTGAGGAACAGGAGCCTCGGACGTGACAAGTGAGCTCTTCCTCCGGTATGGACTGCCTGAATCGAAAGTGACCTGATCATCATCAGCCCATGGGCTTACGCAGAATGGAAACCATGGTTTGGCTAGAGAAAGGAACGAAAGCAACACTCACCTCGACAGCTCCATCGTCCTCGTCACTCCCATTCAAACTCCCCTCTTCAAACGTAATGTGCCTTTGCGGCTTTGGTCGCCCGTCCTGCCCGTCTTGCTGATCTTCCTCGCAGTCCCAGCCCATGATGTAATAGCTGAGTGGGTTATCGCGGGGTCGCGCCGCGGTCCATGTGCATCAGACGCCGTGGTACAAAGGAGCTGCTAGATCTCGGTCCAATCTGCGCTGCGTCAGAGTAGATAGCGATGGTGGTTGAAGCTGTGTATCGTCTGCCAATCGAGTGGAATGGAATGGCAATCGATGGGGAGGTGCAGTTGAATTTGTCAGAATTAAGCTGAACGATCTCGGACGATCGACGGGAGCATGCTTTCACGCATTGCCACATGCACATGGCCTGGTGCTAAATCGAGAGGTGGGGAATAAAGTTCCCGTCAAACTCGGCCATTGTTATCAATCCTTTCATGAGAATAGCCTTACGATGCGAGTGTAATTGCTGCTGTTCATCTCAGTGAGTAGTACATTCATATAATAAAGATCTTGCTTTATATCAAGCATCAATTACTCAACGTCCTACCTGTAGCATCAATTACTAGATACCTACCTAAGCCGAGGTGTTGGTGATCTAAGTCAAATGACGTCAAAGATTGAGGCAACAAATGATTAGTATTGTCAGCCAAACTCGAGTCATCATCGTGAGTATTGTCCAACTTGCTTTTCTATACCAGAAACCTTTTTCTCTTAAATTTGTTAGTCGTATTGACATTGATCAAGTTGAAATAGCTATTATATCATCACGCACAGCCAGTACACGCATGTGAACCGCTTATTTTCACTCATTCAAGGAACCTCCCGGGTAGGTGGGAGTGACGCTCTCGAGTACAAATAGATGTGAATGTCACCACAGGTTGTAATCCCAGAGTACATGCCAATCTATCCAGTGCATCTATCGGGACCCTTCATGCTCCATAGTTCAGTTCTCTTGTGCAAATAAAAAGGCTGAATAGTCACAGTCAAAGTCAACTTACACGCACGAAAATTATTATCGACTCACTAATAGAACAAGTGGGGTCGGGCGGGGAGCCTCAACCTCATCTAAACTCTCTCACGATCTCAAACAAAACATCACATACGCCAATTGAGGATCGATCAATAGCCATATCCATCGAGGTGTTCATATACGGGCACAGTAGTGAGAAAACACCGTCTGCCACAATGAAGCACCTCATCCTGGTCGGGGCCTGTTACGTGGACACCGTTCTGAGGCAAGTCACGAAACCGCCATCATCTACAGCATGAGCATACATCACATTCTAACAATCACCAACAGCGTGCCTCATTACCCACAAGAAGATGCAAAGCAACGGGCCTCGAGCCTCGAAATCCGACGAGGAGGCAATTGCCCCAACTCGCTCGAGGTGCTCCAGCAGCTTGTCGGGCCACAAGATGCCCTTCGCATGCATTTGGTGTCACCACTTCCGAGCAAGTCATCGCTCGCTACGCAGCATATCAAGGAGTCCTTTGGTGAGTCGTCACCTGTAGACTTCGAGCACTGCCTTTACCGAGAGACGCACACCCAGGCAGCCAGCAGTTACATCTTTCGTAGCCAGCAGACGGGAAGCCGTACCATCATCAACTACAATGACCTACCAGAAATGACAGTTGACGAGTTCGAGGCTATTGTGCGGAGATTCAATCCCAGCGATGAGACCTGGTGGCACTTTGAAGTGAGTCCAGTCCAGCTTGAAGGCGAAAACACACCCTGCCGCCCTGTGAAGCTGCGCCCGCGAATGGCCGTGTCAAGCGAGAGACGCCACAGCATCTGATCCTCCGACACCCTTTCAACAATCCTTGTCTGACAATTCCAGCTCAGGGCCGCATACCCAATACTACGTTAGAGTGCGTCCGCAGGCTGCATGATAAGCTGCCAAACGCGCAAATCAGCGTCGAAGTCGAGAAGCCGGGAAGAGACGGGCTTCGAGAACTCGCAGCCGAGGCCAACGTGGTCTTCTATTCCCGATCCTGGGCAGAGGTATGTAGCATTGCGCCATGGGGAGCGGAAGAAAGTGGCTTCGGTAGCCCCAACCATTTCGTATGCGAGGGGGTCGCAAGCCCAACCGCCAAAGGCAAGGAAGAAGAAGAAGAAGATAATAAAAATGAAAGCGGACAAAACCAGAAAAGGCATGCAAAGGCTGAGAGATTAATGTGCATAGAGCTGCGGTCATGGGTCTGCCGAATCGTGTCTCGTGGACGAGCAACGACGACGGGAAGCGTAAGCGTGCCCTTCTCCAAACGCCCTGCTGCGAATCTATTTTGCCTAATGTTTTTTGCCGCTGATTCGGACATGGTCAACTCATAGCAGCAGTACGAGTAGGTCCCTTGCTCTACTCGTATGCACTTGGGGTGCGGATGGAGCCTCCATGTGCCAGTCGTCTGAGCAGATCGTCCACTGTCCCGTTGAAAGCCGTGACAAGTCCATTTCGGTCGTTGAGTAGGTTACCCCAGCGCGAGGTCTCTTTTTCGGGTGCCCCATGCCGCCCTCCCCATTTGGCTCGACGGCATCGCACCTCAACCCTTGGGCTAGTATTTGCGAGTAGCACGGAGCTTTTGAGGCACTGCAGCAGCTGACACGTCCTTGCCATTAGCTCGGTGGGAGCGGGTGATACCTTCGTCGCGGGAATGCTCTACAGCCTGGTCTGTCGCGACAGAAACTGGGATGTAAGCCACGGGCTGAGATTCGCCGTGCACCTTGCCACGACAAAGGTCCAAAGGGAAGGGTTTCAGGGGCTCGGCGCACATGTCCACGACTGGCTAGTAGGCAATGCGTCCTGATCGCTTCTTCAATTTAGCATTCGGCTCAGCCCTCGCACCGTGATGAAAACAAACCAGCAGGCGGGTCGGAGCCGCCTTGTTGACTGACCAGGGAAGCGGCCAAGATGTTCTGTACCTAGAAATGCGCGGCCCTGAGGTACAAGTAGCGTTCGCGCCAATGCTAGCAGCCATTCCTGGGTGGGCGGAGGCGAAAACAAAGACCAGAGAGGAGTTGGCTACTGCACCCATTTCAGGACTAGGTGACATTAACGCGAAGCACAAGGGTTGCTCGTATGGGCAAGTATGTACGAGTACAATATCACCAACAAAAGTTGTACTTGTATGAGCACACAGAGCACGCCGTACTTGGCAACAATCGACATGGTGGCCTGTCAGACAACCAGCAAGCCGTGTGCTGTTCTAGCAATCCTCTCAAAGCCGGAGGGTTGTCTGTTTTGATGCTCGAAGGAAGGGGGTAAGGAGCGGTGAAACCGGTGTGAAGAGGAAGAGCCCGTGAGGTGGAGAGTGAAAACGGAGTCAAATGAGAGAAAAGACCATGTATGATACGCCATTGGCTCGTGAGGCTTTGCAGCATCTCAATGCAATATCCGACGCCCAGCAAAGAAGAGGGAGCAAAAGGGCAAAGGTCCTTGAAAGGCCGGTGATTAATTGTGGGCAGACGATCATAGCTGCTGTGTCTCGACTTTCCGGCCTCTATGGGGCTGGCGTCGAGCAGCTTGCAAATCGCCTGTGAGGCAAGCAAACCCCCATCTCTCAAATCGCTAGTCCGTGCATATCATACCAGGTTGCATACGCAAACAAGCTGCTGGTCACCAACCTTAGGGTGATTTTCGTCCGCTTCCCCTCCTCTCCACCGCCGTGCGTCTAGAGGGAAAAGAAAGAGGGAGATGTGGTTGCCAATGACCACTGCCTCACATGCGTCCTCGTACTTGTACAATGGCCGCGGACGCCGGTCCTGTTGCCCTCGATCTCAGATAAGACTGATGAAAAGAGAAATTATGACGCCACTACTTGCAATATCAGTGTTCCCTACACGGGCTGCCCGTTTCGACTCCCAATATAGGGCACGGGTAGCTATTATCGCACGAGTTGGTGGTGCTCGTAAGCCAAGGATTTCCGTCTCTTAGGTCCGCGAAAGGGGCCAAAGGTCGACCTGGCTGGGGAGCTTAGCTAATAATATTACTGAAATGTCTGTCACCAGGCTGGCGCTTAAGGTAAATGTCGTGACTGTACTCCGTACACCTGTTGGAGGGGAGATATGAAAAGGGTGGTGGATGAGACACAAAGGATCGAGAAGCTATATCGGGAACACCAGCCCGTAGCTTAAGTTTTAAAGGCACACCCCCATTGGGGAAGAGACATCCAGCCAAGGCTAAATGAACCAAGCCAGATCATGCCCTGTTAATGCCTAGCGAATAGGTGGAGGATCAAGGGCCAGCAAAAGAAACCCAATATCTACCCACGTCAAAACGCGCTGTTTCGGCCGTTTCTGCGTTGCCTTCTCCATACACACGGCAAAGTTGTACGGGCTGCCGTGCGCAGGCTGCTATCGCCGCCATGTCCCAAGGAGGGAGCTGCAGTTGATCTGTAGCCTATTGCGGGCGTCAAGTGAAACGAACAAATCAGGGCCAAAGCCAGGTCGGGAGGGTGGCGAATACTTGGCTGAGGGGGCGTCTCTTTAGAATTCAACGATGGGGGCGCCTCTTGTTTAATTGCTAGGCTGCGACCGAATCTTGATCCAACATTCCAATCGCGCATTTGTACTCGTACTGTAATGCAGCTGGCAGGGAGTCCTCGTACGATAGCAGATTCGCCGTTGCTACCGTTGATGGAGCCCCTCGATGCAGACCTGTTCCAGAGAAATCATACCTGTAGCAAATATTGGTTGCTTGCTAGCTTGATTCATCGCTTAACTTTTGCTCCCCTCCTTTTCTCCCTGTTGGACCTGGCCCTGAAGAGAGTCTGTGCCCAAGATGGGGAAATGGCCAACAACAACATGTCAGCAAAACACAGCTACGAAGGAAGCACCAAGAGCATGCTGACGCTCAGCTGTTCCCTTTGTACAGGGCAATCATCAGGGGGGCCTAAAAGACGAAAATCCGAATTCCAGAGTCAAGTGATGCAATAAATGTAATAGTATCATGCATCCTGGAGAGGTCGATCGCAGCAAGCCGTTCGACGCCGAGGGAAGGTGGGATGTCGGAAGGCATCCGGCGCCAAGGCGGTAGCTGAGTGACACAGAGGCTCCGTCGAGGCCTGCTTGTACAACAGATGCCAGTGGAGGAACCAATCTGATGTTTCCTAGCGGTCCATGCCGGTACCAAATAATCAAGTCCTGCTGTTGTTCCTCCTTGGTAAGCTGCTGGCCACTGGGTGGATTATCAATGTGCCCGTTCGTCTAAATCGAACAAAGATAGTACAGCTTTGCCAGTAAATTTCTCCCAGGGCTCCGGACCTTTTTCACCTTTTCCCAGCATTCCTTATGATGTTACACGCTTCATCAACTGGGAACCCATAGGTTTGCCTTGGGGCGTAAAATACGTGTAATATCAAACGCCACTGTAAATGGAAGGATCAGCACCAGACGTTTCATTGACTCATTGACTTGTTTCCATGTCGGAGCCAATAGATAAAGAGCACTCTGTCATATGCGACAGAATGGCCTTGAGAAAATTCGCGGCCCTCAAATCGGCACCGCAGGCACATTGGGTGTCGGACGAGGCTCAACATGCAACTCCACTAATTCATCCCCGACTTTTCAGTCGGAGCTACTGTAGGAGTACTTGTACTCCATAGTATGGTACGAAGTAGAACAGCACCATGACAACCGTGTGGCGTTGGTATTTTTGGCCAGGGTGCCAGGATCCAGGTTGTATGCTTGTACGGAGTACGAAGTACGAGTAAGATAGGCCAAAGTGCACATGCACAGGCTAGATGGACATGCTGTAGTGCCGTCGTAGTCTAGGACGTGCTTCGTACGCCAAAGGACTACGGGGGCAGTTGAGCAATAGCCCATTAGCTGGCATCTCCACGTTTGACGCCTTGGCCTGCTGGTAGGTTTCATGGATTTGCCAGTAGCCTTGGTTTCCAGCCTCTCTTCATAATACTCGTACGGGCCAAGTCCTGTGCTGGCCCTGCGGTACTGGTTTTGGCAAGGCGTGCCGTTGGTGTGGGGGGGCCAGCCGCCTGCGACAGACTCGGCTCGCCAGCCCCTACTTGTAATACCTCCCGCAGATTGACACAGACAAAAGTAGGTGGCGTCTTGCCTTTGATTGCTGTGAACCAACCGCTTGCCGCGTCATGGTAGCCATGTAGAAAGCCGCCAACGCCGATGTACAAGGCCAGACACTACTTTGAGTAATGACCCTGGGGCGGTCGTAAATTTCACGACTTGTTTCTCCGTGGGAATGTAATATCTGGTAGTCGAAGATGAGCTGCTAGTAAGAATCCAGCCGAACTGTCCACAGGCTGCCGGGCGTGAATGGTCAGATCATCAAGTAGCCCTGCCCTCGCATTTTGTGGCACCCCTTCACATAGCTCTACCGCTCCTCTTTCATTCTGCCGAATTAATCTCTCGGCTCACGTGCAGAGAAAACACTTCTAGTATGTGGAGGCTGTAGGGTAGTAATGAGGCGTCACCTTGGCCGGAGTCGGTGAATTTGGTTGCATGGCCAAAGCCAGAGATGCAATATGCTATGTAGCAAAAGGGGGGACGCGGACTTTGGGCCTGTCTGCAGAGTGATATGCGCCACTGCAGTCGTCACATTGGTCGTGCCAACGTGTGCAACCATACGAAAACAGCAATCCGCTATAAAGACGAATGTTGTGCGCTGCCGGCGCAGGTGAGATTTTTTTGGGCGGTGGATAAAAAGGTTCTCGGCGATGGCCTATACACAACTAATGGATGGCGTAGGTGCAGTATGAAAAGCCATCCACAATCGATATCTCACAAGGCACAAGGATAGAGTAAGTTGCTATAACATCCACCACTCGGCATCGTGTTAGCCAAGTTGCGCCGCGTGGAACCCAGAATGACGGCCTGGGCTTTTGCAACCCAGCTCTCTCCTGACTACTTCTGGTGGCGGTAGTGGAACTCGTCCATGTAGCGTCGGATGCCGGGGATTGGGCGACAACTGCGACGTTTGGGGAGAATTAATGTCCAAGTGCTCGTAATCAGACAGGTCTGTCTTGGTTCGGATAGTCCAACTAGGGTAGGCAAGGATGTGGAACTCTGAGCAATAAAAGTTGTCCTGGTTGAAACATGGCTGCGTGGGACATTGACGCCCGCATTGGGCTGTAACGTACGGAAGAGGCCTGCAGCAAGAGTTAAAAGCCATGCCAAGCATCTGCTAGCAGTGCTAGGTTATTGAGGCACTCGTAGCCGAGGGACCAGCATTGGTCCCAGGGTCATGATCACCACGGCCGGCGAACCTTGCTCAAAAGGGCGTGCGGCGTTGAGGCATGTCTGAAGTACTCCGTGCCAATGGCAGGAAGGAACCCGTACCAGAGCGCATTCGTGTGCCGAGACAAACAATCAAAGAGGAAGCCCTCTGTCGCCTGGTGCGCCACCGGTGACGGCTGAAAGGTTATGCGGCGACCAACGCATTTGCCGGGTGGCTCAGTCTGGACCTGGCCAAGGTGGGCGAGTGACGCCGATCATCGTATTGTCGAGGGAGCAGCGAAAAAGGGGGCTCATTCTCTGGCGCCGTCGCCATTCGCTGCAACCCCACAAGTGCGACAAGGACACGGCCCGCCAGGTCACGGCGCCAGTGGATCAAGAGCCGTCCGAGCATTTGCAAGTCACCGGAGGCTTGAGTGGGACAATCGCGGCGGGGGGTTCGGTTCAAGGTATGGAGGGCATCAATGCTGGTAGTGCTCCGTCCTTGCCCTTGGCGCCATTATCCTGGCCAGCGCAGCCGGGTCCCCGAAGATTGACGAAGGAGGATTGCCCTGCCCTGAGCAGATACGGAGAAGCAAATCCGGCTCCCTGCCAGGGCGTCAAGCGATCACATGACAAGACGTCGTCCGCCCTGAGAACTGGGGCAGAAAATGGGCGAGTGCCTCGCGAAGCTGCGTTCAGCTACAGCCCACAGGTAATACCACCAGGTACTACAAGTAAATAACAGCAGTAGACGCCGTAAAGCGAGAAGTAAGCTGGCCTGTGATCGGCTGTTCCTCTAGCTCTTTTGGCATGAAACCACTGGGTGTCTCGTCGAGCACCAGAACAAATATGACTCAAGACGTGCGTCGCGGGCAAGTCGACCGATGCTAAATGCAAACGACCGGAATTCTCCCAGCAACCTGAACCATGCCAGCGGCAGCTTTCGCGTGGCCATTAGTAGAGGTAGCACCAAGCGGTTTAGTAGCACTCACGTCGGTACGAGGACGGAGTACTGTGCTCCCCTTACCACCCCCTGTAATTGCTCCAGGCCCATCTCCGTAGGCTGTCCTGTCGAATGGCAGCTGTCTCCATCAGCCATGGTCCCATTTCAGGATGTGATCAATGGTCAGAAAGCCAAGTCTAGCACAAGCAGATGCGCTGGGGGCCTCGACATGACCTGTGCTGAGGGGCTCCCGGACTTCGCTGCTGTGCAGGACGGGGCTTGCCTGTGCTCTTGGTTCTAACAGGACCCGGACTCTGACCAGGACCTGCAAGGCGTCACATGTTGGTTGGTCTTGGACAAGCAACCAGATTAACCAAGGCTCTCGCTGGACCTGGAGCTGATGGTGGCGCAACGGAGAAGGATTGGATGGGGCAGACGAGCGAAAGTGTAGGTACAGTAGCACTGCTAGCACGGGTACAACCACAGCGCTGGCTGGCACAAGTGCGAGCCGACCGCAGTCAGCCATGCAGGCGGTCCAAAGCGACAAGCATGGCGCTCTAGAAAGCGTCCACTGTGAAAGCCGCCAACACTACTGAACCTGGACATACAGCACTGTGGAGCAAAGAGGCTGTTGTTTTGTTGTCCAGTCCAGCCTGGAAGCCATCGGTGCTAGTTCCTGTCCGGTAGCGTGGTGCGTAGTAGTGGCACAAAGGGGCGCAAAGAGGCACCAGCGGCGACCAGGTGCTATGATTGGAGTGGGCGAGCACTTCTGGTAGTGTAATGGCTGACCGGCGATAATGTTGGACGAATCTCTCTGAACGCGTACCCGTGGTTGAGAAAGCTGAGGCATCATGTATGTACCAAACTGCTTACAAGCGTCTTGTGGCTCGACTTGGTTGTCATTTTGCAAACTTTCACCGCCTGGGCTCCGTACGAGTACGTACTTGAGTGACTTGGCCCAACCGAGTTTCACCATCGCTCTGATTGCAGAACGACTGCCCTCAATACTTTCTGGTATTCGTTGGCTTGTGCAAAGCGCCCTATGCTAAGATTGCTAGTACTGCCTGTCCGGCATTTCACAGGGTGACGTATTCAGCTGGCAGGCTTAGCATTTTGCTCTACTCGTATGGACTACGAAGGAGTACGAGTACCCATCTCCAGCAAACTCGCGCACAGTGCATTTTGAAAAGCTCCCTTTCCCTGCTACTAGAGCAGTGATATAGCGGCTGAAAATCGGCGCCTAGGGAGGTACCATTGTAGCATCGGGGGGCAAGCAAGACTTCTCCGGTGCTCCTTGCCGGCCGTCCGTCCGTTCGTGGTTCTGATCTTGTTGGGACTTGCGAACTGCATGTTTTACGAAGGTATTACATGGACGCCCCCTAGTATGAGTGACTGCTGGTGCGCAATGCTTGCCCGCTGACCCCAATCCGTCTTTGAAGTGTCGGTCGACATGAATGTCTTAGGCTCAGATGCTGTACGAGGCAATACCTAGGCAATACCTCCTCCTGGCAGCGCGGGCATATTGATCCGCCAAACTGTTGCACATATCTAAGTGTGGTAGCAGCATAATCAATAGGTACCTTGAGGCTCGGGAGGCTGCCAGGATTGGCAACAGAAACGAGCTCAACCATTGATCCATTTGATGCCAACCCGCTACAGGAAAGGCACCAAATAGTCCTGGACATAATGCTTGGAGGCGTGCCACAGTGCCTATCAGATAGTACGACTGTATAATACTCCGCAGTCGCAGCATGGGTACAGGCAGCCCAGACCGGCAGGCGGAGAGTCGGGTCTTTGGCCTTTTGGATTTGAGCCAACTTCAGGTGACTCCGGCAGGGGCGCTTCGTCTCTCGGCAAAGCCTCATGCTGCTCTAAGTTGTTCTGGTACTAGTAGCGCTGGCATAATCGCTCGCCTGATGAAGCATCAGCAGCCCGCCACTCACTCTCCACCATTGCCCATTGAGGGGGATGCCTGTACAAGTTCAAAGTACCGTATTGGGCTGCACTCGCATGCATCAGATTCCTCTTGAAGCATTGTTACGGTACGGATACAGTACTCCCTACGGTACGATGGTATAATAGGTCCTTGTAGGTACCGCCCAGGTAGCTCCCCTGGCGCACCGGAGCAGGCATCGTCGGAGCGAAAATAGTGCCAGCATGTACTTTGTACCTGTATGCGCGGATGACAGTTGCTTTTCGGGCCATGGGGTCAATTCCGCCAAAATCCTGACCTTGGCCTTGATGACACTCTTTTCCTTGTCGGGCTGAGCAACAGGGCGGGCCTCAATCAGTGCTGTGTCATTACTCGTACCTTTCATGTTCCATCATCCCTTACGAGCATGTCTTGTACCCATTGCAGCACCTTGTGATTGTTTGCAATACATGAAGGACTGACACTGGGTGTTTTGTAAAGGCGTCTTTGAACTTTTAGTAAGATAGTAGTACCAGGTACCTCGTAGTCATGTTGGCATTTATCATTGTGACCCGTCCTACCGTACTTGCCTTGCACGCATCAAGGGACCAGGCGACAATATTGCTCGGTACCAGTGCGGAGCTCCCCGTCGCTACAACTTGGAAGTATTGCGGTACATGTGCCTTCCGAGGTGCCATATTCCGTACCTGCTTGCACAGGTTGGCAGGGCCGAGTGGCGATTTGGTGCTGCACTCTGCTGCTAAATTGCAACTCCACGCAGCCGCAGCTTACTTACCGTACCGTCCATGTGCGGTACATGTATTGACCTGAGAGGCCCCTCCATCCCGAGATTTTGCGCCAGTTGGTACTCGGACGGCAGCCGTTTGATACGCGAACGCGAATTAGCGGGGCTCCATGCCGCCTTGCTCTTTCCACATTGTTGCCGCTTCTGACCCAGCAGAGGGTGAGGGAGGCGCTGTCGGGTGTCTTGCCTGGCTACTGTTTGATTGCGGAGCACGAGACGATGAAATGCATCTTTGCTGCCCCTTTGATGCGCGGCGTGGGACTTTGGACTTTGCCCATCTTTCTTTCTCTCCCTGGTGTATTCGTATTACCACTATTCTTTACGAAGGATTGCAAGAAGAGCAACAACCTTTCATCTCCCTCATACACTCAAAAGGGTGCATGTGCATGAGCGAAGCTATGTTGACGCTCAGCAGCAGCAGCATCTGTATCGCTATCGCCATTCGGCATTGGCTTCAACATGGCCATCGGCAAAATTACTGTGGCAGCTCCAGGCACGACAACGACAACAAGGCCCAGGAGACCCAATGGGCACCGCTTGCTGTGCAGCCACACAGCTAGCACAACAGCTGGTGGGCTGGCGTCATTCACTTGTCTTACATTTATGGCAGATATGGAGCACGGTGGTAAGCGGCTGGACGGAAGGGACCGCTAATATGATGAGGTCGGCACAAATGCTGGCCAGTCGTTAACGACCGATGAACCAGCGATGAGATCTGTCTCCTCCTTGGAACCCGCTCGTTCGTGTCTTGGATAGACTAACGCCACGCAGTCTCTCGGCCGTGCTCCATTCCCAGACTTTGGTGCGAAATCCACCGCAGCCCCAGGGTGTCAGTATGAACCCAAGTAAGGGTTCCGGCAATGTGGGGATGTCAATCACTCTGTCTGGACCGTGATGTGCATCTTCGACTCCGCCTGTGTGGGTGAGATTTGTGGACAGCCTCTCTGCAAGACTCACCACACTATTTTGGAACACCACGCCACGTCGCTAGTGGGGCTAGACGAGCATTCCAAGGCCAAGGGACGGCTTTGTGAAGGGGCCCGTGAGCTGGGGATGAGGCGTGCCGCTCTCTTCTGCACGCCCTGCCGACTCTGATCTTTTGCTCCAGCAGAGCTACCACGGACACTCCGGTCTCTATGGCCGATGCTGGTTGGCTAAGCTGACAGGATGCCATTACCTGGACCCCCTTGGGTGGGAATCAAATCCTTCGCCATCCCTTCCATGAAGCGACCGAAAGATGGCCCTGCGGGGAGGGGCTGCCTCTTTCTTCTCTATCACTTCTTGTCTGCAACCTTTATGCTTCAGCGTGGGGCTGCAGGGATTTAGCATTGGCGCTCTCCTCGTGAGCCTGCGGCTTGCCCTGGCATCCAGCACGGCGGTGCGAGCACGGAGCCCAAGCGGTTGTTGTTTCGACCCAAGCGTCGGAAGTGCTTCAGGTCTGTTCTTGTTGGCGCCCTGCTAACCAAGTCCTCCTCGTGCTAGTTGGTAATATCATATGTCAGCCCTGCTTAGGATCTTGCGTGTCTGTGCTCCCTGCTGGGCGCTACAAAACCTGGAAGAGGACGAGTACCTCTTGTGTATCTCGTACACGCAGAAATCCGCTATTACTCCGTACTATCAGAATCAAAACCTGTAGTGCTTCTGCTTTGGCGTGTGTCCACTCACGATGCCACAAGTCGTTTACAGTGCGGCGGGAGTATCGCTGCCTTGGGCCGATGACTTCTTCGTACAAGGGCCGCCTAGAGTCCCATTACTCGAACATGTTTACTACCCGCACTCAAGGTATTTTCGCATCTCTGAATAGCCCGAAGTCACGCCTAACCATGCAAATCTTGGTATGCGGCATGGTGACATGGACTTTTGGAACCTCCAATCTCGCCAGGGCAGCCATCCCTCGACTGAGATGGTTTACTGGTATGCGAGCACAGAGTACCGCCGCAAGAGACCCGAGGGTATCCTGAGTTTGGTGGGTACTCTATGCGTCGCTCGCAAGCAAGTGTGGTAGTTGGGATGGCTTCACCCACGTATCCGCAAGGTACATGCATCCCAGTACCTTGGTACAGTCACGCTTGTCAGAGGCCAGATTCTCACAACACGCAAACGCAAATGCTCCATCTTTCTCCTTCTGAGGGCTCGCACTATTGTCTCCGGCACGGCCGCCGCTCTAGAGCGATGACTATCCATGGCTAATGGGGCGCCCCATTCCCAATTTTTTTTTTTTTCGTTTCCTTCTCGTTCTACTCTCCCGACTGGAGCTCTGGTCCGTCCGATGAGACATCCTTGCACCACCCCTTGCCTCGCCCCGTATGACGTACCGGCCAAGGAACGAAGAAGGCATGTATGTCGGCTCGCAGGCTGTGTTCCAATCCCGACCGGCCATGTCTTGGATGGTGTCAAGGGCCTGTGCATGTCCCAGTATGCATGTACTAAGGGAAAGACAATCCTGGATCTGGATACCTACTCCCTGTGCACTGGCTAGCAGGCCTTGGCTCAATCTCCATGCAACCCGCACGTTTGCCTGTGCCGTCGTCATACCAAAAAAGAAACGTCGCCTACTGCTACGGCCGGAGGAGTACCACACTAATTACACTAGACGCTCTGTACCGTTGTCTCGTTGGCCCACTTCCAGATCCATGGTCGGTTGGATCTGGTTCGGACTACTAGTCGTAGTAGGACTGCGTACCAAGCCCATGCACTGCTATTCCCTGGTCGTGATTTACCCTCTGAACCATCCCTACTTGGGCCGGTTGTTAATGCCACTCTGATCCCTCGAACGATACTTGTACACCCCCCCTTGGGAACCGTCCCATTCTTATTAACTGTTAGCATTTTGAGTTTGTATTAATAGTTTCGTTTTCGTTCTCCCCCGGACCGTGGTGTTCACCTATATCATACTCAGCTATCCTTCACCTTGACGCTCATCAACACCTCTCACCCGACAACATCATCTGCAATACGAATCATCTCAATACCATCATACACCCACGAGCAAACACAACCCCTTGGACTTTTATATCAGCAACACTTACTACTCGTCCAAGTCCAACATATCCAACCCGTTATCAAAAACGATGCAGTCATATTTTGGGGAGCTGATGGCTTCTCAAGCCTCTCTATCAACTCGCTGGAATAGATACTGCGAGAACCTTTACATCAAACCATCTCGAGGCCCGACTACACAACGTGTGGGCATGGCCACTCGAGTCGTCAAACCTTCCAGTGCGAACAACAGCCCCCGATCGTCCGCTGCAAAGTCAAGGAGACGCACAATTGTAAACGACTCTCAGACTTCTCAAACAGCGAGAAGGCAACAGCAAGTCCTAGACTACCTCTCGGGTTCTCAGCCAGTCCCTTCAGGAAGCCAACGACGGCCTGTCAGCTGGCATCCATCGATGCATATGCAATCACCTCAAGATGAATACCTACAAACTCCCTCCTTTGACTGGCTACCTTCGACCATGCAACATGCCCAGTACACCAACTACCATTCGGCATCTCAGCCATCCCCGCCAATGGTTTCTTACTCAAACAACACTTCACCATCACCAACTTTCTCTCCGCCTTCACCCACTTATATGGGTACCGAGGCTATGACCACTCGACCAGTCGATGAGTGGCAGTTGGCAGCATGCTATCCCAATATGAGCGATGATCGATTTGCAATGTCGACATTGAACAGTGCTGTTGATGCATACAGCCTTGGATACATCGACACTACTCCACCTACGCCTTCCTCCTACATGCCTACCCAGCCATTACAGCCAACTCTTCCTGAAGCAGCCATCCAAGTGCTGGACGAGCCAGAAGAGGAGGGAGAAATTCTTATTGGCATGGGGCTTTACGATACTCCCGGTAAATATGAAGAGGACCCACACCTGAACAACTACCGGTCTACTGTATCGTCTCTCCTCGGATCCTCAGTCCGACCTCGGGAGCCTACTGGCAAGGGCCTGAAACTGGAGGAGACTTGGGAGCCCCCAAAATCTGATAATGAGGAGGAGGATGAAGAGGAGGAAGAGGAAGATGAAGAGGATAATTAATTACCAGAGAAGGATACGACATTACGATGCATCACGGACACTTGACGGATTTGAAGAAAAAGATAATGACTTGTATTATTTTACACCGGCGAACACTGGTTGCCGCAAGGATATTCAGAGATTTCTGATAAGGAGTTTGGTGCTTTTGTTCCCCCTGCTCTGGACGAGCTTGGATGGCAATATTTTGGGATCAGCGAAAAAATACCCCAGGACAAGGATCAGGCATGGGATATTGAGAATAGCGCATGTACATAGAACACACAAAGTTAGTGCTCAGGTGGCTCACGCCAAACAAATGCTATGGAAGATTAATACTACAGAACAAGAAAACCGAGTGACGTATAACATGTTGAAAAGACTGATCACTTGGGACAGGTGGTAAGTGACCAAGCCCACCAAGGTACAGGTAACGCTAGTCCCGTAGGTACCTGTGTTGGTGTAGCGCTACTAGCGGCAGGCACTGTTGCGAGCATGTACTCGTACTACGGCAGGTACCTCTGAGACAATGCCCAGCCCCACTATCAAGGAGCAACCGGAGGGTTCTGAGCAGCCGGCATGCACCTCTCCTGTTTCTGCTCCGTGTGTATATAATATTGGTACGAATACATGCGGGTTCTATAAATATGGTCTGTGCAGCATCCCGGCTACAAAGACAGATGAAAGCAAAAAGCAACGAGAATACAGAAAATAGAAAACAACGAACATCAGCAAGCGAACTAACCTAACAGACCCCTGTCAAACATGTGTCGGTGGGGTAGCCAGAGTGGACCCTGTGCATTCTGGAAGGTTGTAGGGGCGCCTGCTGACTGGCCAAAAATCTCCAGTTTTCTCCTTTGCTTTTTTTTTTCTCCTTCCCCTTGAACTCCAAGAGCATGGACCCCCCCCCTCTCCCTCCCCCCCTCCTATGCGCTTTCTCTTTCTTGTGCTGTTTCCTCTCTGCTCCCCCACCCCACACATTTTCGCTGCTGCTTGCCCGTTGCCCCCTTTTAGTAGCCACACCCCACCCTCCCTTTCATCCGGGTTCGGCAGTTTGTACACCCCCTCCCTTTTTTTATTTTGTCCTCTTTTCTTTTTTTTGCTCTCGCTTTCTTTCGAGCTGCGGGTTTTCCCACTTTTTGCTTTTTGCTTGTCCCTTATTTTTAGTGCGGGTGGTTTGATCCGTGCATTTTCGATGTGGGAGAGCTTTTTGAAGGTGGTACAGTACGTACCTTTGTCTTCTACAGGACCTGCTGATGCTTGCAGTTTGCCTACCTATATACGGTATATTTACGAGCTCGAAGTGTCTTGATACCTGGATACTTATCCCTGGTACTTTATTTTTTTACCGCACATGTGCCCCTCCAGCCTTGAATCTACAGGTAGATGCTGTAGTGCAAAGCGGGTGGACGAAACCGTTGGGAAAACCTCGAGACATGTACACGTCTGGAACTCTCAGCACGGCTTCAGCGGATGATCGTGGGTATTCGGCTCCCTTTTTTTTCGCTTTTGTTTTTGGGCATATATTCCACTGGGGCGAGATTGAGTCACAAAAGCAAGCTGAAGCTTCGGCTGTGCTCGACAAAGTGACCCCCTTCTCATACGTAATCTGTGGCTGCTTGCTTGGGGAATAACATTGCTGCTAGCAGGATGGGGCTGCTTTTTCGCACGAAGTGCTGGTTTTTTAGTGGGAAAGAAGAAGACGAGCGGACCAACAAGAGCACCACCTTGACTGGCTGACTTGCAAATACGGAGACCAGCCGAGTAGGTATTGAAACTGCGGTCCGTACGTACTCCCAGCTAGACTAACAAGCACAAGCCTACCTAACTTCTCTTTGTTGCCCCGCGGGCCCGTTTCGCCGAGTGCCACAGAGAAGAGCTAGCCAGCCCTCTTCTTTTTTCTTTTTCTCTGGTGCTGGTCCTGGGAGCGGGTTTTTGGTGGGCGCGGCTTGGGCGGTAAAGCATTGCGGTAAGGTGCCTAGTGCGTAGGAAATTTTTCTTTTTTCTTTTTTTACTCCTCTTCTTTAATTATGCGGTTCCTCTAGGCTAGACGGATTGTCTTGGTCTGGACTTTTATCGTGCCGGTAATTGTGCCATTCGGCGCTCTGCAGGCATCCCTGAGTTGCATCCATTAGCGGGCCAGGCAAGGTTTTTTCTTTCTCGCCGTCTTAATCTTTCTGTCTCTTGTTTCCGTCCGCCGTAGGTGGGGGGTTGTTTGTGAGGTGGTATGCCGGGCCGTCGTGGTTTAGAGATTGAGGTTGCCTGAAGGATTGCTGTTCCCATATTGTTCGGACTAAAGCCCGAGGGTGCCGAGTTTTTTTGCGTGCTAACTGACATACGAGTGAGTGCTCGTACGAGTAAGTGCGAGTTGGTGATGGGGAGCTGAAATGCCGGGCATACTCGTACGGGGCGCAGTACGGAGTAGACCCCAGCAACTTTTGTTCTCTGGCTGCTGTGACGGAGCACATTGATCCTGACGAAATTGGGATTGGGATTGGGATTGGGATTGGGATTGTATTGGAAAGTAACGAGGCGTACAGTAGTGTACGACGTTTGTTGCGACCCCCCGTGCTTTGAAGCCTTGTCCGTGGTTTTGTGCTACCACTTACCTGCATTATCCGTCTGCTTACTCCATACTTGAACCCTGAACCCCCGAGTTTCCCTCTGCAGCTGACAGATTTGACGGATATTGGTCCTTTGTGTACTGGAGATATCGGTCGTCCTGCCTTCTCCTGGTTCTTGCAGCATGACCCTGCGTTTACACGGACAGCCGTCTGCACTGGTGGCTCTCCCTAGCAAGTCATTGTACAGCCCGGATGCCGGAAGGGAAAATGCCTCTTCTGCAATGTATACGCAGCAGCACATGCTTCTACTTGTAACGTGCAGAAAAGTGACGGTGCTAACTACGCTACTTTGGCGCTCTCCGTTGCCGACCTTTTCCCTAGGTCTTTAATTTCTTCTCCCTTTTTCTCGTTACTGCAAGCCGTATCAAGTGTGATATGCGAGACGGGCTGTTGGGGCTGCAATTGGTCGTAGCCGATGATGATGCCGATGGCCTTCCTTACCTTGCATGTGCCTGGCTTGCTAGTACTTGTATGGTACTAAGATTCCGACACGAGTACGAACTTGGTTATTGCGATGCTCTGCGCCCAACATGGCCATCTCCGGGCGGGAAAGCTGAGAATCAGCATCCGTTGGTAGACGTCATGACCGGTCGAGCAATGCCTATCCTGTACAAGTACAAGCACGAAGGCTGAAAAAGGAGCGGTTGTTCTTCGAGTGGGCCTCGAGGACTGCCTTTGGTGTTTCTTCCTCCTCCTCTTTTTCTTAGTACGAATCCATAGTTTTAAATGAACTGGATTTCTGCTATTTTAAAGAGGAAACTCGTCACGGATGTGCAAGGGAATGAAATTTCTTTTCACGCACGAGATCGTGAAAATCTCTGCCTCTTTTGCTTTTCGCTTCTGCAGGCCCGCCGCCTCTTTGTTTAGTTCTCTTTGCTTTTCCATCGAATGGTGCTTTATACTGAATGAAGTATACCGTCATCTTGAAATGCATTATCAATTAAACCTGCACATGGCATGGGGGTACAGTCGTACCATATGGGCTTGTTTGCTGCTTTAGTAATGATTCAAGCAAGAGAATGAATCGAGACCCCAACTTGGCTGTACATGCAGCAGGGCACAGAATGGGTTAAAGTCACGACCAGTGTTGCAGCACAGGTGCGGCGCTTTATCCTTGTAGATGTGACGGTGGTGGATGAGTACTCGTAAAAGTGAGTACCGTACTAAGTACCGTGCTTCTAAATACTGTATCTGTACGAGTACACGTATGGAGCGCCTGTAGCGAATCATTGCCGGCAGAGCGGATGGGGCTTTGCATCGATCAATATCTTTTGCGGATGGAGAATTCGATAACGGAGCTCGAATCGAGGTGAAAATTTTAGTCTTTGCGTCTTCTTTTTTTTCTTTTCCCTCAATCTCCTAAAATATTAGTGCCTACTACTACCATAATAGGAAAAGAGCCACTGCTAGCGAACATTTTTGCGTCTCTTTAATCGATACCCCACTGCTGAGGTTAAACTAAAATAGTCGACCGCTTTTGCTTCACCACGCTTCTTGTTTTGCATTTCCGCTACCATCAAGACCGTCTCTCACATTTCCTAACACTTGTCACACCATTCACTCATCTTTCTTTTTCCCGCTCCGTCGGTACCTGGGACCCCTGCCTGCTCGGATGGTGCAGTATGTGTTTACGCCTTGGCGAGACCGCCAGGAGCTGTTCCTTGTGCGGGAGCAGTTCTATGGCTCTGAGGCATTGATGCAGGCCGTTGGTGGCATCCAGGGCGGCGCAGCTTACAGCCACCATCAGCAACGGAATCAGGACCAGAGGCGAGGAGGAGTCGAGGGTGGCAGAGACGCAGACGCCGAGGACCAGCAGCATCGAGAGGAGGGGCAAGGCTTGAATCAGGGGGATGCACGGCGCACCACCGCTGCGGCTGCGGCTAAGAATCACCAGACATCACGAGAGCAGGGAAACGGAGAGAAGCACAAGGCCGTGGGGCGAGTCTCCATGTGGATGCAGCGCGGCAACTGTCCGCACATGGTGGAGTCGACGGCACTGCTCATGGCTGCAGTCCTGAGTGACGAGGCCGCGGCCACGGGGAATGCAGGAGCATCGACGTATGCTGTGAGGGCTGCATATGCAGCTGCGTTTAGTCGGTAAGTTTTTTTCTGGGGCTCTCTCCTCTCCTCTGCCTCTCTCTCCCTCTTTCTATTACATTGTGGCTTGCCTGGGGGTGTGGTCTGGACTCTTCAAGGGGATGGTTGGATGAGAAGAGAAAGTGATGAAAGAGAGAGAGAAAAGATGGGGGCTATCTCTTGCATGAGATATGCGGCCAAGGACGTCATGGACCTTTGACGTTTGGGAGGCTACGTCCAAGGCAGCGATGAGATGGTGTCATGGCTATCGTCTGCCACTCTCATTCTTTTGTGTGAACGAGGACGCTAACTGATATGCTGTCAGCTTCGTCACAGGCTTGTTGGATGGGCATCAAGACAAGCTGCGTAAACAGAGCATGTACTCAATCGCCAAGAACATTGGCTTGCCGGCTACCTTTGTTGAGCTTAGGCATCAGGCCACGCATGAGCAGCTGCCATCCCTTGCTAAGCTGCGATCCGCCGCAAGAAAGGCTCTGGTCTGGATTTGGGACTACTACTGGAAGCACCTGGGGGAGGCAGAAAAGGCCAAAGATCCATGTAGGGAGCTGATCTTGTCCTATCTGCGGGAGGACGACGAGGCAGCGAGACAGAGAATCATGGGGCAGCTACGTCAGTGGGATCTTGTCTATTTGCAAACGACAATTGCCGAACTACAGAAGACGCTGCCTGGGAACCAAGTGTTTCTCAAGTGCTTGAAACTGTCCAAAGATATGGCGGCTATGGCCACCGAAGAAGCAAACCAACCGGAGCCGGAGGGGAGTGGGATGCCGGAGGAACAGGAACAGGAACAGGGACAGGAACAAGAGCAGGATCTGGACCTGGATCCGGATCGAAGCCCGGAGCCGAACACGGGATGGTCCCGTTATAGTGGTGCTTGGAAACCGAAACCCATTGGCGTAGCGTGAAAGGCTATGATATCTGTGATTTCTATGGCGAAAGGTGTGTTGTGAGACAAGATTTGGACAGTAAAGATACCCTATTTTTTATTTATTTATTTTGAACAAAAGATATACTGCGATGCAAAAGAAAAAAGATTCCAAATTTCAGATGATGCCATCAGCCTCTCGTCACCCTCCTACGGGCTTCGCGGAGTTGAGTGTGTAAAGCAGCCAATCACGTGGCTGTTAATAATGATGATGATTGCCCCTCAGTACAGTATTTACGGCTTACGATAACTCCGTTGACATCAAGCTATCTACTCTCAAATTCCTCTGTTGAACCTTTTACCAGTCTTCTCAAAGACGAGCCTCGTGGATCTATGAATAGATTGATACTGCCTCGCAGACAGCTCCTCACTCAGAGATTTGGTTGTTCCGTAAGTGAGAAGATCGTGCCATGGCTTGGTATAAGCTGTCTGGAGCTGCCCCTCATTGCTGATTAACCCGAGTCGCAGTTTATAAACAACTCACGCAAGATGCATATTCAGTCGATTCCCATGTGTAAGTGATTCTGGCAAAGAAGTTGAACGAAAAATAGAAAAGGGGAAAAAAAGCAGAGCGAGAAACCGAGGGGCGTCGAACTAATGGTCTGAGTAGGGGTTGGCAGCTCCAACAACTATGCCTATCTTGTGATTGACGACAAATCCAAAGATGCCGTCATTATTGATCCGGCAAACCCTCCGGAGTAAGTCGAATTATTTACGTTTAATGAATTGGAGACCAAGAATAAAAGCATGTGAGCTGACTGCGTGCTAGGGTTGCTCCTATCCTCAAGGATGCCATTTCATCTGGCAGGATTAACTTGACGGCCATTGTCAACACCCACCAGTATGCATGTCTCCTACAATCGTCATGGATCAAAATGGATATCTGATGCAAATAAACAATCACAGCCACTGGGATCATGCTGGAGGCAACAAGCAACTGGTACATATACCTTGATCTGATATTCTTCTCTCCCTTTAGGGATCCAACTGACCTATTATCAAAAGCTGTCTGATCTGGGCAACGACAAGCTCGCCATCATCGGCGGCAAAGACTGCGAAGGCGTCACCAGGACACCGCAGCACGAGGAGACGTTCAAGATTGGAGACATTTCCGTTAAGCCTGTGCACACCCCTTGCCACACCCAAGACAGCATCTGCTATTACATGGAGGACTCAACCGGCAAGGCTGTCTTCACCGGCGACACACTCTTCATCAGTGGTATGATTGGCCCTAAACTAATTATGTTTTGTTTTGGCATGAACGAGGGACATTTGCTTTACTGACCACTGCATAGGATGTGGCAAATTTTTCGAGGGCAACGGGGCAGAGATGCATGAGGCCTTGAACAACCGTCTCGGAGCGCTGCCAGACGATACGGTTGTTTATGTGAGTTGTGGAATTACTGACTGAGCATGGTAAACGAGCTCAGACTAACAAGCTTTGTTCATTTTAGCCTGGACACGAATACACAAAGTCAAACGTCAGATTCACCATTTCCGTCTCTCAGACAGAGCCCATCAAGAGCCTCCAGGCGTTTGCCGAGAACAACGAGGTGACCACTGGCAAATTCACGATTGGTGATGAGAAGGTATGTGACCACACACAGAGAAGCGAAGCTGAAGAAGCTGCTAACCATGTAATAACAGAAGCACAATGTCTTTATGAGAGTCCAGGTAAGTCTACCCTCGATAGCCCTCTGTATTAGATCAGGGGTTGAGCTAACGATGGTGTGTAGGATCCCGAGATTCAAAAGGCGACAGGCGAGACGGACCCCGTGTCTGTCATGAGCAAGCTGAGGGAGATGAAGAACAACTTCAAGTGAGAGGAAGCGATTATGTGAAAAATACGAATAGGGCCGGCGACTAACGTTGCCACCAGGCCCTTGGAAGCCAAAATTTGACGTCTGATGGCGGCGCCTGAGACGATGTATCTACGGATTCAGGATGATAGTAGCACACATAACATGTACATGCACGCTCACAAGACATTTTTCACACATGCAATGATGTATCTTTATCTGTCTCCATGGCTTACTTGACACCAGCGCAAAAGGCGCAGATGCCGCTCGTTAACCACTGGAAATCGCGTCGTAGAAGAGTGACTCGACTGGGTTTTACTCTCGCTTCACTGTCCACACTTGCGCGCTGTTGAGCATTCTGAGGCGGCAAGCTCTAGCTAATTTTGAAGCGATTGGTTTGGTTTGGTGCAAGAGGGAGGATGAGGTGATGAGTTTGGATGATTTCACTGTAGATGGGCTTCACGCATGAGAACATGCAACAAACCTGGCACTGGAGCGTTTTGTCCACGAGGGGATCCTTGGGTTCGAGACCGGTTGAATCGCAGCCGGATTTGTAGGTACTCGGCGCATTCTCATAATCAATGAGAACCTCGTATTGGATCCTGTAGACGTCCAGGTATCGCAGATGCGTCACGACTCTCTATTTCGAGTCGACGTTGCGACGCGAGAGAAATGAAGATATTCTCTCAGTGAAAAAGACAGAATTTTTTTTCTCACGATTTTAAATATGGCAGCTAAAAATAAAGTGGTCCTCACAGTGCACATACAGTCATCAGGAGCACTGACGCACTGTACATATTTTCCCCTTCAGCCTCGCGCCTCGCATCACCAGATTCCGCGCCAGTGACATCAACGTGCATTCACAGAGCCCAATAAGACAAAAGAATACCCAACACAACACCGAAAAGTCTCAGACCGTCACACTTTCTCTTCCGCCTCGCCATCAGCAGCCTTACCATCATACTATCACCAGCAACAAGCATATATATTTAGAGAGAGAGAGAGAGCAGCTACTGTTAACTTTCACATGGTTCGTCCCCTCCTTAACGATTCACGAACGAACAAAAAGCTAAAACATTGTGCTTGAAAAAGCCTCCGAAGCGCAAAACCGGCGGCCCATCCACCGCATCGAAACCGCGACAGTCGAAACTCGCTAAAGAGCACAATGTCACCGCGCAGGAGGAGGGCGAGATTAAGGAAGCCTTTAGTTTGTTCGCGGAGCCGATGGACGGCGAGAAGAACGGCGTGCTGCCCATCAACGACCTGAAATCAACACTCATGTACGATCTCCCAAAACGAATTGAAAACATTATATAACAAGGGATGTGTGTAAAAGAAAACTAACTTGATCATCCCCTTTCAACAGCGCCCTCGGCATCCCCCCCTCGTCCCCCGCCGAGCTCCAGGAATTCATCGCCATTCTCGACCCCGAATCCGACGGCTACGCCACCTACGAGCCCTTCTTCGCCATCTGCGCGCTCAAGTTCCACGCGCGCGACAGTAGCGGTAGTTCGGATGCTCACCGCGCGGAGCTCGCCGAGGCCTTCCAGCTCTTCACAAACGGCGCCGACGGGCCCATCACACTGGCCCACCTGCGCCGCGTCGCTGCTGTGCTCAAGGAGGACGTGGACGAGGAGCTGCTCAAGGATATGATTCTCGAGGCGAACGGCGGGGTGGGCGTTGCGAGGGGTGTGGGGATGGATGAATTTGATAGTGTTATGAGGAGTGCTGGGGTTTGGCGGTGACGGCCCCATGGCTGGACTGGGACCTCTGCTCCATGGAGCTTTGTCTATATCTGTATATTGGATGAGCTGATGTGTGATGTGGTATAGGGGTGGGATATTTGCATTCTGCCTTGGTGTTGGTAGCGAGCTTTTGGATTTCTTTGGTATTTATTTCGCGTGGCGCTGGGAGTTGCAAGTTGTTTTGATGCTTGTGCGGCGGCCATAGCTTTTGGCTGGGTGCAACACGCTTAATGTTGTTGAATTCTATAGACGAGTACTATGCTTACATATGAGCAATGATGGAAGAGGACGTATGAGCGGCTATGAGCCAAGGAATGTATGGATGCCACAATGCAATGTCGGTGAATGTGTAGATAGTCAACACATGTACATGTATATATATATATATAGAATCTTCGCAAAGCTATGCTCGACCATTAACCCAGATGGAGTGGAAATCTAAATGGCTGCATTACAACGCTTTCTGAACTGTGATTTAGCAACGTGTGCCAAATTGTAGATAACTGGAAAATGCTCGACACAAGGGACACGACTTTATCCTTGTATACCAGAAAAACCCAATGGTTGAAAAAAAAAAGAGAAAACGCCGTACATCATACCATACCCAAGATGTCGAGTGTACAATAAATGAAGTTGGGAGCCCAGTGTCTCGCCATGACATTTCAAGATCTTTGCACGGGAGGTGAAAAAAAAGGGACCCAGGAAAAAGAAACACTATGCTGTCGCTCTCTCGCTCATTGAAGAAGAGGAGGTATGATATCGAAAAGAGTAGACGTCTACTGCGGAGGCTCAACAGTCACTGCAGGCGCCTCAAGTGGCACCGCAGGGGCAGCAGGCGCAGACGCCGGAGCTTTGGCGGCAGCAACAGCGGCGTTGCGCTTCTGAGAGTCGAGGACGGCCTGGAGCTCGGGCGGGGCCTTGAAGCCGGCGTGGTCCGAGTGCTTCTTGTAGAAGTAGTTGTCTGGCTTGGGCTGCAGCTCCGGGGGAAGATCCTCGAGGATGCAGGCTATCAGGGCGTCGACGGAGTTTTGCTTGGACGAGTCGCGGTGCCAGACGGTGATGAGGTGGGAGTTGAAGCGGACGGAGAGGCCAACGCCGCAGATCTGGTCAGCTATTTTAGAGAAAGGGATGTGTCAGTCAGTCTTGTCGAAAAAGACGAATAACATTGAGTGAGAAACAACGAGGAAAAGACAAAAAAGCACATACCATCGTCAATGACGCTCTGCAGCTTCTCGCCAATGGCCAGCAGCTGGATGCGAGTCCAAAAGTCCGGGCCGATGGCCTTTGGCACGCGGAACGTCCAGCTGCCGCCGTTGATGTTGCGGCGGTCCTCCCAGATGGGCTTGAAGCCGGACTTGAAGAGGTAGATGGACTCGCGCATCTTGATGTTCTCGACAGGGGTGTTGTTGTTGTAGCGCCAAAAGTCCTGGACCGACTCGATCTGCGTGCCAATCTTTTCGAGCTGGGCCGTGTACTCGGTCTGGCCAGCGGCTTCGGGCTTTTGTTCCTTGGGCCTGTTTTATGTAGAGACATATGTGGTTAGCCAGCCCTTTCAAGATACAAGACAATAGAGATTTCAGAACGAACCGGTCAAAGTAGACGTCCCAGTAGTGTTGCGTGGGCAGTGGTCGCATCGACTTGAACAGGTTGCGCTTCGCATCGTCGCGCTGCTCGGCGGGAGAGCTGACGTCGCCGGCGCTGGAGCTCTGCGAGAGGCCCGAGAGGCCGCGCGTGAAGAGTTGCGGTCTTGTTGCCATGGTTGAGTTTGTGGTATGATGTTGTAGAAGGGAGAAGAAGAAGAGGAAGAGAAGAGGAGAGGAGAGGCAGATGTAGATGAGGGGCAGAAAAGAAGTGGAAGAAGAGATGACGATGCCGGGACAGCTAGTGCTCTAGATATAGACAGGTCCAATAGACAAGGAGAGTTATCCGTCAGTCGAGGTCAGCACATGCAGAGCCTCAATTGGTTCTGCAGTGGCGAGACTTTGCTTGCTGGTGAGCGAGTCAACTGGACTGGCCTGAGTGAGGTGTAAGTTGCGGCGTGTCACTCGTGATAATGCGCAGCGCTGCACTGATTGGCATTGATTGGCGGGGTTCCTCCTTCGGGCGGCTTCAGAGTGGCTTCCCGGCGAGGGGTCTAGCGCTGTCTTAGTGGCTCCAGGGCTCTGTTAGTGGCTGTGCGCCTCCCCACAGGCGGCTGTCGAAACACCTAACCAGCCAAAGATTTGCCGTTCCAGGCCTCTCTCCTGTTTGAGGTTTTGGAGGCTCTTCATCATCATGGATTATCGGAAACACGGGCAGCTGCTTCACCTGACGCAGCCGGGGAAGGATTAGGATGAAGCAAGTAAGCAATAATAATTGACAAAATGAGATCGACAACAGTGTTTTCTGATTTCTTTGATTTCTTTGTCATTTTTTAACCGACGTCGTCTGTGTTTCGCACGCACTGCGCCTTTGTTTCATGTAAACCACCCGCTCGTCTGTGTTTGTTTTGTTCCGTTCCGTTTCAGTCTCCCCAGTCTCACGGTGCCGGTGCCTGTTTCACCTCCTTGCAGCTCATTCCGGTAGCTTCTCTACCCGTGCTCCTACAGGCGAGCCGTCGGATTCATTAGATGGGTATGGATGAGTGAGTTTTACACTTCATCTTGTAATGAAGCCATGTTTTCCCCTTTCTCGTGGCATGGTGAGGTGAACATGTGTATTCATGTCAAGCGCCTTATTCCACCATATAACATTCAGCACCAGTTCAAGTACACATGCACTGGATTGTTCACTGCACTGTTCAGTTTGGAAAATAATCTTATAAGAGCACTAGGTTAGTAATGATGGGCGTATTGAGGCTGTTCAACGTCAACGGTCAAGAGACAACCTTTTGGAGCCTGTTTGCCATATTGAACACTCTCAACACCAACCATCTCGTCAGACATGTGAATCAATACAAGAAATTCAACGTCTTTGTCGTTGATATACTTATAAATATATACGCATGTAAAACGCGTCTGGCCATGTAACACTCGTAATCCATCAAACTACACGTTATCGTATTCTCATGCCAAGCAACAAGCAAAACGAAGCTATAATCGCTTCAACACCACTCACGCCCATGGATCCTAACCATCCCAACCATCTCAACCCTCATTTTCACGCCCTCGACATCATCCTCGGCTACCTCAACCGCGGCAACTCCGCCCTCGAGATCCAACATCTCTCCTCCGTTGCAGAAGCCTGGTGCCAGCAACATCACCCTTTACCACTCAATCACCCCCCAGTCAATCTTGATGAAGTCCTCTGGACTCACCCTTTTCTGTTCGATCTCAGCATCCGGTCCTTTGCCCGCCTCAACCCCTTCAATGGCTGCAGATGTAGAAGCAACTTCACCCAAAACACCAGGCTAAGCCAGAACAACACTTCCCCGTCTTCCCTATCACACATCAGACCCCTCGTCACAGCCCAGCAATTCTTCTTTGCCATGATCGATGCGTATACGCTGCACGTAGGAGGAAACGGTAGGTGCTTCCACGACCGCATCGTTGCCCAGGACCTCAAGGCCTCGCCAATCATCTACTACATCCCCGAAGTGATTCATCGCATCGCCGCGCTGAATGTTTGTGAGCTGCTCACCAGTGAGTTTTCGACTTTTAGCCCAAAGACCAGCTTGGGCTTCTCGTACCATCTTGCAAAGGCGGTGGATATCGTCATGATGGATGCTCCTCCGGTCAACACTATCGAGGATTACGGTCTTGCAGAGCCGATGGACATTGATGATTTCAACCAAGAGGCACTTGCGCTGAAAAATCCCTTTGCTAATGTCAATGCTCGTGCAAACACACGTCGAGGAAAGCGGAAGTTTGGGCCCAAAGGCAACAAGAGCTCTCGACCTAATGACTCTCGATCCAATCACATTAGATCTAATCAGTCTCGACCTAATCATTCTCAATCTGGTCACTCTCGATCTAATCGCTCTCGACCTAATCACAATCACACCCAGTCTAGTCACTCTCACAGTAAGCAATCTTCGGGTGTCAAGAAGAAGAGAAAGAAGAATCATTGATGGCAAGGAATTTGGATGTACATATTGATATATATAATCCTAAAGTCGGTATCTCAGTCATAGAAACAATGAAACATGCCCCTTTCCTTCGTTTACTGTATGGAATCTGATTAATTTGATCCAAGTAAAGAGTAAGCAAAGGACAAAAGAAAAGAAAAGAAGAGAAAAGAGGTGGGAAAGGGACAAATTTAGAAGCAAAACATGACTCCTCTTCCACCAAGCTGTTCAGTTGTTCATCCAGGCAAACAAAGAAAGCCACTCTTCCCCTGAAAACAGTCGCTCTTACGCCCACAACTCTGTATGCCATTTAGGAGAATTTAATGCATTATCCCCTCTGGCGTAACAAAAACACATAAAACAAACTGGGCCGAAACAGTGCTAAAATCCCATCACTCAGCATCGTCGTCGTCACATCGTCATTAACCGTTCGTTACACATTCTGCTTCACACCAAGAGGCATCCGCACACTGTCCGTATCCTTGAATCTGTCGAGGTCGCCGCCGATGAGCTTCCGCAGGTTGCCCATGTCTTGCAAATAGCGCTCCATCTCCTGCTGGAGCTCATCGTCTGCAGCGGTGCTTTCCGAATCGTACTCGTACTCGTCTTCTTCCTCTTCCTCTTCTTCCTTGCTCTCGAGCTGCACCGGTGGGATGGGATTCTTGAGACTGTCAATGGCCAGCTTCAGATGTAGCTTCAGGGCCTCGTTCTCCATCTGCAGCTTCTTGATCTTGCTTTCGGCAACCATGCTGCGTTCCTCCATCATGCGCTGCATGGTGCCGACACGGATCTGGTACTCTTCCAAGCGCTCTTCTGCCTCTTGAGCATTCTTTTCGCGCTCGCGAGAGTCCGAAACCGATATTTGCAGCATCCGAATCTCCTGCGCCATTGTGGCAATCTGGGCGTCACGCTCTGCGGACGAGATATGGTCTTGGTTGACCTTGGCACGAGTGCGGATGCGCTTGGCTTGATCGGCGTATCGAAGCGTCGAGAGTGTCTCCTCGTAGTCCGAGGGGGCAACACACGCAATCATGGCCGTCTTGCTGTTGCCTCCTAGAGAGTCCTTGAGCAGCCACGTCAATATCGAATCTCGATACGGTACTATGTCCTTTCTCTTGCCCGACCGCAGCTGCTTAGGACCTGCCAGCGCAGCAATGACCCGGCCAAGGGTGGCGAGCGACTTGTTGATGTTACTGCCCTCGCGAAGTCGTGCCCCCGTGGCCTCGGTCGTCTTTGCCCTCTCACTGCCCGCCAGATCAACCAGCCGGATGCGAGAGCTGCGTTCCGTGGTCTCGTCCGTCTCCATGTCGTGGTGAATCTGCTTCAGCATGATGGTGAAGACGGCGTGGCTCCGGCTACTAGTGTCGTTCATCTTGGTGCTTGCCACGGTGCGAGATGCGTCTCCCACCTTGATGTATCGCATAATCTCGTGAATGTTGCGTACAGGCACCTCGGTGAGATCCTTGACATATGGGCCCTCGGTGGGAGACTCGCGGATCTTGAGGTAGTTGGGGGGTGTGTTGGGGACGACGGGCACCAGAAGGTCTCGGACGTGCTCGTTGTAGACCTCGAAATACGAAACCCGTACGTTGTAAGCGACGCTTGAGTCATCATTGTGGGCGGCGTCTATGCGCTCAAACAGATCCTCGCAAGTTCGAGGAATCAGCCCGGGGTTGTCGGGCGTTCCCATCATGGTGTAGCTCTTGCCAGAGCCGGTCTGGCCATATGCAAATATGCACGTGTGGTAGCCCTCGAAGTTGTGGTCGAGAAACTCCTCGCCGAGGCTGTTGTAGATGTCTTCTTGGTTGGCATAGTCCTTGTCATCGGGGTCGTGGCTCCAGAAGGAGGAGTCAAAGGCGAAGCTCTTGTCGGTGAGCTTGCGAGACTTGGAGGGGCTTGAGGCCACAGAAGTTTCTTGTTCGTCGGGAGCCCTGAGGGTGGTAATGTGGGATACGGGGTCCATTTCGACAAGGCATCTGGCTCGTCGTTGGAGTTCTATTCAGTCTTTTAGTTAGCTTCTCTCTCTTTTGACCTCTTGACCTCTTGGTTCACCATCTCATTGGTAATCCAGCGGCATCGTATAGCCTACCTCGCTGTAAAAAGGCGCGCACTCTGACGACAACCTTGACGTTGCCGCCACGGTCCATCCTCGAAATCACGGGCATGACGGCGGCATCTCGCGATCGCAGCGATGGAGTCGAGGCCGACGACGAGGCCATCATGAACCGGACCTCGGGCGCCGGCGAGGGCGACGAGGGCATAAGTCTTTCGTCATGAGCCATTGTGCGCAATGTCTCAAAGATGCTATGGAAGCTATCGTGGAGGCGGAGGCGAAGAATGTGCTACATTAGTCCGCCTTTCTTTGTCTGGATGCTGCTTGTTTACATGCCGGTGATTGAGTTTGGCGGCGGTTGCCGGGGTAAAGGGACAGGGGTGGCTGCACTTGCCACAGATTGGTGCGACTGTGGCTTTCACTGTATTGGTTGTGGCTGATGGCGTCGATAGCTTTAAGCTTCAGCTTCAATTGCCCCGGGGATTTTCCGTATTGACGGTCCGGGGCGAGTGACTGTGTGGGGGAGGCTGATTACCTAATGGCGTCTTCCCTTTGTGAAGCTTAGAACACCAGCCAGCCCCTGTCAAAATAAGCCAAACAACAAACTCCGCAGATTCAACCACCATCCGCCTCTATAATTCTGTCACTTCCTCCAACCGCGCATCTTTGTCTCAACAAAACCAAGCAACAGAAAGCTGCCCTTTCACGCGTCAGCAGCTCCCCCGGACACAGAAAACAGGTCCCTACAGCTCCGTGCAACGCAGCTAGCCCCAGCTGTACCTAGTCTTGTCTCGACTCGCGCAAAGTCGCGTATCTCATCATTTCCGTTCCTTTTTTTTTTTTTTTTTTTTTTTTTTTTTTTTCTCTTTTTATTTTCCGCATCATACCAACCACCTCACACTATCGCAACACCAATTCCTACTTCTCCCGTGGCAACCGAGTTCCACCGCCTGAATACCATTTGCGAACCCACCCTCGCTCGTGTCCCCTTTTCTCCTTGTCACCAAAGACAAATACTTCTCCCCCCATATCTCTAGTGCTCCGATGGCGCGCACCAGAGACGACGCCAAGGCAGCGGCTGCCGATGCGGCTGCAGACATCGCTCGTCAGCCCACCGAAGATGCTGGCGTGAAGAAGACGCCGGGTCGCGGCCGAGGCCGCCCCAAGAGCGCAAACCCAAAGTCCCCCGCAAAGCCATACGTGCCCACTGGCCGCCCTCGCGGAAGGCCCAAGGGCAGCTTCAAGTCCAAGGCGGGCGCGGAAAGGGCAATGAAACCAAAGAAACCAAGCGCGCCGCTGGCACCGGGCCAGACGCGTGGACGTGGCAGGCCGCGCAAGTCAGACGTTGTGCCGGCACAGGAGGACAACCAGGAGCAGACGGCAGAGTCCGAGGCCAATGCTGAGGCTGAAGCCGGAGATGATGCCGCCGAGAACCAGCCAGGTATCGGTGGTAAGTCCAACCGTCGCCAACACAAAACCACATAAACTTTCCTCCAAGAAAAGCAAGAGACGGACCAGCTCACGCAATGCCAATTTTCCTTTGTAGACGTGACTGGTGGTGCACGCGATGGGACGCCGCGGCAGTCTCCCGAATACGAGGTCGGTCCTTCATCATCATTCACATCACCTGCGTGGTTCTCACGATTCAAGAACATTATTGGCTGATTGTGGTTTGCAATGTTGCCTTCTCTGCCACAGGAGGACCAGGTTGATTATGACAATGACGATGAATGAGGCTTTTGGGCGCGCGCGAGTCGAGTCGGCTTTTGTTTGGACTGAAACCTGTGGCAAAGAGAGAGGGCTGGTGCTGGTACGAAGCAAGAGGGAACTGTTTTGGTCATGTTCATCACCTCCCCCTTCTGGCCGTGAAGGCGTTTGTGGTCAAGAAGAAGGAACATGTCCAACAGCATTGTGAGGGAAGACTGGGGCGGCGTTTTGTTATTTTTTTCTTTTTGGGGAGCTCCGGATTGTATTATTAAGGAATCGATCCCCTTGCTTCAGCTGGATGGAAACAAAAGCATAGGAAAAGCCTGGCGCAGCACGAAAACGACGGGTTGATCCATCTGCTGCTCGCAAGGCCTGTAATCATTATCTCCCGCACCATGAAGCTACGTGCGATGTGTAATGGCAAAATCAGCAATGTTCTTATTTGTACAATTCTTCGTGTCTTCATATGTCTCGTCATTGTCTCTCACATGTTCACTCCCGCTTCCATTCCTCAAACTCCTTGTCCAGGTGGTCCTTGAGCTCCTTGAACCTGTTTCCAAAGTTCTTCCCGCACCGCCAGCACACCAGGTCCCGCCTCATGTAGCCCTCATCCTTGGGGATCCTGCGGGGGTCGGCCTCGCCGAGTGGGAAGTCGGCCACGTCCACCAGGAACGGCGTGTTGAAGGAGTTGTAGTGCTTGCGGTGCTTCATGGCCGGCGAGTGCATGTCTCGCGAGAGCACGTGGATGTGCAAGTTGCCCATGCTCGGGACGGCGTGGACGCCGCACATGAGGTCGGCCATCCAGTCCCTTCCCGGCGGCAGCTGCGGTTCTTTTCCCTTGTCGTTCTTCTCCTGTCCTTCTGCTGCTGTTTTGGCTTGTCCCTCTTCTGGCTCCGCATCGCCATTAAGCACAGCCTCTCTCGCAGCATCAGACCTACTAAACGAGCCCAACCGACGCTGCAGCTCCGCCGCCACGAGCACTTTTAGCTTACCTACCTCTTCTTTGACCTTTTCCAGAAACTCAACATCCTGGAGCGCCTCAAACGGGTGCAGAAGGGTATGCTTGGGAGACCGCGGCAGCAGCAGCGTGTGGACGGTGGCCTTTGGGAATTTATCGTGAATGACGACAAAATCTGCGTTGTAGTAGATGACTACTGAGGCAGGGTATGATTCGGGGGCGGCGATGTATGCGCCGAGGCCCATGCGGTTCTTGAAGAGGTGAGGTCTTGAGCTGGGAGGTTTTGGGGGGGAGATGATGGTTTTTGGTTTGGGAGCCATGAGTTTGGCGACTATGTTTCGATGTTAGCTTTTTGTTTTGGATGTTTAGCTTACTCAGATATAAGGCATCTTTATTAATTGAAAAGAGATGAAGAAAAATGAGGCTGTACTTACACGCATCTTGTTTCGCTCGCTTTGAGGGCGGCTCGTCTTCTTCCTCTTGCTGCATCTCTTCCCGCGTCAATCCCTCCTCAGAGTCTGACTGTGCGTCGGCCTGAGTCATGACTGAGAATGACGGACGAGCGTGAAGACGAATATAGAAAATACTACATAAAAATTTGACCTGCTGAAAATGAAAAGTTTCTGATCCGGGGCGGTTCAGAAAGAAGCCCGCGGAGAAGGTGAGTGAGCGAGTGAAGTGATGGCTTGTAGTGGCAATGTCTAAGACACAGTACCAGCTTATAGCCTACAGAACTCCCTGGTTTTCTGGTGCCTGAATTGGCAGCCCCACCACCAATCGCCAGGAATGGCTTCATTATGCCATCATAGAGACCAACCATTTGGCTTCCATTTTGCTTCTTTATTCTACGTCTTCTTCTTCACAGTTGAGGGGACTTGGATGAAACTCAATTCAGATGAGCCTCAAATGTCCATCACCAGCACTCATAGACGGGATGGGCATGCTGTTAAATCTTAGGTACTCCGTATTCTCGCTCCGTATATCCCGGCACCCGCTTCAAGCATCTAGCCCGTCCAGCTCAATCATCTTAATCACTAACTTAATAATCTTGTTCCCCGTCAGATCCAACCCCGGATTCTCCACCTTGTCAGCAATCAGATTGTCCACCATGGCCCTCAGCCTGGCCACCAAAACTCCCAGACGAGCCCAACCCCGGAGTCGGAGCCATCCGTCAACCAAGAGACCACGGCCCAGAGTATCGAGCTCGATGGGCCCGCAGAACATGAGCAGCGTGTACGCATTCAGAGCTGATATCCAATCAATTAGTATTCAAAACTATCCAAAAGCAATAGTAAAAGGAATAAACTCACGAGTCAGGTCCCGGATGAAAATCTTGGTGGTCGATATCATGCTAAAGTACGACATGTACGCCGCATTCCCAGAAAACCCCTGGCTGCCAAACAGCGTGCTGCTGGGATGCACAAACACTCGGCCGGGCTCCTGGCAAAAGTATTTGATCGCCCTCGCCTCGGGATCCAGCTCGACCGCTCCGGACATGGAGCTCGCAAACTTCTTGTCAGGGTATTGAATCCGCGCAATCTGCGGCGTAAATGCTGACGCGACAAGTGCTCGTAGCAGCAGAGCGTTTCGAGAACCAGACGTCTGAGAAGAAGGAGAAACCATGCCTATTTCTGTCAAAGCATCGTAGTATTGGCTCCTCGTATTTGAAATGTCCGTCAACGTCTGGAAGGATAAAAAGTTTTCATCGCAAAAGGCTCTGATCTGGCGCTGCGGCGTTCCTCGATCCTTCATCATGTCATCCCACTGGTTGAAAGCCTCTAGATCGGTCAGCAGGTCGCCATCTCCTGTGTAGAAGCGCATTCTAGCCTCCCGAGCTTCATCCCTCTTCTCCTGAGGCGAAAAGAAGGGACTCCGGGTGCTCAGGATAGCGGCAATGGTGATGCAATCGTCCAAGCAACCGAAAATGGCGCCAAATACCATGAGTTTGCCGCATCGTAAATCTGCTGGCAGCATGGCCAGCTGCTGTCCCATGGCAGTGAGCTCGTCTCCATCCAGAGCCCCCATGCGCCGCAGTAGTGTCATGGCGCCTTCGATTGCCGGTATTTCCGGAGGAGTGGGAGATCGCCCGAGGAATCGAATTACATCCTTCATACCCATGGCTCGTACTGACAGACACAGTTGCTCAAGAGGTACTCGTCTAATCTCCGGCTCCGGCCGAGGTGCCATGTTCTGCTCCAGATTCTGAGTATAGAGCTTGAAACATTTACCTGCTTGCACACGACCAGCTCTGCCCTGTCGTTGTTTGCATGCCGCTCGCGAGGCCCACGTTTCTTCCAACTTTCTCATGTTGTTCTGCGGGTCAAAACTAGTCTCCTTGACCTTTCCACTGTCAATCACAACTACGATATCGTCAATCGTGATGGAAGTTTCTGCCACGTTTGTAGCTACGACCACCTTTCGCTTGCCAGGAGGAGGGCTGCTAAACACCCTCTTCTGCTCCTTCGTCTCGAGCGAAGCGTGTAGTGGGAGAACGTGGAGTGAGTTGATGGACCTGAGATTGTTGCAGGCCTGGTTAATCTCCCCAACTCCGGGCAAAAAGATGAGGATACCTCCCGTTTTCTTCTCATACGATAGCTCGTAGTCAATCGCCTTGACGGCTTCGGCAATCAAGCTATAGTTGATTCGATGGCCCAGTTTTTGAATAACCTTGCCCATCGTCTCGTCGCCAATGAAGCTTCCATCGTCAGGTCCATCAACTCCGAAGCCTGTCATACGAACCACATCATCAAGGTAGTACTCTTCAACGGGGAATGTTCGGCCGGAAATCTCGACGGCTCCGACGCTCAGCCCCTCGGTTTCAAAATAGCTCTTGAAAGTCGCGGCATCAAGCGTCGCCGACATGAGTATCAGCTTCAACATGTCCTTCTTCTTGATCATGACTTCACGAAGCAGATTCAAAAGGAAGTCTGTGTCAAGACTTCTCTCGTGAACTTCGTCGATAATGATGTGACTGACATCGGCCAGAGATGCCACGACATCATCCACTCGACCACCGGATGTCTGAAGTCTTCGGAGCAACACACCGGTCGTGACAAAGGTAATCCTAGTATCTCTTGACTGTCGGGACTCGCCACGAATGGCATATCCCACCTCGCCTCCCACTCGTGAGCATCGCTCATCCGCCACTCTATCAGCCAGTCCCAGCGCCGAAATTCGCCGTGGCTGGGTGACAATCATGTTTGCGCATCCTCCGAGCCCCTTTTCGTATAGGTCATCCAGGAGAAACTGAACGGATTGCGTCGACTTTCCTGAACCAGTCTCACCACTGATGATGGTGACGTGATTCTTGTTCACCGTTTGCACAATGGCATCCTGCATTTGCCAAGCGGGTAGGGCCTGGCGCTTCGTGACCATGTCCTTCTGTGACGGGCTTCCCTGCCGACGAAGCCATTCTTCTTTGCTCTTTGCGTCGACAATCCATTTGAGAGGCCTTGGCGGACCCCGAGAGCGCTTGCTCTTGGCCACCGATTTCGCTGGTCGCGTCTCAGAGGCGGCAGAGGAGACTGCCGATATGTCTAGAAGCTTGCCTGGGTGGGCAATGATGTCGTTGATGTTCTGCTGGACCCAGTCTACGGTGAGATATATCTTGGTCGGCTCGTCTCGGAGATCCTCCTCGATGTGTGCCAGCATCCGCTTTACTATACTGAGCTTGATGTATGAGGGCAGCTTAGCAATGATAGCAAGAATGATGTGTCGTGGATAGCTCGAACCCTTGCGGACTTGTAAAAAGGCTTCCACGTCTCCGTTTTGCGCGTCTTTTACTCCATCAAGGCGGATTTGAATGATGCTATCGCCGTCTCGGCGGAAGCTATTGCCGTAGATGGACTCCAATGTAGTCACCTCCTCATCCCACTGCTCCTGGGGTGTCCCAAAGTCTAAAAAGTCGCCCCCTGATTCTTCGGCACCCTCTTGGCTTGCCGTAGCAGCGGGGAAGAGAATATTCTGTAGCGTTTCGGCAGCGGCATCTTCATTGCCGCCGTGATCATCCAACACGCGAGTACATAGCTCCACAGAGTATCCGGTCTGCGAAAGACGCTGAATGATACCTTCTCTCCTCAGATCTGTAGCTCCTATGGTCACGCCAGCCGAGTACTTCTCCGGAAGAGCCCACCGCGGAAGATCATCTTCGGGAACGTGAATCAAGAGCCACTCTAGGGTTTCTTGCCGGTCCTTGCAGTATCCCACAGCTTCCTCTACGTGGCTCTGGCGGAAACCAAGCTTGCCGAGCTCCGACACAACGCTCTTCTTCTCAGCTGGAGGCATGGTCACGCCATGGGGGTTCCAAGTCACGCCGTCTCTCAGCAGCGACTCCAGCTGAATCCTGGTTTGCCTGCCCATTTCGACTTTGGGCACCGTCGTCCAGCCTTTCATCGCATTGGATACAGATCCCGTGTTGCTCAGCAGCACCAGGCCTGCCGCTCCGGGTAGCTCCTTAGCCTTGGCCTTGGCCTGCTCAACCTCCTTGCGCTTCTTCTCCGCAGCAGCCTTAGCATCCTGACGTTCAAGCAGGGTCTTGAAGGGGTCAGCCTCGTACATCCAAGCTTTTCCGTCCTTGACATCTTGAGTCTTGAGCGCTTGGAAATCTTTCCATAGGGACTTGTAATCCGGGGGGAGAACCGTGTGCTTGTTCTGCATGCTGCACACCCTGAACAGGGCATACGTCGCAGCCGCATGCTTGGCCTCCAATGCCGTGTCCCTCAGGAGCAGATGCTTGTGCGTTAGAGGGATTTTGAACGGCTCCAAGGTGATGAGCTGTTGCGTCTTGATGTCTTTGGCACTCAGCGTCACCCAGACAGAGAAGCCCTCGGCCGTCTTCCGCGTGTCATACACCGGCTTGTCCCATTTCTGCTTCTGGCAATACTCGCTCAGCAGATTGACCGGCAGCTTGCCTGTCCACGACGAGCCTCCGATGATCTGCTTCACCGTCGGCTTGGGAGGTGCCGGCGGCAGCAACTCAGGAGCGGCATCCGCTGCTTTTTGTCCCTTTTTGCCTTTACCACTCCCATTCCCATCCTTGGATGCTGCAGAGGTTTGGCTTGGTGCAGGCGCGGGGGCCTTCACCTTGCCCTTCTTTACCATGCTATACGGAGCTGTGGTTGTGACGCAAACGAGAACAAGAAAAGATCGATCCGCCTCTTGGATTCCAAGGCAAACAAAGACGGCGAGATTGTCCCGCTACAGCCACGCAAAGGAGGACAAGCAAATGGAGCAAACGAGCAATCAAGCAAATTAGACAAAAACTGGGTGCTACTCCTTTCTCCCAACAAGCTCAGATTTTTTTTTGGTTCATCTCAGTGATGCCAGATGCATCGGCGATATGGAAATTTTATGGGTCCAAATCGGGCTTGTCATCTTTCGCACTGTGCATGAAGTCTAGGATCGTAACAGTTCAGACATGCGCCAAACCTTGTATGAGGGTAGCTGTCCCAAGTCTCATCATCTCCATCTCCCTAAAGAAAAACATCAGAAAGAGAGACTTGGATCTTCTATATCTACTTACTATTGCTGATTTCTTGTGCAGTGATTATCCAATATTTGGGCCTCCTACTGCAATTTAGGCATCGGGCTGTTCACTACAGTCCGCATACTGTCCCAGGAACAATATCGGATTTGATGCTCGACATGGCTGAGAGGCTTCTCACCACAAAGGTGAATATTTGATTGACGACGCAGTAATGGCAGCAACCTTTAACATTACCATCGCATGTTGTATCATCATCATCAAACATCAAGAATCATAGACACATCAAGAATGGGATAACCTGCCTCTTATTTCACTAGCTAAATGCGTAGACGTGAGATGCACAAACACTTGATTGTTGCATCAAGAGCAGCCTCTTCTTCTTAAACTTCTTTATCGACAGAAGCGCAATGCACTAGCACTGGCTCCTCTCCGCCGTGTCACTGTGGTATATGCCGTCAGACTACCAGACCCAAACACAGGCAGGCAGGCAGTTGATCGGGGGGTCGCTCTTCAATGGCCATGGCCATCTAGACCCGTATCCACGAGATTTTTGCCCAGTATTTCCTGCTTCGTATAAATTCGACTACTCCTCCTCAGACACAGCATGTTTCTCCTCAGGCTGGAGCTTTCAAGCTACCATAGGGCCTGCTATTCAGTCGGGCTACTCTGTTCCTTCTCTCTTTCTTTCTTCCTTCCTCGCACAGATTGTCAAGCCAAATTAAGGGATAAAGGGGGTGTGTGTTGTTGCCAAGAATTTTGGGGGTTTGGTCAGCAGTGTTTGTAACACAGTGTATTCTGCTGTTCGTGTTGATGACAATAATGTGAAGGGTGTGCGGGGAGGTGGTTATGGTTATCGTCTTGGGGGTGCCAATCAATTTGGGAGGCGAGGAATCTCTCAGCTTGACGCATCAAAGTATCAACCTAAAAGCTCACGAGAATAACGCGCGCCTTCTTACATGTCCATAGAATCACCGCCGTTGGCAAAGTTGAAGCCTCCCGACTGCGCAGCGCCGTTGGTGCCGAACCCAAAGGTGCCGTTAGCGCCAGTGGGCTGAGAAGCGCCCTCATCTGCGTTCTCCTCCTCGTCAGAGAAGTACTTCTCAATGATGTTGTAGGCCTTCATGTAGATTTCTTCGTTGGCGTTGTTCTGGCAATCGTGAATCTTCTCCATGCCACCACACTCCTCGATGAACAGCGCATAGCGGTTGATGGAATCGGCACCGTCACCGGCAGCTTGTCTGTCCAAATCGCCAATCTTGAGAATGTTCTCCAGGCCGTCAAGAGCAACCTGAATGATCTTGTTGTCGGGGCAGGCAAGGAGGTCACACAGGGGCTTGATGCAGCCTTGAGCAACGAGGTACCGGATCTGTTCGGGCTTCTGGAGGCCACCGGATGTGGCGTTGCTAATGGCCCAGCAGGCCTCCTTGCGGGTCTTGAGGTCACCATTCTGCAGGAGGTGGATCAAAGGAGGGATAATGTTGGCATCGATGACAGCCTGGATCTGAGACGAGTTACCGGCAGTGATGTTGGAGATGGTCCAGCAGGCTTCCTTGCGAATGCCATCCTTGGTAGAGCTCAAAAGAGACAGGAGACATGGGAGAGCGCCACAGTTGATGATCACCTGGGTCTGGACATCGTCGCCAGTAACAATGTTACCAACGGATCGAAGAGCGGGGGTCTGAACGGAAGTGGATGCGTGCAGGAGAAGCTCGACAAGTCTGCGGGGAATACCGGCTTCGATAACGGCCTGGATCTTGTCGTTGGAGCCATCAGAGAGATAAGAAATAGCCCAGCAGGCATCGATCAAGACCTCGTCATCAAGAGAGTAGACGAGCTTGGACAGAACGGGAAGTGCCGGGGCAATCTGTAAATGAAGACACTGTTAGAGTTTTATCCAACAATATAAAGTTAAGAACACGTACCGTATTCCAGTCAGGCTGCGGGGTCTTGCCACGGCAAAAGTTGCTCAGGGTCCAGGTTGCGTTGCGGAGCATGCTCAGCTTGCGGCTGTCTCCGAGCAAGCTAAGCAGAGGCTTGAGAGCGCCGCAGCTGAGGACATAGTCACGGCAGTGAGGGCTGTCGCCGGCAATGTTACCAAGAGCCCAAACGGCCTGTTCTCTCACGTCGGGCTCGGGGCTGCCAAGCAGCTCGACGAAGATGGGAACAGCGCCAGCCTCGATGACGACCTGGGTTTGAGTGGCAGAACCAGAGGCGATGTTGGTCAGAGCCCAGGCGGCTTCGAACTGCACAAGAGTGTGAGGGGATCGCAGGAACTCGACGAAGCGGCTAACGACGCCAGTCTTGATGACTTCCTCGATGGGAGGGTTGCGCTCCTTGGACAGGAGCTTTCGGAACTTGGTGGTGGCCTGGATTTGGAGGTCGATCTGGTCGGAGAAGACGCCAGAAACCATCTGAGGAAGATCCTCGTTAAGCTAATCAATATCATGTTAGCCGATCCATTCGCAAGCTCCAAATTTTGACATGTATTTCCACGAGTGCACTGGAACTGGGCTCATCCTGTCTTCCGGCTGCAGCGAGCCTGCAAAACAGCCCATGCGCAGCTCTCACGCCAGTCGGTCAGAATGCCCGCCACCAAGAGGTGGGGTCCAGTCATATTTCCCCCACATCACAAGCAAAAGCACAGCATCACAGCAAAACCTGCAAGGCGGATGGGGCGCCTTGCGAAGGTCTTGCGACGGCTTTGCGATGGATAGGCATGGAGTGAAGCAAGGAAATCATTAGAGCTTTGCGTACCTGAGACTCAGTAGGAGCCGACTCATCGTCGCTGTCGGGGGCGGCGCCGAGAGCAGCGCCAGGACGGCTCTCGCCAGAGCCAATGCCTCGTCGCTTTGCTAAGTTCTCCTCGCGCTTGGCCTTGCGAATCTCGACCTGCTGCTCCTCGCGACGGCGACGGAGCTCATCGGGCTTGAATGTGTTCTTGGCCTTGAACTGGGTTCGGCGATGCTCTGGGATATATCGGTCCGCCATGGTGCTGACTGGCGATGTGCGCTGCTGCTGGTGACGAAAACGGTGGAAAGGCGGGCAGGCAGAGCAGAGCAGGGGTTACTGGTGGTTGCGCGGGGACGGTTCAGGATGCGAGCGATGGCACCGTCGACGAAGAATCTCTGTCCTTGAAGGTGCTATTGGATGCGTCCCTGCTATTCGGTAGTAGGTAGTGAAGGGGATAAAAGTTCGCTGCGGAAGAAGGGGAGAAATCAAGAGGGTTGCAGGGCAAAGTCAAAATCGGATAGGTAGGTACTAAACTTAGCAGGGCGGCAAGAATTGACTGCAGCAGGCTTAGCAGGCTTTACTGCCTGTTCCCGTTGCTAGAGCGCTGAATAGCCGCTAAAAGCTTTCACTGTCGCCGGCGCTCAGACATTGTGCCTAAGGCATCAAGCTTCGATGGCTGAGCTAAGGGTGTGACATGTCTTTGCCTTTTGTCTTTGTTCAGACAGTATCCTCCAGTACCTGCTTACCCCACCTTGTTGCGGTAGTTTCCCTCAGTACACTCTGTTAAGCCTTGATTCACTACATACTCCCTCAAAGTCCCTATGCCGAGTGAAATACCTGCAGGTACTAAAAGATTTTGTGCTCGTATGCCGCCAAAGTACATGTACCTATACGCAGTACCTGTTAGTGATTCACTCCCCCTTGCGCCCACCCTGTTGTCATCTCGATCACAATCACAGCACCCTTTGAACCCTTTCCACATTGAGTTCAAGGCTGGTACCCCTCACAATAAGCTCCATGCTGTACAAAGTACAAGTACCCCTCTCTCACTTCTCATCACGTGCTCTCGCGCCTTGGAGATCTGGCCCCTCTAACTCCATAATTGACACATTCTGTAAGACGCGAAATCATCGTCGTAAAACGCGTTGTCCCGTCACGTAATCCGCCATTCGCTTCCCCACAGCAATTGAGGCCCTGTGGCCGATTTGCACTGTGTTGAATCGTATCCAGTGATGCTTCAGGCGTGACTGTTTTGATCACATGATTAAAGCCATGCTCAACTATGGCTCCCCCTCTCAACAAGCGGCAGAACTCACTGCCCACCGGCTTCATATCGATTCGAGATATATTGGACCGTAAGCGTGGAGTCGGAAACTTGCTGAATGTCATTGGCGTCGTCAAAGACTTCAGAACCCCCGTTCCTACCAGGAGAAGCGGTAAGCATTGCTTTCTGCACCATCAGTGGTCATGTTCTAAGTGCCTACATTGTATCTAGATTGGAAGTGTGAGATCCGTCTATGTGACAACTCTGATGAAGATGCTTCATCCAACTCCATCGCCATCAACATATTCCGGCCGGAAAATGAGATGCCGGATCCCAGCCTTGGTGACGTTATAGTGCTCTACCAGGCCAAGGTTGCTCGACCTTTCTTTTGAAGATGGGAGATTTCACATGCTAAGAAAGATGTTAGCTGCAATCACACTCCGACACACTATCACTCGTGACGCACTGGACCACAGATGTGTATCTATATTCGGCAAACCAGATTCCACGGCCACCAGAAGGAGCATTGAAAGCGCTACGCCCTCAGCAAAGAAAAACGACTCATAGCCCTGGACAGACAGTACATGAATACGTTTCGTCTCTCTTTCACTCCATAGACAAGAAGAGTCTTCCATCTGAGGCAGAGTTCCAAGATATGAAGGCAAAATCCGCCAACACCTCGGACAAATTCAAGGAGCTCAAGGATGTCCGAGATAGCACGTTTGCCGATGTAATAGTCCAATTGGTCAGGCAGCCATATGATACCAGCGACAAAATTACTCTATGGGTATCAGACTTTACGGAGAATGACAGCTTTTTTCATTTCGCATTCAAGGGATTTGGTGGCGATGGTGGCCAAGCTTCTGACCCTTATGGATATGGAGTTAACCTGCCATACGGAGCTGGCACTGGCGGTGAGTGGAAAGGACCATTTGGGAAGCGGAGCATGCAGGTCACTTGCTTCGAGCCTCATACCTCATTTATCAGAGAACGAGGACTCTCCACAGGCTCTTGGGTCATGCTTCGGAATCTTCACATAAGATATGGACACAACGCCGCCAATCTTGAGGGCTACTTGCGTTCGGATTGGAAGATCCACGTCACACAGATGGATATTACAGATACGGAGGCTCCTGATCCTCGCTTAAAAGAGGCTGTCCGCCGTAAACGCGACTACGAACGGGAGAAGGAAATGCTCCTTCAAGCAGGATTGGCTGGAAAGAAGAGGAAGAGTGACTTGGCCGAGATGCAGCCGCCCCAAGTTGAGAAGCCCAGGAGGAACAAAAAGCCCAAACAAAAGGCGAAGAAACCAGTAAAGGTCGCAGAAGTCTCAATATTGTCACAGATAGGGGCCACAGAGCAAGGAGAGTTGACAGTAATGTCTAATGGCATGTCCACGGAAACATCTGCTGCAATATCAACTGCATACTCAAAAGGTACCCTCTCCCCGCCTACATTGCATTGTATATGAACAGAGACCTGACATCATTAGTGAAATGCGAAAACGAAAACAAAGCCGTCAGCACCATTGGCGACATGCTAGATCCCGTATACGTAGAAACGGATATCAATGGCGAGCAAGTCAAGCTGCAGCTTCCTTTTGTAAATATGAAGTACCGCGCCAACGTTCGGGTTGTCAATTTCATGCCCCCTGACCTTGAGGACTTTGCTCAACCAAAGAAAGTAAAGAAAAAGAAACATCCGGAATTCGATATGCTTTCCGATGAAGAGTCAGATGCAGACGCAGAAATGGAAGGAGAAGAAACAGTGGATCGTTCGACAGCGCGTGTGTGGGAGTGGCGATTCTTCTTGGAACTGGAAGATGCGAGCTCTCATGGGGAAACCCAAAAAGAGAAGAAAACTCTCTGGGTCGCAGTGAACAACCCTTCTGCGCAATGTCTTTTGAGCTTGGACGCCTCTGACTTGCGATCGGACCAAAAGAATCTCGAGGCCCTACGCCAGCGCCTATTTCTCCTATGGGGTGACCTGGAGGAAAAGAAGATCCTGGAAGAAGAAAACAAACGTCAGGCAGCGCTGACGAACAGGGGGGTAAACCGTCCCCCGTTGCACAGTTCCGATGATGAAGGCAGGATGCCGCAAAAGCAGGGCCCGGGATCGTCGCAAGTCCGTAGCAGGCCGTTTTCCTGCTGCATTCACCAGTACGGAGTCGAAGTTCCCGAGGAAGATCCCCTCAAGGCAGACGCTGGCGAGGGCATGAGGTGGCAGAGAATGTTTGGGCTTTTTGGGACACGAATTGCATATACTTGATTTGTGAGATCTGTTTGGAGTCACTGGCAACTGCAGGTAGAATTGTTCAACTATCAGTGACTGATTTATGTGGTTTACGATGCAAATAGAATGATAGCTTATGGGAAACCGGTGGGCAGGGCGTTCATGCAGATATACTTGAAAGAAACACTATTATTGACTTGTCGGATATCTTTTTAGACGTTAATCTGCCTGCATTCAAATGCCACCCGGATCGTAATAGTCGCGCGACTTGAACCAACCTCTCTCTCTAAAAGAAAAATCTCCCACGCTTGCCCTGTTTGTTTCCCCTCAAATAATTTGTTCAAAAGTATCAAAGTTCATCGGAAGCATGTCAGGAAGGGAAGAACAGAAACCCCCAATAAAAAGAAGAAAAAAATTGATGCCGCAATAATAGAAAGGAGGAAGAAGAGACATCTGGCGTAACACAAAAAAAGCACAACAGCTTTGATACCCTGGCATTGAAAAATAGAAATCCCTTTAACCCTGACAAAATATCATATCCACAACAGAGGGGCTTTATCAAAGCCCACTCCTCCCTCATTGATTTTGTTTTCCCCCTTATGTTTCTTTCTGTCTTTTATCCATTCAGTCTCCAAGAACACCATCATCGTCGTCGTTATTTAACTTATCAGCATCTTCGTGCTCTTCCTCATCGTCATCGTCCTCAATGGGGTCATCCAGCAGCCCTCTCCGCCGAAGGTCCTCTCTCGAGCCCTCCTCCGGTTCAACATCCTCGAAAATATCGTCCTCATCCTCATTGTGGACAGTTTCGGCGCTCATGGCAGGCTTCTGAGGCTTTTCTGCCGGAGCCGCCTTGGCGGGCTTCTTGTTGCGCTTGGCAATCTTCTCTTCGTCGAGATAGGCAACTACCTCTTTGAAGTTGTGGCCCAGCTTGGTCTCGTTGCGCTGCAATCGTCGCTTGAGCTTGTTGACATGGTTACCCTTGGGATCGATCAGGTTTGCCGTGATGGCAAGAACGTATTTGGCTGTCAGTTCGCACAGAGCCTTTTCAGCTTTGAGCTCGGCGGCGAGGCGTTCCTCTTTCGACAAGCCTTCGTCCTCGTCTTCCTCGTCTGACTCCTCTTCGTCATCGACAGGATCCTCATCCTCAGCCGGCTCGTTTAGTACCCTGTCTTTCTTGGCCTTCTTTGCATATTGTTTCTCAGCACCGTCAAATATTGACGTTAGCTCAGAGATGAGGCCGGGCTCTATTTGCTGCAGTAATACTTTGAACCTTTCATTGCCACCTGTTTTAGATGCGGAGCTCGAGGGACGAAAGTTGCTAATCGCAGGGCGTAATGTTGCGAAAGTTAGATGCAAGTCGCAAAGACTACCGGTTGCGAAAAGGCGAAGCTGGTCAACGGAAGCTCGAGACGAGAATGTCACTATCAGGTGCTTCCGGTAAGTTTGCCGCAGAACTGACAGGCTATCAAGTTCTTCATCGGCGATGCCGGCGCCGGAAGATAGCTGCTGCGATAGATTGCGCGTCTTCCACATGAAGTAGAACTGGCAGGCCTTAATTGCCAACGTGACTACTTCGTCTTCTAAATTGTCAATGTCGTCTTCCTGAGCCTCGTACTCTCCTCTGTGAACAATGTTGATCAGAATCTGAATTGCCGGAGATGTCGAGGCGCCCTTTGAAGGAGCAATCTCGAGGACATCAACGCAGTCTGAGATACTAGCCAGTTTGCTGATCTTCATCAAGATGGTCGACAGCTCCTGAAGCGGTGCCTCTTCCAAGTTCCCTCTTGCAGAGAGCTCGCATGTTGTGTCAAAGCTTCGAAGTGAATTGATGACCACCTCCCAGAGAACGGATAGTTTGGCGTCTGTCATTTCTTCAAGCTCTGCATATTGCCGAGCATGTAACAAAGCGGCTGCAGCCTCAGCCAAGACTCTCTTATCGTCATGTCTGTTGAACTGCGTAATAACTTCATCCAGCAGCTTTTCGTATATGCTAGAGTCTTGTCGCAACTGCTGGAAAGCATCCAGTTTGAGGTAGCGCTCCAGCCGGAGGACAATAGCCGCCGTCTCAGGCTCTGCACCATACTTGCTCAGCAATTTTGGGATGTTGGTGGCCAATTCCAAGGCCAACTCTTCCTGAGCTTCAGCGGCTTCGGTACGGGGACCGCGCTTCTTGCTCTTGTCATGATCCGCGTGTTGCAGCAAGCTCGACTTGATAGCGGAGCTCAGAACGTCAAGGAGAATCTTTTCTTCCTCAGAACTGGGTGCAACCGCCTTCTTGAACGCATCTTCTGAAGGGTTACCCTTTGACTTTGCTCTTGATTTAGACTTGGTACTTGTCGTATGGTCGTAGAGGAGATAGCCGGCCAGAATCTCCCAGGATTTAATTTCTGAGATTCTGTCGTAGAGCACTTGAGATGCCAGCGAAATCCTCGTGTCAGGCATGGTGCTTTCCAGTAAATCAACATCAAGATCCAACGACGATCCTTCTGTCTGTTGAGACTCTTCAACCTGCGCATCATAGATTGTGAGGGTTTCAGCCAGGCATTTCAAGTTAAGCCAGTCTCTTCTTGGCGCTTCATAGTTGTCTTCCTCAGCGAGATCCAGCTCCTCTAGGGCATCGGAGCCACCAATCTCCTCAATCTTGCCTTCAATTACGTCGTCGATGCAGGCAACGAAGAAACCGACAACCGCTTTGCGCACCCTGATTTCGCTATCAAAGATGAGCCTTCCAATGGCGTCGATTTCGTTGGGCTCAAGGATGGCAGCCGCTCGCAGCGCGTCAATGGCAGATATGGCAGTAACTCGGACGGACACATCAGCGTCAATCGTTGCCATCTCAATCAGTCGGGGCCGGAATCTGTCGATGAAGTGGCCCATCCCGTGTGCATCACGTTTGAACAATTTGCTAAGATGCTTCAATACTTCTTGTCTAGTTCCAGCATTGGTATCGGACAGCATCCAGCCCAGGTAACGTAGGTAGCCGGCTTCTAGGAAGACTGTTGGCAGGTTCCATATCCAGATTCCAAGAGCGTCAACGCATTCCACCCGGATCTTTGGGTCGACGTCGCGATATCGGTGGACGAAGACGGTGTCGAAGAATGACTGAATAGCATCGTTACAGATCTTTCTATAGTTGTTTGCCTCGGTCAGGTTACGTTGGATTTCGTCCGCCTTGCCCTTGTTTTTGGCCCGCTTCGAAGCCTGCGACTGTTGTTCAATGCTGGCAATACGTTTGTCGAGGATACTAGCAACCTCGACAAGCCCGGATTGCACAGCCAAAGCAATCGTCGTTGCCGTGTGGCGGAAAGGACGTAGCGGCGAAGAAGACATGCTGGCCAACCAAGCATGGAGATTGTCGACAAGGTCTACGTCTTTGTACATAACATCGGTCTCGTGTAGCAGACCAATCAGAGCCTGGAAGAATGTAATGAGCAGATCTCGGAATGATCGTGTGCCCTTGGCTCTGGCAACCAAGGGGTAATCGACGATTTGTTGCTGCATAGCTAATTAGCAATTTTTCTTTTTCTCCTACCCCGAGTGTTACTGATCCTCATAGACGCACCTCTTGGTAAACACTCTGCAGATCCAAGAGTCTGTTCGGGATATTCTCCGGATCACGAATGTCATCAACTGTCACTTCCAGATCGCAACCCGCGCACCGCAAGATACAGTTGATGAGATCGCCAAGTGCAGCCGCATCGCTCTCCCTGTACTTTTCGAGCCACTGTTGAGCAACAAACTGGGGGGAATCGCCAGATGCGAAGATGTCGGCTGCGAAACAAATATGTCAGTCCCTAACCCATGTAGAGGGGAAGGGAGGGGCAAGCTGTAGAGATGAAATGGAGACATACCAAACAGACCGGTTCCTTTCTCTCCTGGATCGATGCGAACCGTCTTCTTCGGTCGACTAGGAATGCGCGCAATAGCCCCCGATGCAGCGGGTCGAGAGCCGTTGATCTTGGGCTTCTTGGTGCTTGGCTTCTTTGCGCGGCTGGTTTGCGCCTTTCGCGGCTTCGGCGCAGGATGGTCGTGATCGCTCTCGGCGTCGCTCGCAGCATCGCTCATGTCCTCGTCCGAGGCCACGTCACCGTTCTCAACCTCTCCGTCGTCCTCTGCCTCATCGTCGTTCCGCTTGCGCTTGGGCGCTGACGCTGTCGGTTCCGGCGCGTATTTGGTGGGAGCTTTGACGACGCGTCCAGATCGACGACGCGACTCTGGCTCTGGAGACGCGGTGGCGCTGTCCATTGTGTCGAGTCTCGGTAGATGGATTTTGGCTCTATGGCTTCATGCGCATGCTCGAATGCCAGGCCGGGGGGGCAACAGGTCCGGACAATTTGCAGCGAGGGGAAAAGTTCTGGCGGCGAGTCGCGTTCGTTTGTGTCATGCAGCGATGCTCTGGCAGGGCCATTTGATTTGATTTTCGAGGTGGGCAGAGCCGCCCACTTTAGCATCGGCTGAACCACGGCAGAATAGTTTTACGTGTCAAAATGCGGAGAAAGCTTGGGGGATCACGGTGAGCTAGCCCTATTGTGGCACTAAAGACGAGGGAGGTCTAAGCCCAAACAAGCAGAGGCTCAGACAGCTTCTCTCTGTTTGAGAGATAAAACTCGCATCTTCCCAGCGAATAGGTAATTAGATTCATAATAGAATCAATGATATGCTGTTTATCGGGGCTACATGCGCCGATGTCACAGTGCAATTCAATATATAATCGTTGCCACTTGAAGGGCGATGATTCCATTCTTTTGGAAAAGCTCACGGGAGCCAAATCTTGGGGTTCATTGCGCTAATCAGAACTCTCACAACCCCCCATCTCTTGAGTGCGGGCAAAGATAAGCAGCCAAACACTTATACTTACTCGTGCCAATAGCCCCCGTGACCTTTTACGCTTTATATAAATTTATCAATGAGCCGGAGCATGCCTCTGTAGCATCTTGATTCAATCTTCTACAAGCAATGATTGGGTTATCATGACATCGCCGTTCCCCAAGTCAACTTCTCGCCCTGGTGATGGCCGCATTGTCGTGAGACTGCTTCCAGCTGGAGGCAGTGGCCTTGAGACCATCAGCTACCAATACCCTTTGAAATTGATCTCGCCTTCGCCCACAGTGGCCCAGAAAAGCGCCTTGGTCTTTCTCCTATCATACGGAGGTGGCCTGATTGGTGGTGATGGCGTCAATCTCACTATTCGAGTCCATAAAGGATCGAGTCTCAGCCTAGTTACTCAGGGCCACACAAAGATATTCAAATCTCCCTCGCCAGAAATTGTTACAAGTCAGAGGCTACAAGTGCAAATCGATGAAGATGCTGCCATTTGCCTATTGCCGGACCCTGTCCAGCCATTTGAGGACAGCGTGTACGAACAGGTTCAAGTCTTTAACCTGGCCAATCGGGCATCGTTATGCCTCTTGGATTGGGTTACGCAAGGGAGGATAGCGCGCGGAGAGAATTGGAGCTTCAGGAGTTGGAAAGGACGCAACGAAGTTTGGACACAAGGATCTGACCCAGCGCAAAAAGAGAGACTCCTAATCAGGGATAATATCATCTTAAGCCAAGGTGGAAGCCAGCCAGTTGGCTTGTCACTGAAAGACACAATGCATAAAATGAGCATACTGGGCACACTTATTCTCCGCGGACCGGTCATGGCACCCATTGGAGACTTCTTCATGAGAGAATTCGCTGCTCTTCCACGGATAGGATCTCGCGACTTTCGCTCGAAAGAGGATCAAGAGAGGGACTCGAAGGAAATGCCAGAGTTTGAGCAGTGGCGATCACGGAGAATCGATATGGAAAGGCAGCAGGGCGTGCTTTGGTCTGCGGCTCAGGTTCGAGGATGTGTCATTGTCAAGTTTGGGGCTGCTTCTGTGGAAGCTGGACGATCATGGATTGGGACAATGCTGGCAAGAGAAGGAAGCATAGCCGCGTATTTCGGGCATTCAGCTCTCATGTGTGTTGAGCCTTGATGTATTCTATATTTCATTAGATGTGTACCAGTACCTATGAAACATAATGTTTGGTTGTTCCCTAGTAGTCACCTTGGAGTTGCTTACAGGTTCCCCAGTATCATCATATGCATTCGCCTCTCTCTGAATCAGAAGAGCCAACTCATGTGAGAGAACTACGTCAATCGATCCCATGACCACCTGCACCGAGGCGTCGTCCATTTCACACATTTGTCACAGAAATGACATTTGTAGTCATGGTTTCGCCCTAGCCACCGATCTATCATCATTCTAACTCTTGTTCCCGTTAACCTTGTCATCATTCTCACTTACAAACAAGAATAGCGGCTTCAGCCCTGGTGGAGCTCAGTACAGTGCCCGTTAGGCCGGATACAGGGGCCTTCTGTATGTAATCGTGCATTTTTAGCATCAATATCTGATCAATCAATTCTATGCTTTCGTCCCCCACCAGCCCAGTTGCAGCACTAAAAAAAGAGCCCCGCCAAAACTTTGAATTTTCTAGACAGAAAGCTTCGAATTGTCTGCGACTCAATTCAATGACCGCGATTGACTCATCATCACATACACAACATGGTTCGTGGCAGAGCTACCGGTAGAGGCGTGGGGAGAGGCAGTGCCGCCGCCTCGTCAAGATCTCAGACCGAAGGCGCGGACGATTCAAATCAGCTGTCCAGCAACGCAGCGCCAACAGCAAACATGGGATTGGGAGAGTCAAGCACCGATCAGGGCGCTTCATCACAATCAGCAGCCTCAACAGCCCGGAGAGGTGCTACATCCGCACGGGCGGCCCGCGGCGCAGCTTCGACCGGCAGATTCAGACCCAAAAACGTTCGACGAGATGAGTCAGAGCGAGACGCGCTGGCCCAGCAGGAACAGCAGAAGGCGAGCGACAGAGCCGCGGACGAGAGGCGCACCAGGGGCCGGTCACGATTCCGCAGCAAAAGAAGTCGTGGTGATGCTATGGGAAGCAGAGGAGGCGGCTTTGGGCGGCCAGTAGGCGGAGCCAGCGGGCCCTTTTCTTCAGGGATGGGAGGTCCAGGTATGTCGGAATGAAGCTGTGGATGAGCTTATACGTCGTCTATGATGCTAACATGGGATTGATTTTTGGTAGGCGGCACAGCTGGTGGAGGTTGGTTTGGTGCTGGCGGCGGCGGTGGCGGCGGTGGTGGTTTCGCGAGAACTGGTAAATTCGAAGGCAAGCCTGGGTCTGGGTTCGGATTCGCCAGCGAGGGGGGCTTTCGAGAAACGAGAATCAACGCCGACAAACTTCACACAATGGCACACGACGAAGACCTGGACAGCGAAGACGAGGCCATGTTGGCTGCACTTCATTCCCGGCCAGGGGGCGTCATGCCCATGGGCATACTCCGACGAGAACACAAGGAAGCACCCGTGGTTGTTGCTACTACTGCGGAATTAGAGGCAGCGGAGAAGGCGCTGGACGAAGAGGAAAGCCTCTGGGTCGATGGTGAAGCACCCGGATCATTACCACCGGCCGATCAACCCGAAGAAGGCGATTGGAATACGAGTGCCAAAAGGGCAGCTAAAGTCAAGAAGGAGCCGACAGATGATACCATGGACCTGGATGTTGATATCAAGCCTGCAGACGAAGGCAAGCTGCCTCTGGCCAAGATAAAAGCCAAGAAGCCAATTGTTCAAGATCCTGAGGAGAATATGATTCGCACGGATTTGAGCCTTCTGGCAAGCGAACTCGGCGCAATCACAATCAACGGAGACGGCGAGGAGAAGGCAGATGAGACTGGTAACAAGGATGGTCGACTATATCTCTTCCAATTCCCCCCGCTACTCCCTCCCTTAAAGCAGGTTGCCGCCCCCCAGCCTCGAATTAAAGTCAAGGAAGAAGAGCAACACTCTGCTAGTTTGCATGCGACGCCCTTAAGCGTGTCATCAACCGCTACGCCTGTCGACCTCACACAACAAGGCGAGGAAGAGGAGGAGGAGTCAGATGAAGAGGATGAAGAGCAAGAGCGCAGAAACGGTTTTAGGTCCCAGGCGCTTTCCAACGGCGGTCTTATCGGCCGGCTCAACGTCAGAAAGTCCGGCAAGGTGGAGCTGGACTGGGGAGGCCGCATCCTTGAGATGAGCCCTGCGGCAGGCATGAACTTCCTCACGACGGCCGTCATCGTCGAGGAGTCGGATGAGAAGCCACAAAATGGCGTCACGACGGGCGAGAGCATCGGCATGGGCAAGATTATGGGTCGCTTTGTGCTTGCGCCGATATGGAACGAGGAGGAGGAGTGGGAGGTCGCGCCTGAGGAGCTCGACATTGGGGCCATGAATCAATGAAACAATAAATGAATGAATAAACATAATGAAACATCAATATCGCGACAGATGATTATGGCAAATGATTACGGAAGTGAGCACCGCTTTGGCCAGGTATTTCCGCTCTTTCATGGTTACTCTGGTGTTATATAAGTCAAGCTTCGAAGGCTGGTTCAATGGAAGGTCATATCCAGCCCTTGAGTCAAAATACAGAGCAAGGCAGGTGAGATCCGATCAGATGCAGTTGATCGTACCTTTCATCAGCGCATACCTTCCCCTTTATATATTCATTCCATCCCCAGGCGTTGTCTTCTCCGGTTGTTTTCGTTTCCTTGCCACGATATTTACATCCATTCTTCATCTCCACGGCTCGCTCTCTACATGAACTTTGACTTTTTTATCCGTCTCTTCTTGGGAATAGCAATTTTCTTCTCTGCAACAAACATTGATAACATCATGGAAGATACCTCACAATCAGGCCATCACGCTGGCTGGCAACATCAGGAGCACCAGGCTGAGAGCACGGATTCATCTGACACGGGTCTCGCAACCAATACTGAGAGCACGGGTTCATCTGACACGGATCCCGCAACCAATACGAATGTCTCGGGAGGAAATCCACGACGCAGCACTAGTCTTACAGCAATAGCTGCCCTGGTCCAGGAGTCTCAGCGGCTTGCTAACGCATCTCTTGGCCGTGTTTCCCGTTCCCAGAGCGCCTCTAATGCTAATGCTACAATTGGACTTCACGGGAATGCCAATTCCCCGAATCCTGAGGACCGCCTGGCAATATTGAACCAGTATGTTGAACGGCTCCGGGGCCCTAACACCTTGTTGGAGGAGAGACTACAGGCGATGTACGGACAGCTTCAGCGGTCGAGTAACAACAATGATGTCACCCACATGAGACAGAGATTCGACGGACGGTTTGCGGATCTCGAGAATCGCATGAACGGCGTGACGGAAAGACTACAGGCATTGGACGGACGGCTTCAGCAGCTTGGGCATAACAATCATGGCGTTGAGGCACCATCTCCTGTTGACGCACGGCTTCGGCAGCTCGATCGCAGGGTGGCCCATCAGACCGACGCCGCGATTCGACTTGCGAATCGAGTATCGAGGACCAACCAACGACTTGACCGGCTTGAGAGGCGGATTTCTGAAGAGGATGACGATGAAGACGATGACTATTGGGCTCAGGTCGAAGAGTTCATTAGATGGGCAGTTAGAGATGCAGTCAGAGATGCACTTCATCCAATTTCGGCTCCTCCATATGGCCATGATGCACTTGAGCCTCCGCCATATGGCCCTCATCCATATGGCCTTCAACCGCTCGGAGTTCCTCCACATGTCCCACATTCACCCAGGATGCCTCCATCTGGCCTAATTCCGAATGAGGCGCCAAGGAGGATTCCTTTATATGGGTTTGATCGAGCTGCAAATCGTTTAGTGAGACTCGACGCCCATGAAGAAGCTACGGACGAAGAAGCTACGGACGGGGAGGCTATGGATGGGGTGGCTACGAATGGGAATGCTAATGCTCCGGCAAGGGTGGTGATGTTGACACTTGACCGCCGTGTTCCTAGTCAGCATCTTCCAACTCGGCCTCCTAATTCTCAGCGTCCAAATTCTCGGCATCGAAATCCTCGGCATCCCCATTTATCATGAGATGCCCCGTTACCATGATGAGATGGAGTAGAAAGTGTTCGGTTTGTCTATTATAACCCATCCAGACAAGGACAGCATTGATACTGATGCGCTTCAGGCTTCACCTCCAACAAATACTTGAGCCAAAAGGTAAGCAGGTCCATTCGTCGACGTCAGAGCTGAGAGGAGTGATACTCGTATACCGCCATTTCGTCGTTCCGCCGAAGCCATCTCACGACTAGCTGTATTCCCCTCCCTCAGACTAATACATGATCAAGGGCTAATGCACATTCTTGCTTACTTAGAGATGATGGCGCCCGCTCTCTCTGCTAATCCCTGCTGCTTGATTTTTGGTTCTTGGTTCTTGATTAGATGCACGCTGCCATCCGAGAGAAACTCCGCCCTCAGACTTGTTCTTCAGGTGAACCACCGCCCTAGGACTGGGACTGGGGCTTGGCCGCACTAGTCAGACGCAGGAACGCGGGAAACAATCAATAGTTTGTCGATGGGAAAAGCGATTTCTGAGGAGAGATTGGCACCCCTGCTAGCGGATAACAGGCTCGACGTTGGTTTGCTTGAAGAGGGTGGACAAAATAATGTCACAGCGATACCGGGCCGATGAAGCGATGATTTTCTTTTGACTGGGAGAGAATACGACCATACAGGTATACACTCTTATTTGGCACAAATAGCGAATTGTGGTTTTATTATTCCAATATACTTGGTTTTCCATATCGACCTTGTGCCCCCTATGTCTGTCCTCCTATGTCCATTTCAGCTGCCCATCTATTCTCCATTTACTTGAATACAAAGATGGAATCATCCCGTTATTTTATCCACCATTTTGCATCCCCCCCCCCCTTCTTTCTCGTCTCTCCCCCCGTCGCAAATAGACAAGGTCGGCGATTGGTTGGTCCTTTCTCTCTGCCCCCAGCCGTCGTAACCTGTATGGTTTCACGACCTAAGACTGATACAGCCCGGCTCACTCACCCAATTATAGAAAAAAGACAACAGTGGGAATAAGTCGCGTGTGTGAAGCGGAACCAGCAAATCTTGCAGTCTCTTGTCCGTGCATTATTTGTCTTTTGTTTTATCTTCATGTTTTCAGCTTTGCGGTCCTTTCGGCATTGATATTGGCTCACTGCAAAATTGCAAACGTACGAGCAGGAAAGAAACTATCCCGAGTTTCATTATCCCCCCCTCCTTCTTCGGTCCAACCCATGTCCCAACGGCAGCGAAATATGCATGCACGCATGCAGGTACGGAAACAGCATGTAACAATCCTTCGCAGGAATCGTATATGCGCAAAGTGTGTCTGCCTAGCAACAAAAAAAATCATGTCATTGTTGTTTCCTTCCCTCCCCCCCTCTTCCCTTCTTCCCGTCCAAGACCCCTTGCGGTGTTTTTTCCTTGGTTCTTCCCGAAATACTGCTGTAGGTATTTCTCGTTTCTACATACTCGTACTTTGGTGTACGATAAAAGCAAAGCTTGTAAGCAAATAGCGTTATATAGTTAGCCGAACCCGGTTGTCCATCCCATGTCATTATTTTTTTCTGTATCCACCCTGCGATTTTATCCGCTTCGCCCCAAGTGAGGCTGTCGTGTATGTTGCCTTGGGGGCCGGTCATGGCCTGTCTAATGCGGCTAAAATAGTGCGAATGTGAACCCGTCCGTAACTGAAACATGACCCAACAAATCTGTTGAAGAAAAAGAAGAAGATAGAGAAGATGAAAAAGGTAATGAAAGAACGCCAAAGGCAGACGAGCAAGGGAGCATTTAGTGCCCTCTCTTGCTGGAGCCGTATTCATAGTATTCGTTTTCTTGGCTTTGGGCCTCAAGGTTGTGGATGTCATCGAATAAAGACGAATTAGTGGTGGCGTGCGATGCCTCTGTGTTGACACTGCGCGACGGCGAGTATTCCTTGCCTTCGCTGGCATGGCTCCCCTGGTGCTGAGTGTCTAGTCGGGCAGCCATCGCTCTACTGGTATGAGACTGCTCAAAGGTCAAGCCAATGGTCGCCTTAGTAGAGGGGTTCGGGGCTGCTGCATCGTAGCTAGGTTCGACGTGCTTTAGAGAAACATCATTTGGCCCAAAGACTTGGCCAATGGTGGCCATGTTTCCATCGTCGGCGGTGTGCCTCGCGTAGCCAGAGGGGGCGCTGCGTGTGCGTCGGCCCGTTGATTCGAAGCCACGGATCTTCCAGGCGCGCAAAAGAGGCCGAATTGTAGCGAGGCTAGAAGCAACAATGGCTACTCCAGGTTCGATTATAGTCCATATCATTACGTCTGTTGCCGAGACTATATACCAAACGACACGTCAGAATCGTGGATGTAAAAGGGGGGCAGTTGATATGGGACATACATAGCAAATCACTGGTGTCTTGAAGTGAGCTCAAGTACTTGATTCTAATGAGAGTGGCAATACTAGCACTATTTCAATGTACAATTAGCATCTTTAAACGATTCGTATTCATCAAATGGAGGGGGCTTCATACAAGATACCAAGGCCAAGGATGAGGATAACAGTTCCTTTGGCCTGGCTTGTCATCTTGACTGACCACAGCATAGGTATCGGAAGGAGTGCCTGAAGAAGTAACAAATGTAAGCTTCAGTTCAACTTTATAGGCAGTCAGATAATAGGTCCCCTCACATATAGCCAGTCAGATGCAATTGTCATAACGCTGATAGCGTAAGCGGCAGCAATAATGTCGTTGGGCGATGCGCATTTCCCTCCCTGAATCCGAAAATCCCACTGTTTCTGAACGGGCGTGCACTGAAAGATGTCGTAAAAGAAAATGACGAGGCTCCAGATGCCGATGATGACCAGGCTGACGCATATGATCCAGTTGTAGACTTTTCGAGCAGACAGGCGCAACAGAAAGATGCCAATGCTCAGCTTGATGAACATCATGTTGATGACATACGTGACGGTGGCCAATGATTGCCACTACGAAACAGAGTCAGAGCATATCCGGTCAAGTGTTAAAGCGAGGCATACCATAAGAGCTGAGACTTTTTTGCCATCATCTGTAATAGCATCGTTATGTCTTCCCATTCCATCTTGTACACCAGCAAAAACAAAGGCGCAGGAGAGTGTGAAGATGGCCTGTAACGACATTTTAGTTTACGCCCTTCTGAGATCAAGAATTGGCAGAGCCAGCTGTACGAACCTGAGCCACGAGCATGAGCCAGTCATCCTCTTGGACGCTCTTAATCACCACTGCCCTCGTGTATGTCCTCAGCCCCACGGCCAGCCATGTTAAGCTGAGGAAGGCTATACACGTGCCCACCATAGGGGCGCCATTGTATTCGTTCAAGTTGACATGATCATCGGCCATGACGATCCGACGTCCCAACTTCTTCGATAAAGACAGCTGACGACGGGCATAGCAACACGACGGCTGCAAAATGAGAAGAGTATGGGAAGGGGAGTAGAAGAACTACGAGCACTAGGACGGCACGAGATTTTAGAATAACATGTGGTATGGGGTAGAGAGGGATATAAAGCGAGAGCGGCAGTGCAGCCGAGGGTAGCAAGAGGGCCAAGGGTAGGGGAGACGAGGGAAGCAACAAGCACAGTCGAACTAGTGACAGTGACGAAGCAGCGGGTGCTATAGCTACAACCGGCAACAAACTAGGGGCGCCGTGAGCTTGCTGGAGCGACGAGACGAGTCACAGACAGATCGACAACCGGCATATCAAACTCACGGCCCCGTCCAGATGGGGATATCACAACCGGGAGCCCTCATCCCAGGCGGATACTTGGATCTCATACCCGTATCGTCCACTTCCCACTCTCTAGTTTGCGGGCACGGAGTTGCTGCATTTCATGCACCCGGGTCGGCGAACTGGAGCAAACGCGTATCGGGCAAGGCTTCCTCTTGCTCATACACATCTCCCAAGAGCCAAGTGGGCCGCTTTGGCCATGGCTGCGACATGAGTGGCACGACGGCCCAGCATCCACCTTGAAAGGATTCCAATATAGAAACGCCGTTGGTGGTAATAGGCAAATGTGAGTGTGATATCGGCATGGGCCTCGCAGCGCTGTGGCCCATTCAAGTCGACGTGCAGTGATGTGACCCGCAGCGGATGGGCCCTGTCAAGGTTACATTCGAGCGAGACATGCGTCTATCGGATCTTGAAGAGAATCAAATCGCCAACCGTTGAAAACCCTTGCTTTCGGGAGGGGGGAAACAACGGGGCCGAGCGATAGCGAGTGTTGCCGATCGCAAAAAGAGAGAGAGAGAACAAGAGAGACAGCCATCTTGTCAGACAATTACAGATTTCATGCGAATCGTCGAATCAGCAAACGTCTCAACGACGTGCCACACGGTCCGGCGTTTGACCGGGTAAAAGAAGCAATCCTGTGGAAAAAGACTCGCAGGAGCTGACCAACGCGAATGTCATTCCCTTCTCTCATCAGCACCAAGTGCGTTCTATCATTGTCACAGCCCGGTTGTGGCGTCCAATGGTCCAACAAACCCTTGCCGATTGCAAGCAGCCCATCACAACAACCTTGACCTCGATATCTCCGGTCCAAGACACCGCTTCTCCACACGCTGTTTGGTCTTTGGTTTATTGCGACGGCGATGATTCGATTTCTTGTCGTCCCCTGTAAGTGGCAGCCACAAAAACAACCAACAGGAGGCAAAAGGTCCCTCGCAAAGTGCAACCCTTTTCGGGCCCGGCTCCCTTTAGGCACTTCATCTAGACGAACGGCTGTGGTTGGTCGGAATCTGGCGCCAGGTGCATGAGATGGTGGTGCCGGAAACGAGCGAATAGAAGCGCGGAATTGGACGAAGCGAGTGATTTCTAAGCCGCTGAGCTTGCACGCTCATTAGATTCCAAGCACGAGTAGTGAAGCAGAGATGAGAGGCTGGGACAATCATTTACCAAGATAACAACGATGAGCGCATTCACATACCAAATATGGCAGTGAATCGCTCATCGCTCGTCTTTGGTTCCTTTTCTCTTGTCTCCTCGTGACCGTTCTCATCTGCGCCTCTGCGGCGACACAGAATCTGACTGGCCAATTCCCCAAAGAACAATCACAGAGCAATCACAAAGAATCACAGACAATCACCGTCTCGCTTGACGATCGGAGAATTTCCGCATCAAAAGCTGGGCAGCCAGACGCTTGTCCCTCCAGTGGGCTAAGATCGGTAGCACGGAGTAATACAGAGAGTGGGTAAAAAAGCGTTGCAGTAGCAGTCTGAGGGGAAATGGGACAAAGGAGAAATAAAAATCTTGTTGTGTGAGCCGAGGGCTGAACTGAGACATGGAAGGCACGGAATCACGTTTTTCACGGCCCGGCGGGTGCTTGAGGAACGGAGAATCACGATGCCGCTGGTGCAGTGGTGACAGTGACACTTGTAGTAGCAGATTGTGATGTGATACGGAGGAGATTGTCGTAGATGCTTCATGCAGATAGAGATAGATGCAGATATCACGTTGCACAAGACTCAAACGATACGTCACGGTCACGGGAGCCATGTAGGTTATCATCTGGGGCGAGGGAGATCAGTCTGAGCATACAGTATAGCACAGATGGGACTAACAATACTCCGCAGATTGCACCAGATCAACAGCACACCACCATAGTAGGTATGCTTGTTCATCACATCATATCACGTTACCTGAGGCCACCTCTCCAAATAATCAACTCATCTTGTCTTCATCTTCTTTCTGTATTGTCCGCTGAGCCTAGGAGTTTATATACGTAATCTTAATCTACTATATACATTCCATCATGTCTCCCTCCTCTAACATCTTCAGCGCCATACCAAAAAAGACTCGGCAGCTCCAAATCCTCTTTTGTCTACCGTAGGACCAACAAACCCGGTCCTCCAAAAAGAAATTCCAAAGGCATGTGTTGAACGGTCCACCCATAAATTCACAATCATAAGTACGAGACGCCTTATATACCCTGACTGAATACAAAAATGAAAGGAGAACAAACAAAAAAATATTAATGCCCCAATGCCCCTGTAAATGAAACAAAAAGTAGAGAAAGAAGAAGAAGAAAGTGTGTGTGGTGTAAAAAGAAGGTTTAAACAATGCAACAGATGTCGATATCTGGTAATATGTCATGAGGGTGTAAAAAAGAATAAAAGGAATGAAACTTTTCAAGAGTCATTTCACCCTCAGGGTCGCAGTTCAAAGACGGCGGGATCATCCTTATGGGGTGTAGTGCCAGCGCAAACTGTTCTCTTCAACCCACCATCGTGCGACAAACGCAGCTTGCTCAGCCCATTGAGCTGCTTCAGGTGACCTCTCCTGCTCAATTTTGCTCAAAAACTCGGCAAATTCAAAAGCAACGAGATGCTTCTCCTCATGGGGCTCTGTATCCAAGTCGGTGAAGCGCCACTCAGTGTTCTCGATGATGGGCACCGTGAGCCTCCAGTGTGGTTCGAGCGAGTCACGAACAGCAACAGTTGCTCGTCCAGGGTTCATGACGGTGAATTGCCAGTTGGGTTGGTGCGTCTTTTCGTTGTAGTTGATGAGCTCTCGCAGCATTGACTGTCCTTCGTAGTTGTCAATCATGTCTTTTGCGATGCCAGTCTGGGATGGAGAGAGCGAGCCGGTCTCAAGTAGCATATCGAGGATCGTAGGCAGAATCTGGTACGAAACAACTGCGTCGTCGATGTCAATGGCAGGTAGCTGAGGGTGCGAGAAGACCAGCGGGACGTGGAAGTTGCCAATGTTTGAGTTATAGTACGGCGTAATGCCATCGTTTTCCGGGACCGAGAGGCCATGGTCGCCAACAAAGATAACCAGCGTCTCATCAGCAACGCCTTCCTCATCCAGAACATCCAGAATCTTTTGGAGCCAGCCATCGACAAATCCAATAGCGTTGAGGTATTTCGATACATTGTCCAGCTTGGTGCTGTCTTCGCTAGTAATAGGCACATGGTCTATCCCTTCAGGGAGCCCAAAAGGATGGTGTGTGGTGCTGGTCAAGTGCGTCAAAAACACTCGCTCATTATTCTCCTTGGCCGTCTTGAATGCATCGCGGATGTAATCTTCGATGACGTACTCGGGCATTCCGTAGTAGTTGATGTCCTCTTCATCCACCGGTCCAAACTTGGCGTCGTCACTCTTGAGGTATTCCTTCGAAACAGTGTTGTTCTCTGGGAAACCAAGCTGAACCATGAGCTGATCCTGCTTATCAAACCCATTTGTCACCGACATCATAAAGGAAGACTTCCACTTGTGGGTGGTAAAGTCGTTCTTGTCGGCGTCCTTGGAAGAATTCGCGAGGCCAAGGTTCATGGCATCAAAGATATGAGTCAAGCAGGGTTGGTAGATGTGATGCGATACTTCAGCATTGAAATCGGCGACAAGGGGTGACAGTCCGCAGAGTGTACCAGTCAGGCTCTTGAGGGTGTAACTGGCGGTTGTGTGACAGTTGTTGGCGTTGAGACCGCCCCGTCGCTTCTTTTCCTTGTGTTCAAAGCCATCCTCGTAATCTCCCGTCAGGAAGTTGGCGGTGGGGGTGAGCGTTGATATCTTCTTCTCGGCCGTCTTCGGGAGTGTACCGTTCTCGAACGATTCTACCGCAAGCTGATAGAACAAGCCATCCTTCTTGACAGGGAAGGCATCTTTTCTCGTGCTTTCGAGTTTGATGAGCACAACGTTCTTGATAGTGATGTTTGCCAGTCTGTCACGAAGCTCGGGGAGGAGATCGTTCTTGAGGTTGGATATTTTCAGGGGATCCTGGGAAGCACGGTAGTGGGTCTGCTCCTGATCGTACCAATCTTCAAACCCTGCGAGGGGTTCCTTTGGCAGCCACTCCCATCGAATCGGCTCGACCAGCGCGGTACGGTTATCCCAGTTCCAACCAATGCTGTTATCGTAGACGGGAGTGAGCGTAGCTAGAATAGGCGATGAGTGAGCAAAATCCGCAAAGGGTATCAGCGGCAATGTCCACGACATGTAGGCATAAGATCCTTCGTTCGGCCGGACAATATACAGCAGGATCTGAAGGAACAGTGTGAAGCCGACGAGAACATAGAGAGCAGTGGTCCATTTCGACTTGCGGCGATTATCAGAGATGACGCTGGAGCCGCTGGAGCCGCTGGAAGTGCCGCTGGTGTCAACCTCGTCGTCCTCTTTGCCCATAAGCTCAGATCCACCCTCGAGATCTTGCTGCGGGATGTGAGCATATCCGACATTTACCGCGGGGCGTACGCGGTAGGGGATCAGGTTGTATACGAAGGTAAAGGGCCACTTGAGCAGGTCCACGACAAGGCCAGCCAGGTAGTAGAAAATATCCTGAGTCACCCAACTGATGCCCAGAATGATAGCCAACACGATCAGGCACGTAAACAGTCCAGTGACTGCCAGTTTCCAAGAAGAGGCGTTGCTAGCCAAGCCAGCATTGCGCCAATGCGGTTCAGAGCCTGCAACGACAAAGAATGAGTTGTTGACAGCCGCCAGGAGCAGCACAGCCATGACGATAAGTGAGGCCAGCGTTGTGAGAAGGATGCGCAGCCACCGCCATGGGTAGATCTCCGTATCGAGCAACAGCCGTATTATTATTAAGAAGATGCTATCTTGTGTGAAGAAGGTGAGGCCCCAATGCGATATGGAGGAGAAGGCAAGCGCCGTGAGATGGGCGTATATGTGGACCAGCTTGCTGCTGATGATGGCGACGACGCATATGGCAAAGAGGAACTCTCGGGAAACGAATCGAGCCGCAAAGGCAGACAGAACCCGGAGGACAGGTGCCGAAACGCGGGTGACGGTCGTAGCGGCGGAATGAAACTGTCTCCGCGTCGGGCTGGAGAAGCGGATGCCAGACGCCATGCCGCTGGCGAAGCGGCGCGTCGACTCCATCGCGAAAGGACTGAAGTGAAAGGAGAATCGAGTCGGAGTCGGAGTCGTTCGATGAGAGTTGAGGTCGAAGTCGAGGCCGCGGCCGAGGTCGAAATAAGAAAAAAGGGCGGAGAGGGCCGAAGGCAAAAACGAGAGGCTCACGGGGCTAGCACCAAGTGACGCTTCTCATATCCAACGCGCCGCTGTTGAAGCGGTAGAAGAGGGTTTATCGTGTGCTCTCTTTCTCCAGCTTCGTTTCGTGCTTTTTCCCCTGGCCGACGGGATCGCGACACTGTCTCCGCCTCGGTATCAGAGCAACAGCGCAGGGCAACGCAAAAATAAATGAATAATGGGAAAGGAAAGGGGAAAAGAAAGAAAGAAACCGAGGCCAAAGGCAGCGAGAGACAGTGATCGCGTGCGCACAAACTAAAAGCAGAGACCACAAAGACCGGACGATGAGATTTACAAGCAGAAGCGGGAGTGGCAGTTGGGCAAACAAAAGTTCTGCTCGTTTTTACTCGCCCGAGTCGAGTCGAGTCGCTCCGTGCTCCGTACAGTCCCTGTACCGGTACTTTCTAGTCAGTGTCGCGTGCCTGCAATACCGCCAGAGGGAGATGCCCCATGCGAGCCCGCCAAGCCACGCCAATGACTTCCCGAGATTTATTGCGCTGTGCCTTTTTATGTCTCGGTGACCTGGTGCTAGCTGCGTCTGGCCACTACTTCGCAGGTAGCGGTACTTTAGGCACCTGCTGCAATTGGGGGTCGGCAACCCCTTATTTCGACCGCTAAAACATCTCGCACTGTCCCGAATAGGTCGCATGCATCAAGTACCGGGTACAAGCACACCGTGTGCACCATGATCCCATTTTCAGTGTCAATGCATTGCCAGAAAGAGGGGGATCCGACGATGATGAGTTAGTCTACAAGAGGAAATGCAGAGGGACAATCCAGACAATCCAGATGTTGGAGGCTGGCAATGGTGTGGTTCTTATTGAAGCTGCGTGTTCGGGATGAGTCTATTTACTGCTAAGCTCGTCAGACGGCGGGTGCACAAGGTCTCGTGCTACTGCAGTCTTCGTCACAGACAGCCAACTCGTACATGAGGAATCCTGGCACAAGTGAAGACAAATGGAAATGGAGCACACGATCTCTATCGTACAGTTGCATTCTGAGGGGGGGGATTGCGTTATCCCCGCGGCGACAACATCAAGACTCCGGCGAGGTCTAGATGCCTCGTATTAAATTTAGAACAACTTGAGAATTGGCTTTGGGATTATCTCAGCAACATGCTTATTCTTGGTGACCAATGCCTTGGCACTGCCGGCAATTGACATTTTCGTCTCCCGCTTTTGGCGTTGGTTAAGCTGATATAGAGTTTTTTGCAGCCTGTTACATGCAATCCAGTAAGACAAACCCAACCGTGAGGGTGGGCTGGGCCAAGACTGAGACAAGCCGTGTCTTTGTTTCATCTGGTCTTACAATGGAATCCCATCCTTTCATTGATCTGCGTCAAGTGCGGGCTGTGAGCCTCACTTTTGATGACGGATGTAGTTGCATGACGCAGTTACTCCCCTCTCCATGGATCTTGGCTCTGTATACCTGGTCGTTTTGTTACACTTGCGCAACCTGATCGAAGCAGCAAGATCTCCGTATATCCTGGTGAGTCAGCAACAAACTCACCGACGGAGCGTATTGCAGCGGATCGCACCGCTTCGGACCAAGAATGACTGGAGAACGCAGACATATAAACAAGACTTGGTCGCATTGATAACTAATTCATCGAGACCAATTCGACAAGCGGGGATATGAAGAAGCACAATGAGATATGATGACATGGATGGGCTGTCTTGTCGTATTTTTAGCTTGCTGGCGTTTTACTGCCAAGTTCAGCAGGTATCGACACGGACACAGTAGAAATAGGGTGGCGGACACTGTCGCAAAAAGCTTAGCCTCGAGCTAATTTGTAAAAACTATTTCATGGCTGAGTCAAGCCGCTTGTTTCTTCCCCCGTTTGTTTCGTCCGGCTCGCCGCCACCTTGTGCTCATTCGAGCCAACAGTGCGATAGTGTGTATGAAGGTAGCTGAAAGACAGCCGCCACGCGAGGGGAAACGCATGGCAAGAATTGACGGCCTTTCAGCCGCTGTGTCACTTTGAGAGTGGACAATTGATATGTCCTCCATGAAGAACTCTCAGACCAAATCAGGTACTTGTCCCGAGTGCAGGTACATTACTACTAAACCATGCAACAGAGCCGCACAGCCGCCCCTATCCCTGATTCTTCATTTTACTCTGCTGCACTCTTCCCCTCTCGCACTCTGCCGAATTACTCGCATCAAGATGGATTGGCTTATGTTATTGATTCCCGCTTCCGATTAGACTGTATTGCCAAGCATTCGCTGCAGGTGGGCCTCGACTTGACGCTCGGTCAGCTGCCGCAGGACTAGTTCGGGGCTATCAATGGGATTGAATGGCAATAATGGGCGGTTGTGCGCTGTGAAATATTGACAAAATACAGGCACAGGTACCGGTACGACGACCAGGAACCGCCCTGCAAGTACAGGTACTTTGCCGCCTGTAGCCACCGCTAGCCTCCTTCTCGAAGACCTCTAGCGACTCGCTACCCCGTATTTTTCATTAATTCGCCGGCCCGTGGAAATGTCTCATTATATCGAGAGATGAAGACGGCACGGCATTCTACCCGAAGCCGCCTCTCTACATTGATGTCCTTACTCCTAGTCTTTTCATGATATCGACGCTTTAGCCCCCAGGCTGACGCTACATACCGAGAGAAGACAAATACAAAAACAAGAGGTTACAAAAGGGAAAATAATAGCAAAAAAAGGCCTCAGTTCTATCTATTCCCGTATAGTATTCTGTAACCCCGTATCTGCACCCCGCCTCCCCCTCTCCAATTTGCGCAACCAACCAGCCAGTGGAATTGGACCCTTCAACATCCGCAGCGACAAGTCACGATGGCGTCTTCTCCAAACATCCCCGGCCTCAAGTATGCCAGTCACCAATACGGGCAGCATCAGCTCCAGCAAGTCGGTGTCTGGCAGTTTGAAGAGCCAGAAACGGCACCTTCAACGCCAGCCTATTGGATAATGTACGTTTGCGCTGACGTTACTCCCGCTGTGGAACAGACTCGGAGCCTAACTCTATCCGTGACAGCTTTGTCCATGGAGGCGGGTGGCGAGACCCCAGAAACAACATCAATGACTTTGTACCGTCCATCAAGCATATGCTGGCGCTGGCCGATCTGCCGAAATCTGCAATTTGCGGCTTTGCCAGCCTCGACTACCGCCTGTCTCCGCATCCGCGATTCCCCCAGGATCCCGCCTCGACGCCGGCGAATGAGTTTCGTCAGGCCCAGCATCCGCATCATGTCCAAGATGTCCTGTCTGCGCTGAGGCTCCTGGATGCCGAATATGGCATTGGCAACGACTACGTGCTCATCGGCCACTCAGCCGGCGGCACCTTGGTTCACCAGGTCATCATGAACAACGGTATATCCGATAGCTGGGGTCCGGTTGCGCCCTTTCCAGCAGCCCTCATCAGCATAGCTGGCATACATGACCTGAGAGGCATTGTAGACAGGCACGACACTTTTTACGAGACATTCGTGATCGATGCCTTTGGTCCGGACAGGCTAGCTTGGGACGCAGCATCTCCGGCAAAGTTTCCTGGAAGCTTCAAAGACCTGTGTCCAGAGGTCCCTCGTCTGTTCATCTTGGCAGCGTCTACAGAGGACACTGCCATCGACATGCCCGAGCTCGATATCATGGAGGCAAAGCTCATCAAGGATGGCATCACGCCGCTTGTCTTCAGGAACCTCCACCTTGAGCATGACAACATCTGGGAAGACGGCTCGCAGGTTGCGACTATGGCAGCCCGAGCCGTGGCAGAGCTGCAGCAACGCTGAGCATCATCCAACACCCAGCGAATTAACACTAGTACATATTGATTAAGCTCGTCATTATTACTACTACCTGAAAACATGCTTCCTTAGTGAACCATGTTCCGATATCGGCATATATACATTTTCGTCACTCGTCATTGTGAATATCCTCCCTCTTTTTTAACATCCTTCCCCGCCATTCTACCCGATCCCCCCCTCCCCTTTTCCCCCCGTTTCCGATCGAACCAATTCTACCGGCACCTGACTTACTAGCGGCCTAAACCTTGACTTTGAATCTCCATCCGGTCACAGATATGCGACATGCTACAAAGATGACCGCTGCTGCAGCCATGACAGTTCCTCCCCATATCTGTGCCCAGAAAAAGTCGCCGTTGTTGTGATCAATAATGGCGCCTGCTGTTGGAGCCCCGGCCACCGTCGCCAGCGAGCAGAGCGTTTCTACCATACCAAATCGAATGCCCATCTTCTGCGGGTCTTTGGTTAAGCTTGTCAGGGACGCGACGAACGTGCCCTGGTTGGCCCCGATAGATAAGCCGTAGACAACGCTAAAGACATACATGCCCGTCCGGGTTGTGACTCCGATCCAGGAGTACAGCATTATGCTTACCACAAAGGTGGCCGTGACGAAGAGATTGATGGGGCCGGTGTATCTGTCCGCGAGGAATCCTACAATCGGCCGCGCGGGAATGCCCATGGCATTCGTGATGATGAGGAGATTGATGGAGTCAACGTTGGAGAAGCCAATGACGTTACGGGCGTAACTGTTAATCTAAGGAAAGGGGTTAACGACGATATTTTCTTTTGGTGGTCTTCTTGTTTATTTTGATTTTTGCAGCAAGTCACAATTTCCACTTCACAGAAGCGACGACGAAAGAAAACCAAGACAAAAAGGAACACACGCATCATGATACTGCGCTTACGTACATAGAAGAAGACAAAGTAGAGAGCATAAAAGTATACAAACGCAGCCATGGAGAACAAGAGGTACGGCAGCTCTGAGAAGGCGCCAATCTCAAACAGAGGGCCCGACTTGCGCGGCGGCAACCTTGGCTTGAGCAGGATGTTTGCAGTCACGGCCATGGCCAGCGCCAGGAAACCCGCGCAGCGCACCGCCCAGGGGAAGCCAATCTTGGGCGTCAGATACTGGATCGTCGTGGGGAACGTCACGCTACCGACCGAGGTGCCGACCGCCGAGACGGCCAGCGCAAAGGCCCTGTTCTTGTCGAAGTAGGAGCTCAGCACGGAGATGGCGGGCATGAAGGCCACGCCCAGGCCGAAGCCGATGCACACGCCCTGGGCGAGGAAGATTTGCCAGTACGTCGTCGCCAGGCTGGTCATGAAGGTGCCGAAGACGGCCATGAAGGTGCCTACCGCGACCGTCTCGCGCGTGTAGCCCGCGTCGGCGAGGCGGCCGGACACGGCGCAGATGACATAGGTGAAGAAGATTTGCACGGAGCCGATCCACGAGACTTGGGACGCTGGGAGGCCGAGTGTCTCGACGTAGTACAGCTGGTAGACGCCGAACGAGGCAGCGTAGCCCCAGGTCATGGCGTTGATGAGGTGTGTTGCGAGGACCTGGAGCCACGCTTGGAGGCCGCCGTCTGGAGGAGGTCCGTAATCTTTTTCTTCTTCGGCTAGCTCGACGTCATGAGCAGTGTTTATGACAATTGGTGATGAGTTGTCATTGTTGGAGTTGGAAGTGGTGTTGCCGAGGACACTGGTCTCCTGGACGGCAACAGGTCCATGGGAGGAGGCATCTTTCTCATCATCTCGTAGCGTCATGATCAATATTAACGAAAGGAGAAGAAGGTATATAGATAGAGGGGGTATCGTATTAGTCGACAATTAAAATAGAACAAAAAGTAGTAATAATAAATTCAATCTTTCCTTTAGCACATCAAACAACAAGAACAAAGCTGTAAAAGCTCGAAAGCCATGCCACTCTTTTTCTCAAGCGAAAAGCTCCCACCGAACAAGAACAAAACTCTCTTTCATCATTAGCTTTGCCTCCTACGGGGAAGACACTTATATACTCCCCGCCGAAACGCCTTGCATCGGTTCTCTCTTATCAGCTTCTATTACTTTTCCATCAAGTAAAAGTTCAATTGCAAGGACATCCCCTAAACGCCGTTCCGTTCTTCGGGGATGACGCCCCGATATCGCCCCCCTGGTGCAGGGCGCTGTGATATTATCAATAGACTCATCAGCGGCGCAGTAGCAAGAAAAAAAGGGAACCAACAAACCAAGCCCAGTTTTTAGAAAAACAGAAAAAAGTACGAAGTTACATAGTGGTATTATCTGCCGAGTGAGCGAAGCATGATGGTGCACGCGCGCGCCCTAAAGCAAAATGTACATGTAAGTAGAGAGAGGGGGGGCCCAGAGTGGATCGCGTTAGAAGCCGAATCGGCAGCTAGAACCGGAGCATCTTTCACCGAGCCCGGCTGCACGGAATCAGCTGGGCCATTGTGTTTTTTCATGTAAGGGGTTGGTGATTTTGTGGGCTTGGTCAGGCCAATTGGCTCTGTTTCTTTTCATTTTTTTCATCCTTTCTTTTGTAATTCAGAAGAGCATGTGATGTGTCTCATTAAGGGAGGTCGGAAGGGCGTATCTCTTGGGGGCGAGATTTGTCTTTCATCTTGACAATTGACATATGGCCGATAGACAACCGATAAGCTGTCATAGCTCTTCTCAACACGAATTCCTTCAAGTTGCCAAAAGCAGTAATTACGTGCCGACGGAGCTCAATATTCCCGCGTAAACAAACACCCGAAACAAAACCCACAAAAAACAAACCACATGCTCCCATCAAATCTTGCTTTTCCCAAGCATTTACATCGTACTAATACGAGTACAGGGTAACTTCAATGGGAACCTTTTTCGTTTCTCTTATCCAGCCCCAGCCCCAGCCCCTCCCCCCCGCTCCGATGTCCGGCTTCCCCGGGCCCACATCAGGCCGAACCAGAAATCGGCGACTTGGGAATAATTTTCTGCAAGTTCTTTTTCTTTCTTTCCGTTGCGGTTATCGCTTTGCCTCAGGCCCCCAATTTTCTCACCGCTTCCCGTAAGGTAATGTGTACGTAAAAAATTGTGGGAAAAAAAGGAATATTCCAGCCCACTTGACGAAGCTCGGGAGAAGAAATACTAGAAGAAAAAAAATAAAGCGGGAAGCTATTCTATTTGATTCCCAATTTTTTCTTTCCTTTTTCCTTGCTTCTCATTCGCTCAATCGAGGTTGCGCGCCCTCTCTTTTTATCGTTGTTTTCTCGCTGCAGAGCATTATCCGTCAGTGCGGTGCACTTCCCGGTGCCTGGGGAGGAAAAGCAAAGCGCTACCGCTCGCTGGCGGAGTTTCACGTCCGAACTAGACCTCGACGGTTGGTGAAATGAATGCAACTCATTAATACACTATCTAGCTGGCCTCTCACCTTTTGTTTTCCCACCAGTACAAAATCGACTTACTCATGCGACATAAACTTCATGCATTCTGTATATTCTTTTCAGCTTCAATCTTCTTTTTGCATCTTCTCATTTCTCCAGAATTCTGCCGAAGCAGCCCCTCCAATCCGCGGGGTAACTCAATGACGTAAACAGCCCCGTCCCAGATAGAAAATCGCACACACAAAATCCTTCCCCTTATCGTGTTCTTCCTCTGTCCTCGTGCAAAGTCACATGACCCCGCATCCACCCGGACCAATCGGCTATTGAACCCCTGGATCCCAAAAGGATCCCCTTGCGCCGGCTTCTGCCGGCCCGTAACGGCGCTAGCCCGTATGGGGCATGGTCGGGAGAGCCAAGTTTGACGACACTTGCACCTTTGCCGCGAGGTTCTTTTTCAAAAGAGAGCTGGCAGAGATGCTCCTCTGGTGGCATTCAGCTTGGATTGTATACCGTCATCGTGCTGTGTGAGCGATTGGCGCTGCGCGGCTGCAGGGCGGATTCGAAGCGCCCGGTGCGTCCCATCCTTGCGACGTTGCGCTCAAGCTAACATCGGGCGAAACGCCCTAGCGGCTCGGGATCGCCTGAAACGGGCCAAAACATGTCCTTTGCTCATTAACCCATCACTCAATCGCAAAAACAGTCAAGGCGCATCTGCTAATGTAAAACGACTTCTTTTTTTATAAAAACATGTTCCCGTATATTCGAAGCGCAATTGCGCTCCCTTTCTCTGCGCTATGCCACTTGTTCCTCCCAGGCAAGCCCCTCCCTCCTTCCAGAAAACAGGAACGAGCTGTACCAGAATCTCAAAGGAAAAAACTGTCAAAGATAGAAAAAACCCGCAAACTACCGACCACGAATCGCTGAAAATTCGGCGCAACAGATAGGAAACTTTGAAAACGGAGGAAAATGAAAAAGATAACAGAAAAACAGCAGAGGAAAAAAAAAAAAGAGCACCTCCTTCCCTGCCACCCGTCCCCTGTCAAGAAACTAGACAGTTGTAATCACACCAAAGACGAGCGCTCCAACCGGCGTTGTTTTTTTTGTGCCACCATACCCGACCAATCCTTCTTTACTTTAGACATAGGATGCGAAAGGAAATAATAGAGGAAAATAGAAAAAAGAAGAAGAAAACAGGAGCAAAAGAGATAAGAAAATATCGGACACGCTCCTCCCCGCCTCTCGTCCTAACCTTCGTTGGCAAGACATTTTCCAAAGCTCGCCACGGCCGCCTTTTTTGGTGATAACCCCCTCGTTCCTAATCAATGGTTTTCCTCCATTGATGTGATTTGCGCACAAGTTGCAGAGATGGTGAAGTTGTGCGTGTGTGTGCCCTTCTGTTATTTGCTGATGTAGCTGGCTTCGCTGTGCAGCTTGGTGATGACGCAATTGAAAACGCATATGCGAAAGGAAGAGAGCAAAAACAGAAACGATGATGAAAAAGAGGAGAAAGTGAAGAAATAAGCCGAAAACAGATAAATGACACCTGATACACATCCCAAACGCCATTGAAGGAGTGTAATGGCCTTGCATTGGCCGTCATGATTACATCTTCATAATAGCATCAAGTGAGGAAATGAAGATTGCGCCAGAAAGAAAAATCACAAACAGCTTCCAAAGGCTATAGCCACCGACCATCCTGTTGCTCTTTTGTATCTCAAGCGTCCAATGCAGAGACTGTAGGACGATCATGAGAAAATAAACATTGTAGGGACTGTAGTACCCCGAACGACCCTGAGCTGAGAATCAGGGAGAGGGAAAAAAAGAACCTCCTTTCCTTTTTGCTTCCTAACCGACACACATCGTACAGAGCCTGGCGCGCGGGAAAACAAAAACAGCACACAAGCAGATTTGTTCTCTACCGCTTACGCTTCTTGGCCTTGTCGGCAGTCATGGTGTTGGCAGCAATGGGTGCCGCGGGCAGCAGAGCCGGATGCGATGCGATAATGATTTCTTCCTTCTTTAGCGGCACTCCCATGTGACGGCCATAGCGACCCTTTCGGCCGTTGCCCTCGTCTTCGCTGATGCACTGATCGGCTGAGAGGCCGGCATCGCGGCAGCGTCCACAAGGTCGTTGTCGATCGCAGCCCTTCTTGCTCTTCCTGCACCGTTGGCAGCGCGGCTTGGTAGAGAGATCAGGCTGGTCGTCTTCTCCGGCTTGTGGGACATGTCCGATGGACACCACTGATTGCTTCCTGGAATGCGTGGTGGAGGCGGCGGGGGAGATTGGGCCATTGGGCACAATGGGCGGCTTCTTTGTCTTGCTGCCATTGGAAGCGCGGGGCGCCTTGATCTTGGAAGAGACTGGCTTGGGCACAGCGATGGGAACAGGCTTGCTCTTTACCGACCTGTTCTGGGCCGGCTTGACATCTAGACCATCCTCATAGTCGGCATCATCACCACTAGCCTCGGCGCCGTCAATGGGCGGCATGAAGTGCGATTCGGTGGTCTGGTAAATCTGCTTGGACACACCAGACAGATCCAACTTTTGGCGACGAGATGGCGGGAGCCCGGCATCGCTGTCACTGTCGCTGTCACTAGTTGCGCCAGTAGACGATACGCCATCGGCTCGACCGCTAAAAGCGTCCTCCAAAGTTGATGCAGACGTACGGCCATGGGAAATGTTGGACATCTCACCGAGCCGCATGAGCTGAATGGCGACATCCTTGTCTTCCTCCGACATGCAGCTTCCGACGGTGGGGTCGGGAGTTGGGAGGATGCCCATGCCATGGGTCATGCTATGGCTGCCGTACGAGATGCTGCCCCGACCGCGACGGTCGCTGGAGACAGGGGTCGAGTACATGCTCAACCCATGCCCGCTACCATAGCTCTGCGGAGAGTGCAGCGGTCGTGGGTTTATAAAAGGGTTTTGGCTAGTCTGGACATAAGACAGAGACGGTCTGTGATGTTCGATACGTCTGGCCGGAGAGACGGATGGGTTTGAAGTAGCCGCTGGCATCTGAGGCGGTGCGAATAGAGGCAGTTCCTGAAAAAAGAAAAAAAGGGTTAGCAAAATCGCGAACAAACGTTTGTAGTGATGATGCGCCACGCTTACAGAGCTCTCAAACTTGGCCCTCTTCCGCCGGCCACCTTCGACAATGTTTTCAACACTAATGTCGGTGGTTCCGAGCTGCTCCTTTGCTCGGGCGGAAGCGGTGCTCGGGGCGCCATCACCGCTGCTGTAGCCATTCATGCTCTCGGCGTATGCATCGGTGTGGTTATGGAGGCTGCGGCTCTTGGTAGAGCGAGAGCGACCCTTTTTGCCATTGGTGCTGGAGGAGTCGCTTCTGCGTCCCCGCGGCGAAGGACTTCGCCTGCGTGGTGATGTCGAATAGGACCGGGCCATCTCGGGCCCGTAGCGCTGAGGGATGGCGTAGCCGTCGCCCCCGTAATAAGAATCAGCGCCCATATGAAGGCCACGGTAGTGATGTGATTCTAGGGCGCTGACGGGAGCCTCTTCGATGACTCGAACGTAGACAATCATGTTGTTGCGGAAATTTTCATATCGCGCAATCAAAGTGTTGCCAAGCTCGTCCTCGAAGCTGACGCCTTTTGATCCGGGAGGACCCGAGTACAAGCCGTAAAAGTTCTTGACGGTTGTAACAATCGAGTCCGTGGTATCATGAGGATAAATCTGGACTCGCATGGGCAAGCGCGCACGGTATTGAGGCGATTCAAGGAATAGCAGCTCAAATGCGACGTTCTTGGGGCTCGGCGCCTGACGAGGCGAGACACTGCCGCCGTTTGAGGACGCCGCCGACATGCCGCCAGAAGTGTTTATGGGGGATAACGAATTCATGTTTTTATGTTTCGTCTATCTTTTTGATGGACTTGTGTAATGTCGAATCGGATGGAAGAGGAGGGGATGGCGATCAAAAGCCCCGTGGAGAGAGTTGGGCTGGGGACGTGGGTGCGGATTTTGCCTTGGTCGGACAGAGCCAGCAGCTTCAGGCAAGAGTATCGCTTGGTAGGAGGACGGGCAATTTCATCACCGGCCGATAGCCAGGACTCGATATGGGCTCTTCCGCCTCTAGATGACGGTGAATGATGAGGCAATGTCAAAAGTTCATCACCATCCAGGCTATGCGGTAAGCGCCTGCTTCTTGGTCAGCTCCTGGCTGGCGCGGCGGCGGATTCGGCGGCGACGAGGACTGGCGAGAGCGGCGGCGCTCTGGAGGAGATCTGGGAGACGATCAAGCGAAGTTAGCCATGGACGCCTGCGATGGACTCGGAACAAGGCTGCCAACAAGAGTTGATGAAGACCGCGAAGCCCTCAGTCGGGACGGATTGGGGGGAGAAAAAGCTGCTGTGAACGAAGGCGCCGGGCAAAGCCAGGACGGGGGTGGGATGAGGTGCGAATCCAAGGGACGGGGGCGTATTGGGAGGCCAAATTCAAGGCAAATGCATGATCGCGCACGACGACAGAGTCGATGGAACTCACCAGATGTATCAGGAGTGGTTTGCAAAAGCTGTTGCTGGAGGCCAAGTTGGTAGAATGTGTGCATGGGGAAAAGAGGAGCTGGCTAGGCGAGGTCGAACGATTTTGTTGCTGCCGGCTTGGGCTCACTAACACGGCGCTGCTGTCGCAGTCTTCTGGAAGCGCCCTGTAGCGCCTGTAGCGCGGCGGTTCAGGGCCTCTGGTCGCTGGAGAACGTGCTGGCGGCGAGACCTGGATGGCGCTGTGGGAGCCCTGGAGGAAAAGGTTCGGCAGGCTGTAGGACTGGATCAGTGCCTCGTCGCCCCAAGGGCCATTGCCCCCAGTCGCATTCGCCGGGCTTTTTGTTCTCTTCTTTTTGCGCCCGGCAGAATTTGGAACCCTTTCTCTCTCAAACATGTACTTTAATTTGATTATTTAGCATTGGTCTAGCTGCTACTAAACGGCGCTTCTCTAAGCAAGGGGGAAAATGCTGCTGTTCAGGCTGCAGTGGCCATCCCATGCCGTGCTGTACGGCGCAAACAAACTGGAACTGGGCCGACGAATAATGGGGAGCCGGCGTCCACCTTGCGCCGCGATCTTCTGTCTCTCGCGTCGCGCACATTGACGAAGGCTTGAGATTAACGCCCTTGGCTATACTATATATACGGTACAGAGAGAGAGCTAAAGAAATTAAGCATTGCTAGGTGATAGTGTGATGAAGCCCTCACCGTGGGGTGACTCAACACCGCTTACATTGGACGTATATACTGTATTTGTACTAAGCCGCTCCGGCTTTGGCTTTGGCTTTGGCCTTGACAGTAGCAGTTGCGATTGAATTGGCAAATAGATTTGCTACCAAGGGAGGCAATATACTCAACATGTCTATAGAGCTGGATTGATCTAATCCATGTTCTATTACTTTCGTACTGGTCAGAAAAGCCAAGCCGGAGTTCTCTCGCCAGGAGACCAAGCTCCATCAATGCCCGTCTGCGGCCACAAAACGCCAGCCAATCCAACGGACCTATAAGATGACGGCATCTCCAAACCCTCATCCTTCGTCAGGCACCACAGCAGATGGTTAGGGCAGCGTACATATCGGTGGTCACTTTTCCTTCCCCTTCTTTTCCTCGTCTCGTCGTCTTCTGCTGCTGCTACTGCTGCACAGTACGCACACGTGTGGGCGCAAGCTACTGTGCTCGTCCATGTATTCGCACACGGACATGGTTAGACACTGGGCTTCTGCCATGCCGTGAGAGGGTCGGATTCAAAGGGGAACGGTGCTGAGGCGAATGGCAACGCAGCCGGAAAGGGCATAGGGTGCAGAGACCGCTCGTTTGGCCCGTTTGACCCGTCACCAACTCATCAAGTCCCTAGTCTGGTGACCCCGTCGGCCATTTTCGCGTAGTAGCATCATCTATTATTATGGAGTTGTTCGTTGTCAAACTCAGCCAGACGGGCCCACACGGACAGCGAAGGCGACGCCACCAGCCCCTCATGGCCTGCGATCCCAAGATGTGAGCCGGCAACTGACATGCAGAGTGTGTCGAGCTACATGTAGTCTGTTGCCTTAGCACGACCAGAGATACATGGCTCGTACAGTAGCAGCGTAGGAATCCTGCGTGTCCCATCCCATCGTGTTGACGGTGTGTGTGTGTGTGCCGTTGCTCTTGTCTCTGCTCTGTTTCTGTGTCTCAATCTGCGTTCTGCCTGCAAAGCTCTAATACGATGCCCTCTTCTTGCTTGGAAATAAGTGCCGTAACTATCTTGGTATATACTGTACGAAGCATGTATGTACCTACCAAAACGCATTCGTGTCGTATCACTGCCTGGCAGTGGCCGATATGTGACATGATGGCATGGGAGCGCATCCCAGAAGTCGAAAGCTGCAGGACGCTGGGCGTGCGTGTGCGTGCGTGTGCGGACGTGCGTCCATGCGGCCTGGTGCTGATTGATTGATTGATTGATTGCGATTGATTGATTGATCCGCCACCCTCTCCGCACCACTCGCTGGCAGACAAACATCCAGACTTGCCCTGCTTGTACAGCGAATGGCCAGGGCCCCAGCCAGAACCAGGCTCCGCGAAGCGCATTCCGACGACCCCCATGGGCTGGGACTGGCCTGGTACACCCAGCACAGGACTTTGACGAGCGCTTGTTGGAAAAGGCTTTCGACCTCGGGCGAAGCTAAAGGAGAGAGGGAGAACGAAACGAACGAGCTGGACTGGACCGTCACCGCGGCATGGGTGAGCGAGTCCTGCTAGTCTCCAAGCATACAAGGCCGATATCCAGCGGCTGGGTGCTAAATTTACCAACTCCAGCTGCTCCGTGGCCCTCCCTCTTGTGCTTGTGCTTCTTCCAATATTAATTCCCGAGCGCTGCTGATGGCCAATGGGCGCCGCATCAGATGCCGGCCCAGAGGCGCCCGTTTCTCCTCCTGCAGGGATCCTGAACAGCAACAGTGTGGGCTAAGCAGGAGAGGTGGGGAGGCCAGACTGAGGCGGTAGCGGCAAGGGCTGGGCAAAGGGTCCAAGTTGAGGCCAGTTGACTCGAGCATCAATGGCTATCGATTCATATAGCGTCTGTCCCAAGCATGACTGCCTGCTGGCTGCATTGAATCTTGGTGCTAGGTGCTTGGTGTGCTGCCGGGGCTCGGCACCGCTTCGATCCTCACAGGACGATCCAGAACAGCTTCAACTCTGCAACACTCGGGGTAATCAAGCAGCCACCCAGCAAATGCTTGCCTGTCTGCTTGCTCCTTGCTCTTCCGTATAAGCACAGAGTACATGGACAATCAATTGTGCTGTCTCTGGGCCTTGCGGTGCTTCTTGGCCTCAACCTTTTTTGTCTACTCGAGATGATGCTGAACTGAACAGAGCAGAGAGAGTGGTGTGCCTGACAGCCCCTCTCCTGTCGTCGCAAGATCGGCCCAAACTCTCTCGAATGGGGGAGAGGAGGGGGAAAACCCCCAAGCACCAGGCCAATGTTTGCTTCATGGCCCGTCAATCGTCAGCCTCTGGTTGGAGCAACGGCTACGCTGAGAAAGGCGCAAATCGCGACCAGCGTTATGCGTGGCTTGGCTAATACCCAAGCTACGAATTGACTTTGTCCCCTTTTTTTTCTTCCCAACTTGTTTTCTTCTCTCATGCTCTCCCCCCAATTTCCCCTCTTCGGCCTTTGCTGTTTCGAGACCCTCTTTGGAGATTCACTAAGGCAAAAAGCAGAGCAGAGGAAAAAGAAAGGTGAAAAATTAACAGGAAAAAAAGCTCGACGATTACTCCGTCCAGGCACGGGCAATCCAATCATCTGCAGTGGCACAAGCTCAGTTTCCCGCTAAGTCGCAGACCATGTCGTTCCTATGGGTCCCCCGGTTTCAGTGTCCAGTCGGAGGCGATTTTGTATACTTCTCAGGCGTGCGAGGCGTCTTCTCCCAAGGCTACTGTACTCGTATATTCGTTGGGTTGGCATTACATTGAGGTCGGGCAGCACGCAGGCGTCCGTGCTGGTCGTCTTCTGCAGCCAGCGTGCGCCCAGTTTGCCATGACAAGCCTCCCTCTAATCCTTAATCATTCTTGTTTCTTGGTGCTGATACAGTAGGGTTCGCCTCGTCACAGTAGTATAGCAGCGGTAGTCGCATGCCTGTCCTGAGAGGCGAATTGGTATTGAACGTCCATGTACCTTGAGAGATGCCTCTCACAAAGTCAACACCAACACCAACACCGACAATCCCAAGGCTTCAACACTTAGACTACATGTACAGTAGAATTGGCACCAGCTCAGTTTGAGTCTAGGGTGAGCGTCGCATCAATGCTGCACAGTATCCAAGGACGAACAACCGTCTCTCATCAGTCACCGCTTTGTTCCCCCCGCGCAAGCCTGGATGCATGCGCTGAGAGGCTTTGTGGATACACGGTTGGGTGGACAAGATGCGTGCCGAATCAGCGCCAGAGCGGTGGCTCCCAAGCATCAACGGGACAGGAGCATTTTGCTGGGCCCCGTTCTCCTCTCCTGTGTGTGTGCCTTGCGGCAGTGGCCAAAGTTTATGATCGCCTGCATTTGTGCCCCAGGCCGGATAATGCATGCAGAGCAGCGTCCCAATGAGAGCCCGCCCTGCGATACAACAGCTCCGGTGTTGTGGGCTCGAGTGTGCGTTGTTATTCCTTTGGTAATGCGAGTGATGATGGGACGGCTGTTTCTGCTTTCCCAACGAATTGCGGACCTCGTCGCTGCCATGCACTCACTCACTCTTCGCAGCCTGCTTTTACGAGCCCCCCTTCATCAGATCTCCTGATTCTACGCGGACGTACACACTTGGTACGGGTACGGGCACGGGACACGGAGCACACATGCGGCGTCGTACCAGGCTTGCTTCCCGTGTTGCCGCAGTATGCGCCATCGAGGCTGGATGTATGTACAATACTCCGTCTCAGCAGAGGCATTGCTGCTTGTCAACTGCGTGGCAGAGCCGTCCCGGTATCTACAAGTACGCCATCGTTGAACTCAGTACCATTGTGGCGCCGGCCGACACTAGCATAATTTGAAACAAGAGAAGCAAAGCAAACCATGTTGCGGCCGGATCGACACGCACAAAGCACCTATGTTCGCTGTCCAGGGCTGGCCTCTTGAAGCGCTGGCTTCTTACCCAAGCCCTGCTCGTTAGTGTTGATAGATGGCTAGTTGACTAGATATAAAACGCAAAGAGGTGATATTGTGCGTAGTGGACATGTAAAACATTGTGCTTGCGCAAAGTACGCAGCTCGGGGTAACTAATTCCTCTTCACGGTGGCGATATTAAAATGGGTAAGATATGATATCATATCGTCAAAACTCGCACGGGACATGCCCCAAATCGCTCATTTGAGCCGCAATGGGGGTTTAAATTTGCGCAATGGTAGTTGGAAGCACACGCCAATTTATAGAGAAGGGCTTGTCATGGCCTTGATCTGGGAGATGCTCGTCAGTGCCAGCGACAAGTTCATGATGGGAAGACACGGTGTTCGGCTGAAGCTGAAATGAGCAGCTAGGCGATCCATCCAGGGAGGCTTGCGACAGGCGACTTAGCTCAACAACAAGCGACTCGGCACCAAAGGGCAGCAGCACGCGAGCTCATACGGTTATCACGGTAAGTTAGTTCAATGCCCAGGAATCTGGAATAGAACAATCGTGGCTGAGGCGGGCATTGCGACGTAAGGTTGGGTCGACTAGTGCAACCTTGCTCAGAGAGGCTGGATGAGGGGGTTTGATGAATGCCATTCAAGCGTCGTCGCGACACCTGGTTCCGTCGATTCCACGGTCTTGCCAGCGCGATTGCTGCGTCAAAAGGCCATCATCGCCGCCGCACTCTGTCGCAATTCATCACGCCCGGCTTTTATATCATCGATTTCCAAGCGCAGATTGCTCGCATGGGATTTGCGACAACAAATAGCGAAGCGGCCTGGCCGGATGGACTATCGCCTATTAGTAGCTCAGTAGCTTACACTTTAACTGCCGAGCTTACAACACGGGGCGTCGCAAAAACCAGATCGAAGCGCCAGCCGCATTGCTGCAAGACATGTCTCAATCGCGCCTCGAACGGAAGCGCGAGCGCCCTTCTCGTTCCTCGTCAGTCCTCGAACCGTCTTCCCTTGCCTGAGGCATGTTCATGTTTCAATCCGTCCAGAGTGGGGGGAGTCAAAAGAGCACTTTAAGTGGCAGCGTCTCGTCACGTGAGCACGTGTTATACTGGCGCAATTTCCGATGAGAGCCCTAACGCGTCTGAGGCGCCCAAATGCGCCGGTCGCAACTTCGCCGCTGCGGCGTGATTCCGGTACAGAAAAGTCAAAGCCCGTATCGCTGCGATATCCAGCAGACGCTGACACGACTTAGAGGCCATCGCCGCCCGCGGGTGCTGCTGCATCTGCGCAAAAGTGAAACTCATTGGATTTTTGTCATCTCAAGTGAGACGCGACGAGATCGTCCGGGCGCCGCAACCGGACTAGCGGCCCGGCGGTACGTCTCTCTGTGCTACACGCAACCCCCCGGAATATCGTCATCTCCGGGACGACAGGCAAATGACGCGACATGTTCGCATGATGGCCCGTGCGCGCATGCCGACCCCCAACGCCGCGGTAGCTCAGCGAAGCTCCAGCCTAGCTACAGTACTCGTATGGCCTTCTTTGCGCTAAAGCGTCTGCAGCGCTTGGGGATAAACAAATAAACATTGGAAAATACAACCAAAGAGTCTGGCACTTCTCACCACCAGGGACCAATTAATTAAATCCCCCGGAATTCCAGGCTCCTCCCCAGCCTCCAACCACTAACAACGCACGTCTTGCAAACGGCGCATCGTTCAGGTTTTTTGTTCCTGCTGCCTGCATCTCGTACCAAGTTGCAAGCGAGAGCTGGCGCATATTCCCTGTCGTTGTCGCTATCGCCAATTTCCACCTTGCACCTTCTCAGCGGCAGAGGGGAATTTGACAGACCAGGGCCCAGAAGTACGAGAGCAGCATCTTTTCCTTTCCAACTGGGGCGGTTTCCCTTCTTCCCCAAATCCACGTCGTCTTTTTTTTTTGTCTCCATTTGTACGAAATACTCATCAGGCTCTCGCCCCTTTCCCGCTTTCTTTTTTCCCCCGTGTATGGTCGACAAGCCAAGGCTGTGTACTGGGTCTTCAATTTGACGTGATTTTGCGTCACCGTCTAATTTGTTCTGATAATCCTTGGGAGTCCGTTGTCTCCGAAGTGCGACGCTGGAATCTCGGACCATCTTGGACACCACGCCACGGACAGCTTTATTGTATGATATCCCGACGCGGGTCAATCAGTGGAAAGGCTACGCCGCCTTTTCGCCTTGATTCGCATAACTTTATTTCGCGCATTCTACCAGATCAGTGTACAATATCCTTAAGGGCTCGAAAGCAAGGCGCAGACAGCCTCTCCCATAATGGACGCACGGGTATGTTAGAAACAGGACAGAGACAAGCAAATAGCTCTCCTTGGCTCTACGTTTTGCACTCCTTTCCTTTCCACCTATCGTATATCATACAACCCTGGTTCAATTTGTAGCCATACTGACCCTTTATCTCCTTCATCTAGCCCTTTAGACCGCGCGGCAGCGAGAACATGCAGCAACTCCTTCATCAGCGCCACAAATCAGCAGGAGCTGTTGGCACCGCTCTGGCAGTCCCTGTGGCTGGATTCAAAGGCCCCGCTAAACGTGCTGCCTTTGGTGATGTGACGAACGTGTCCAAGTCTCTGGGAGGACGTGGTGAGGAGGCCAAGGGTATCAAAAAGGCCGCCATGGTGTCCACGAATCACGCGTCCGCATCCTTTCTGAATAAGGAAAACGCGGTAAAGACTAGCAAAGATTCCCTCTCCCGACCTGCACAGCGACCCGCAGCTCTGGCCGGCAACAAATCCAAGCTCACGACGACGGAAGCTCGTGCGGAGCCTCTGCAGAAGAAGCCCGCAAACATTCCCGCAAAAGAGTCTGCTTATAAACTCGATATCGATATCCCCCAGCTACACAGCAGCAAGACCAAGAGCAATGCCGTTACGCAGAAGAAGAGTTCCTCCGCTCAAGCCGCCCCCGAGGCGCATTCGAAGCAGCCTCGTCATCACAAGAGCCAGCCGCAACTCAAACAGCAACCACCAACCCTGCGGAGAACCCAGAGCAAGGTCGAGAAGGTCGAGAAGATTGAACGCGTTCCCAATCGGCCAAATCTTATTGAAATCGATATCGAACCTCTAGCAATGCCTGCCCTGATTGAAGATTTCTTGAACAGCGACGATTCTTATCTAGACTCGCTCAATTGCCCACCTGAGGAGGCCCCACGTGCAGACGTGAATCACGATGACAGCCATGTTGAGGTGTTGGCCAAGCTCCCGAATATCTCCGAGGAACCCGCCATTAATATCGAAACTTACAAGGAGGGCCTCACTCTCGCACTCTCCGAAGCCGAGGAATACTGGGACGAAGAGGATGAGGAATATGACGATCAAGATCAGGGTTACACGACGGCTCATTCGACTCGATCCCGCGACATGACGTTAGGAAACGCCACGACCATTCTCGCTCCACGAGTAACCAGCCGTGTGCAGTGTGAACTAGACGAAGCTAGAATCGAGGTCGAGCAGACCATAACCCCGGAAGAGATTGACGAGGAGATGTGGGATGTCAGCATGGTTGCCGAGTACGGCGAGGAGATTTTTGAGTATTTGAGAGAAATGGAGGTAAGGAAACCAACCCAGCCATTCCAAGATTTGCCCCCCGTTGATTGCTGACCCCCTCGTGCAGATGAAGATGCTCCCTAATGCCCATTATATGGAAATGCAAACAGAGATCCAGTGGTCCATGCGGACTGTCCTTATGGACTGGCTGGTGCAGGTGCATCACCGCTTCAATCTCTTGCCAGAGACACTTTTCCTTACTGTCAACTACATCGACCGGTTCCTGTCCTGCAAGATTGTTTCTATCGGAAAGCTGCAGCTGGTGGGGGCCACGGCCATCTTGGTTGCGTCCAAGTACGAAGAAATCAACTGCCCGTCATTAGACGAGATAGTCTACATGGTGGACAGCGGTTACACAACGGAGGATATCCTAAAAGCTGAGCGTTTCATGCTTAGCATGCTCGGGTTTGAGCTGGGATGGCCAGGCCCCATGAGCTTCTTGCGACGAGTCAGCAAGGCCGACGATTATGATCTCGATACCCGAACTTTGGCTAAGTATTTCTTGGAGCTCACTATTATGGATGAGCGTTTTGTGGCCTCACCCCCGAGCTTTCTTGCTGCCGGTGCGCACTGCCTCTCTAGGCTTATCTTGAACAAGGGCGAATGGGTGAGTACTTCTTTTTCTCAACTTTGCAGATTTCCGACAACGATTGACTGACAAAAACTATACAGACCAAGCGCCACGTTCACTACTCTGGTTATACTTGGAGCCAGCTCAAATCGCTGGTGACAATAATGATTGAGTGCTGTGAAAACCCCGTCAAGCATCACGGAGCCGTGTTTGAGAAATATCGAGAGAAGCGATTCAAGGAGGCGTCAGTTCAGGTCCAGAACGCCCTCGACGCTGGATTCACGCTCCCGCACCACTCGACACCTGTTCGTCGCCTGCAACCAGCCCGCGTCCCAAGTGCTACCGAACTGCAGTATGTGAGCCGTCTCATCTCCATAGAAGGGTGAGAATGAGGCGCCCCGAGCATTTGTCTGCTGTAAATTCCCGTTTTGATGTCACCACACGGCCCATTGAGGTGGCTACATGATACCACCGTGCTTTGAGATGCGATTCTTTAGTAATTTTCGACCCCGACCTTGCTCACTACGATTTCATTTTTCTTGTTCTCTGTTTCGGGGATTGCAGGCGATCTTACGAAGCCAATGACGCACACACACACACGCACACATCACATTCTGGACGAGAATTTTCTTCTTTTTGTTTTTCTCACTCTTCTTGAGCTATGTTGTTTTACTGTCTGGCGTTGGTGGCTTGCTCTGGAACTGGCGGTAATGGATGGACTTATATATACCACGCAGGCGCTGGAGGGGGAAGATGGGATAATAATGGATAAAGCAAAAACAGGAAGGGTCGGCATGGCGCACTAGGGAGGGCATGTGCTTCGCCAAAGCTGGGGAAAGATTCTGGCCTTGATAATATCACACTGAAGAAAGTTGTATGGATTAATACCGCCCTGTTATTTATTTGGGCATTACATTATGGATCCCGTTTTTTTCTTCCTTCTACCAACCGAAAGAACCTAATGAGTGGACGGATGCTTGCTGAATTGCCATTGGAGACTGCATCTGTAGCGCAGCGGCTATCTCCATGCTTGAATATATCGTGTTGCTGACCGCCGAATTCACCGTTTATGCACGCAGCTCCGGGCCTCCGGAATACTCCGGACCTACGGAACAAGATTGCTTGCTGGCTGTTTCCATGCTGCATGCCAGATGACTCGATATCAATGGATTTTATCTCTTGATTGATAGCAGCAGCAGGCCAGTAATATACGCACCACTGCCAAGGAGTAGATGGCACCAAACTCATTAGAGTCGCGACCGGGAGTCAGACCGGCCCGGGTGGCGGCCGGAAAGCAAATCTGTGTTCTTCTGGAACCAGCCTTCTCCCACGCTGAGGTACCTGTACATTTATAGCCTAAATCCGTGGAGATACTTGGGGCTTTACACAGTGCCTTGACTTGAGGCCAGCCCAGCTAGACGGGTCGATTACCATACCAAAACTGCTTTGAATGCCAGAGCCTGCTGGTAGCTGGTACTTAATTGGCGCCGGTCTGGCCGAATCATCTCCGACTGGCCCCGACCCCAGATTTGAGCGGCTTGCTAGTGCCAAACGAAACATTGTAATCTTGGAGAATTTACGGAGTGTATACGGACCGTTACGGAGTAAAATGCTACCTATCCAGAAGTCGGGGTATAGCTGGATGGAAGAGAATGGCATCGTCGAATCTGAGCCCAGGGGCGTTTTCGGACGGTTTGTTGGACTGCAGGATCTGATGTCAGCTGTCTGAGGTGCATGTACGAATAACTCATGCTGGCAACGGCTGAAGCCGGAAAGTACCTGTACCTCCGGGTTGAGGGAAGATGGCGTAATCTGCAGAGCCAGGCTTATCGCGTACTCGTTTGCAATCTGCCACTTTTACGTCCTCTGATGTGTTTACTTGGGTACGATACTCTCTATTTTAATCCCTCAGAGAGTACAAGCAAGTCATGTGGGTGGTTTCCCATTGTGATGCACGAGGTACGGCGTCAAGGGCGTACCAAACGCACATCTCATCAGCTGGTGTTCGGGTGCCCTAGAATGGAACCGAGTACCTGGCAAGGCTTAGTCCCCTGGCACAGGCACGGAGTATTGGTACTTGTAGCCGTGGAATACTCCGTGTCAAGTACAGAGTACTAAACTGGTCGTCCGCCGCTCTTTGATGCTCACGTGGCGCCTTTCAGCATCTTCTGACCGCTGTGCAATTTAGCTGTTCAGTGGCGGCCAGGGGGAGGAAACATGGCGCACACAGTACCAGGTACATGCATCGACAGGTGGCATCTCGCCAAACCTTGCAGCCGTCCATCCGTCAATTGGCTTCCATCCATCAGGAGTAATATAAATTTTTTTTCTTTTCCATCCTCATACTTTTACCGGCCGCTTCTCTCGCGATCCTGTGACGCTTCACTTCTCTCTCCTTTTCCTCGTTCCCTCTTTTTTCCTTTCCTTGTTGCATGATAGACTTAGAAATACAGATAGAGGGGAATCCGGTATAGAGGGGCTTCATCTCCGACATTTTCCAGGCGTTTGCTCTTTTTTGGCGCTTTTTTTTTTCGTCCCCCCGTCGTACCAGACCCCGATTTTCCCACTTATCCAGCTCCACAGCCTCGCCGTTTCTTCCTCCACAAGAAGCCAACAACTTTTATCCCGTCTTCCCCGCGGGCATTTTTTTTGTTTGTTTTTTTGGAGCAGAGATTCGGATTTGCTACTTTTCTCCAAGATGGCGAGCGTTTCAACCGTCAAGGAAGCTGTCAAGGAGAGCCTGGTTGGCGGCGAGGAGCCTGCGCAGCTCTCGGCGCAAACCAAGGCTCGCTTCAACAGCCATGCGATCAAGGACCCTGAGACAGGCGAGCTGTACCTAGGACCGGACGAGTTTATCAATGCGATTGCGCCCAAGGACGAGGACTATGTGAGTTTGCCATTGAGTTCATGTTTCTCTTCTCCTTTGTCTTTTTCCCTCCATTCTCCGACTTTTTGGAGGCCCCTTTTCCTTTTTTTCGCTGTTTGTATGGAGATCGGAGTCATATCGGTGCAGTTGCGGGACCAGTGACTAACAAAGCATCGCATGCAAACAGCACAAGATCAAACGGGAACAATATTCGATCCTCTTTGGCGTCGCCGACAACAAAGGCACCGGCCGCGTCTCGTTGACCGACTGGAGTGTCTTTGAGAACCTCCTGCTCAAGCCCGACGCCGAATACGAAATTGCCTTCCGACTGTTCGACGTCGACCGCACCGGCATTGTCAAGTACGACGACTTCAAGCGCCTCTACGAGCTCAACAAGGGCCCCGAAAACATCCCCTTCGATTGGGACTGCGAATGGGCCAAGCTGTACATTGGCACCAACAAGAACCGCCACCACCTCAACTATGCGCAGTTCTCGCAGATGCTGCGTGGCCTCCAGGGCGAGCGCATCCGACAGGCCTTCCACCGCTTCGACAAGGATGGCGACGGCTACATTAACCCGGAGGACTTTGAGCGCATCATTCGCGAGACGGCGAGACACAAGCTGTCGGACCACTTGCTGAACAACCTGCACACTCTCTGCAACATCTCGGCCAGCAGCAAGGTCTCCTACGCCAACGTGCGAGCCTTCCAGAATATGATTATGGAGATGGACCTGGTCGAGGTGATTTTGCGCCGCGCCGTCTCAAAGACCAAGGATGGTAAGATTACCAGGTCCGAGTTCATGAACGAGGCGTCCGGCCTCACGCGATTCGGTCTCTTCACACCAATGGAGGCCGACATCCTCTTCCACTTTGCCAGCCTGGACGAGCCTTCTGGTCGACTGGGCCTACGCGACTTTGCCAAGGTTCTGGATCCCTCATGGCGCAACCCCATGTACGACGTTTTGGACACCGCCAGCCAGACTGTCGATAAGGTCGCTTCCAAGGGCAGTGCCGTCTTGCACCAGGTCCTTGAGTCGGCTTACAACTTTGGTCTGGGCAGTTTGGCTGGTGCCTTTGGTGCCTTCATGGTGTACCCCATCGATCTTGTCAAGACCCGTCTGCAGAACCAGCGTGGAGCGCAGCCCGGACAGCGCCTGTACAAGAACTCCATCGACTGCTTCCAAAAGGTTATTCGCAACGAAGGTGTCCGCGGCCTGTACTCTGGTGTCCTGCCCCAGCTGGTTGGTGTTGCGCCAGAGAAGGCCATCAAGCTGACGGTGAACGATTTGGTGCGCGGTCGTTTGACTGACAAGCAAGGAGGCATTCCTTTGTGGGCCGAGATTGTCGCCGGTGGTACTGCCGGTGGTTGTCAAGTGGTACGTTTGGAACATCTGACCCTTACTGTAACCATACCATTATGCATGAGCTCCAACCTAACTAACGTTCTTTTTTCTAATCTAGGTCTTCACAAACCCTCTCGAGATTGTCAAGATTCGTCTGCAGATCCAGGGCGAGGTCGCCAAGACTGTCGAGGGCACGCCCAAGCGATCGGCCATGTGGATTGTCCGCAACCTCGGTCTCGTGGGTCTGTACAAGGGCGCGTCTGCCTGTCTGCTGCGAGACGTCCCCTTCTCGGCCATCTATTTCCCCACGTACAGCCATCTCAAGAAGGATTTCTTTGGCGAGTCGCCGACCAAGAAGCTGGGCGTCGTGCAGCTCCTGACTGCTGGTGCCATTGCCGGTATGCCCGCGGCCTACCTGACGACGCCTTGCGACGTCATCAAGACCCGTCTCCAGGTCGAAGCTCGCAAGGGCGAGGCTTCGTACAACGGACTGCGACACTGCGCACAAACCATCTGGAAGGAGGAGGGCTTCAAGGCCTTCTTCAAGGGTGGCCCGGCTCGTATCTTCCGATCATCGCCCCAGTTCGGTTTCACCCTGGCCGCGTATGAGGTTCTCCAGACTATGCTGCCCATGCCCGGATCGGCGCAGAAGGACAAGGTGCACCTCGGCATGTCTGATGCTCTGTCTTCGTTGAAGTCGAAGCAGCTGGACTCCAGCCCCTTTGCCCGCAGCAGGAATGCGCTGAAGATCATCCTCGACCTTGACGAGGACTTTGGCAAGGTGAAGCTGCCCAACGAGAAGGGATGGAGATCGCTGCCCAAGATCATTGGTGGTGGTGGCCAAGCCGCGCAGTAAGGAGAGAATTGACGACGTGAAGTGGAATACAAGAAAGTGCAAAGAAGAAGAAAAAAGAAAAAAGACGTGCATCGTCGAACTTACACTCGAGGGGAGCAATGTATGATTTCTCTCCGATGATACGATGCATCAGAATAGGCGTTTGGGTGAAAATACTGCATCACGAAAGGGGCGAGTTGTTTGTATACTTGCTTCTATTGTTTTTTAATTCCTATTCTACCTTTCCGTTTTCTCAGAACCCTTTTATTCCCTTGTGTTTCTATCAACACGAACCCGAACCGTGTGTACCCAGAAGAAAAGAAGAAAAAGAAAGAAAATAAGACCATGAGGGATATAGAAAGAGAAGAGCTAAGGACAAGGGATATCTTGCGCGCAAAAAGGAAAGGATATGACGCTTGTTGTGATTCTTTTCTTGGTTTGCCTCTGCGGCTGTTGGTTTTTTTTCCTCCGTCGAATGTATGAGATGACCTTTTAGACCTAGACATGGGATACAGGACTAGAGGGGGGCTGTATAGCCAAGGCAAAAAGAAAAAAAGAGGAATTTGTTTGGAGGAGGAGCCTTAGAGGACTTTTGATTTCGAAAAGAGAAGTGGGTGTTTTGATGGGTAGATGTATAGCGATACCTAGTTTTCAACGCAACATAAAAGTGTTTTCGTTTTCTTTGACCCTGTTTTCGACACATTAGCCAATTGTCAATTGCGACGAATGAATCAACAGGGTGGTTCGCATACCTAGATAGGCATATCTCTCTTTACTCTTGCTTCTCGATCTGCGGTATTGATGAGCGGACGAGATTTGCGTGTCCGCTCCAGATGTGCGCCCAGGGAGAGTCTTCCTGTGGCTCATAGGGGGCAACTTCAGCTCCCACGGGATTCGTCATGGCATTGACCAGCCAGGCAATGTAGTGTTCAAAGCCAGTCGTGCTGCCACTAATATAAACGTTCTTGACGCCTCGCACCGCGTCAAACACCGCCAGGTTGTTGCAGTCGACGCCCAGGAACATGGACTGGACGAGGTCGATAGAGAGCTCGTCCAATCCAGAGAAAGATTCCGCGACAGCCTTGCGGTCGTATGGCAGGGGCAAGTCCAGACGAACTTGGACGTGGAAGCGGTGGATAAGGGGCACCAGCGTCTTGGCCTCTCGCATAGGAGGATACCAGTTGCGCAGACGAGGGAATGTCGCGAGCAGGGTTGGGTGTGCGACGAACATGTTTGACGAGTAGAGGAACGGCGTGGCCTCCCAGTTGATCTGGCGGTTTGCGAGGAGGATTGCGGGATAGACGTGCTCGGAGGGCTGGGCGTAGGAGGAGAGGTGGTGGTGGGAGGAGGATTTTGGGTGAGGCGGGATGGAGAGGAGGTGGTCGTAGATTTGGAAGCGGAGCTCCAGGGGGAGGGACATGAAGCCGACTTTTGGTGTTGATGATGGTGATGGGGGCATCTCTGCTGGTGTTGTTTGTGCGGTTGGGGCAGCAGACATTTGGGAGCTGCGTTTTATTGATTCGACGTAGCTGAGATAGCTCATTGTGTTGGGATTTGGTGTAAGTGGTTGTATATGTGGTAATATGATGTAAATCAAGTTTGATGGCACGAATATATCTGGTTGTTGTCAAGTGTGTATCAAACAAAAGATGTATATGTAAGAGATGTAAGTGATTCTTCTTTAGTGTATATGGATCTAAAGCACAAGAGTATATACAACGAGGGAGGCAATGCTTATTTAAATCACTTCTCGCCCAGAGCTCAAGCTGCCCAGGAATAGACTCAAGTTAGCCTGTCCGTACATCGGAAACCCACAAATAAAATAAAACGGCGTGTTCACACCGTGAGCCTCACACGTCGCAAAAGCCGAGGGAAAGGGAAGGAAAAGCCAAAAGGGAAATAAGGGATGTCCACCATATCCGGGTGGCAGCGCCGGCCAGCCAATGGAAAAACGCCCGAGGGAGAAAGACAAGCAACCATGTAAGAAGTAAAGCAGGCGAATCAACGGTGGAGGCTTCAGCCCGTTTGATTGAATTGGATGGGCTAGGATGGAGACCAGGGCAAGTAAACGTCACCGGCATTCGAGGTTTGAGTAGACGCTCGGGTCGGCCGTTTGGGAGCGGGACGCAGGTGTTGTCGGGTTGGGCTTAGGCTGTGGGAGTGGCGTTGTTTTTTTTTTCTAGGGGTCTGGTCGAATGTTGTTTACGTTTGATGCGTTAGTGGCATGCGGCGGGTGTTAGTCTGGCCCGATTCTGACGATGGAGAGGTGGCTAGGGTGATGCAACGATGGCTGATGTATGACAGGGGGGTGTGATAGTATGTTGTGTCTGTATGGTTACGTCGTTGTGCTTGTACAGTAAAGATTTCTATTGTTATGTGCATGAATATGATTGAATGAATGAGTTGTTGGTTGCTTGTCTGCCTAGTCGTGGGGTGAATACAATCAATACAATACGTGTTAAGTGTGTGTAGTTGGTTGTGCTAGTGTTATTTACACGTCAAGTCTGCTGATGCTCTTTGCCCGACAACGAAGAATCTCCGATGATAAGGGAGCAATAGGGTTCGCAAATTGCTTACTGGTTCGGACTGATCTGGGTACTGCTGACTTTGCTAGTCAGATGTTGGTGAAAGTGAAAAGTTTAGTAGCGGAGCTTGTTCTCGTTCAATCTCATGTAAGCATTCTTAGGAGATGAACTTTAGTGATGATCTTAGTGAGGAGCAGGATGTTAGTTGATGACATGGACTCGGGGACCCAGCTTCCGCAAAGCATATTGAAAGGGCAATCATTCCGTAGCTACCTAATACGAGTAGATAGTTAATGCCTTTGATAGGGGTAAATAGATAGATACTGTGCATGGTTCAAGGTGGATTCTTGTCTCATCAAGGGCAATCGTGCATTTACATTTGCATATTGATTGACTGACATCTTGGCAGCTGGAAAGCCACAGCCAGCCACTTTTCTCGCAATACTCCGTAGTCTAGCCTTGATGCGCCATCTCCATCTATCAGCCTTGGGCATTCATTCCTCCATCCCTTTTACCTCAGCTGGCTACTAAGTCACCCAAAACGGGCAGCATTCATCAAAAAGGATCAAGACTACTGCACCATCGCGGCCAAGACGACAGCTGAACTCTCGAGGCCTCACGCATCTGCGCATCCTTATTCGCTGGCTATAGCTGACAGCACTTGGACGCATCCAGACGACGATGGATGAGCTACGCCCCAACAAGCAAGTCTCAAAAAAAGTCATTAAAAATTTACAGTCAATACAAAAGAGACAGCGGTCCGCTATTTCTGCCTTATTTGCTGTGCTAGTGCATGTTGCCATCCTTGGATCTGCGACAACCGTCGTCCGATCACGCCAAGCCTCACACCATTGCCACTCCCGCTGATAGCGAATATCTCGGAAACGGTGGACCGACAAGGAGACTCTTGGCAGGAAAAACACGCGAGATACGCGGACATGCACGCACGATGCCTGGGCCTGGCCTTGTTTTCAATGCCGAGGATACAGTAAAAAGGGGCTGCGGAATGTAACGCAAGAAAGAAAAAATGATTATCTTCTTTTTCTGTTCTTTTTTCTCTTTTGGTGAGTGTTTGATACTGTACTCGTATCGGTCCGTGTGATCCGAGCTGTATCGAGTACCCGCCAGCTGCAGGAGTTTATCTGCTTACAAGGCTGAACACTGCTTGTTACTTGTACATACACACACACACATGGATGTATGTATCATGCAGCAATACGTTGGGTAGAATTCCAGAACAAAGGAGATTTTCTCGGTGAGCCGATTCCGAAGGTTGATATGCCCGGGGTGTTCGGATTGATGGATGGGTGGGTATTCAAGTTGTGTTCCGAGTGACGGAATTTAATGAATGGGAATGACTCGATGAGTCTCGGTATAGCGGTGACTGAATGACTGTCAAGTGCCGCTATCATGGCTTTGATGGCAGTCGAGTTCGGCTTTGCAGACAAATTTTATTCCGAACATGGTGAGCCGGTGGCTGCTGATATCAACACGAGCTGCTCCTTTACCAGCCAGTCCAACACCCTTTTTTTTAATTCCCGTCTGCCACCGACTACCGTCAGGATAGCCGTGTTACCGAGTTTTGGCCATGACTTTTCGTGTAAACGCTAATTATAGTTGATGGTGAAGTTGTCGTGTGGACTATTCACGGGATATGTTACGAATGGACAAGGTAAAGCCGTAAGTGGTAAAATTTGACAAACATGTGCACATAGCACACTATGACTATAATGCTCTAGTCTGTTGAGATGGCCATGCCGGATCTCTTATGAAATTGTCAAGACGCATTTCTATTGAGATACTAAGAGAAGGTAATACCAGCTGAAGACCCCTTCAGTAAATCCAGACTCAAGCACCAATATGCTGACGTCACTTAGGGTACTGGGAGGACAGAGCTCGCATATGAGATCAATTCCTCACAATGGTGGCTTTGAGTGTATTTTAAGTTATCCGAGTTCTTTCTATAAAAACTCCTGTGATAATTTTGTGATGTTCAACTGTTTTGCACTTCTTCTAGGTTAGGCCACAGGCGGCTACTGCCTTGCCAGGTCCCTTAGTACAGCAACTTATACGGGGTACTTTCATTGCCCGTCTCGATACTTTACCCCCACAGAGCACATAGTGCATCACAGGGTACCATTTCTAAAATCTAAAGTACCTTATACCTGCATACTTGGTCATCGAAGCTGGAAATGATGCAATCGCGTCTCTGCTCGCAAAATGTCATCGCAGCGCATCGCATCGCATCGCGCAAAAAGCAGGCGCACACAAAGTACCGCTCCATACCCCTCAAGCTGCAATCGGTACCTCGTTAGATCCTTCCCAGCGCGAGACCACGGGACTTTTGTCATCCCTCCATATTAGGTACTCGCACCTGATTTTCCACCCTCAACCTCCAATTTCTCCCTCGTCAAAGCAAACGAATAACAGATCGAAATCCCGAACTCGATACCGAATAACCTTCGTCGTCACCTCTTTTGACATCCTCAAAAAAAAAAAAAAAAAAAAAAAATACGCCGCTGCCGGACCGATCCGGGACGGTGGCTTGCATCAAGACATATCATCGCCAGGTACTTCCGGCGCCTCAATAACCTCCAGGCCCGAAAGCCGTCATCGCATCGGCAACACCGTTAGTTAGCAAAACGTCAACAATAAACAACAAGGGCAGAGGAACAAGACAAACAAACCATGGCCGCATTCCTGCCCTTGCTTGCCTCCCTCTTTGGCTGGATCTACACGCTCGCCTGGAGCCTCTCCTTTTACCCCCAGCCGCTGCTCAACTGGCAGCGCCGCTCCACGTCCGGCACCACGGCCGACTTTCCTACCCTCAACATCATTGGTATGTTGTTCCAAGTGCGCTGGTTTGGTCTTCTCCTCCAAAATGCGCCCGTTGTCTCACATCATCATACTCCATCGATGATCAGCTAACCTCCTCCTCCTTTGTGTGCTCCAGGTTTTGCCGCGTATCTCGCTTCCAACGTCGCCTTGTACTACTCCCCCGTTGTGCGGAGCCAGTACGCCGCCCGCCATAACGGCTTGCTCCCCACCGTCGCCTTCAACGACATCACCTTTGCGCTGCACGCCCTCGTCCTCAGCATCATCACCGCCTCGCAGTATCTCCTCCGCCCGCTCTGGGGCTTCGAGCCTAGCGCTGGCACCCGCCCTAGCCGCTTCGTCACCGGCATCATTGCTGGCTCTGCGCTGGGCCTCCTCATCACCTGGATCATTGTGGGCGCGACGCCGTCTGGGAATCCGGCTACCGACTGGTGCGACCTGGATATTGCATACGCCGTCGGTTATGTCAAGCTCTTGGTCTCGCTGGTCAAGTACACGCCGCAGATCCTCGCAAACTACCGCAACAAGAGCACGCGGGGTTGGAGCATCTGGCAGATCATCCTCGATATCGTCGGGGGATTCTTGAGCTTGGCCCAGCTCGGCATCGATGGCTACCTGCAGCACGACTGGAGTGGCATTACGGGCAACCCGATAAAGCTGGCGCTTGGCAACTGCAGCTTGGTTTTTGACACCATCTTCATCTTGCAGCACTACGTCATTTACCGAGGCAAGGAGACCAGCGATGAGGAACAGAGGCTTCTTCCAGATGAAGAGAGGAGGCACCGTGATTAGATTAGATCCCAGACCACGCCGTTTTTTGATTGCAGACTTAGATTTTGTGGTGCTTTTAAACAAAGGGCGCCGCCTAATACCCACTGAGCAAGAGTAAGAAGAGGCTGGCTACCTGCAGTAAATATGCCATGTCATACATACATGTCCATTGTCTATAAGATCTACGGAGTTGGGGTATCCGTTCTATCGTGTCACACAGGCGCTGCTCTATAGTACAAAGTTGATAACTTTTCCCCCGTCCACGGGAATCGTCCTCCTGGCCGATCGCACATTGTATTTACCCTCGCCAAACCGGCTCCTACCTTCTTCCGTCTCCAGGATCGCATCCACCAGCCAGTCGCGCAGCGCATCGCCTTGCAAGTCGCTGGGCGGGCGCGGGATGGTCACCGTAGCGCGCAGCTTGCCATTGATTTGCACGGCGCACTTGATATGCACCGCCTGGAGCATCGGCAGGCTGCCGTCCTGAACGGGGAAGCTAGTCGTCTTGAAGATGGAGCCGCTGGACGGGTGAAGAAGGCTCCAGCACTCCTCTGCGAAAGCGGGCGTGATGGGCGCCATGAGGCGCACAATGGCGTCTGCCACCTGCCTCCTGATGCCCTGGTCTGCGTGTTTCTGCTGAACAAGCTCATTGGTGAGCGTCATGAGATCCGACACCACCGTGTTGAGCGCATAAATCTTGTCGTAGCCCCTCGTGATGGATTCAATCTTGTTCTGCGTCTCGCGCCAAAGCGCAGTCTCAGAATCCCACTTGGATAGCTTCTCTTTGTCGTTGCTCGGGGGCGACGACCCTCGCTTGGCGAAATACTCCTTTGCAGGCAGCGACTCCTCCGGCGACTTGGCGAGTGCCACCACCTGGTCGTGGAGCTTCTGGAGCCAGCGAGTGACGCCGGATATCTTGGACTCGTCCCAGTTGAGTACATCGGCGACGGGCGCTTGGAAGAGCATGTGCGCGCGCGTTGGATCGACGCCGTATTTGGATGTGAACTCAGTGGGGTCTACTCCGTTGTGCTTCGACTTGGACATCTTCTCAAAGGCCACTGTAGTAGGTTCTCCTGTGGTCACGACGAGAGGATTCGATGGATCTGTCAAGTCCACCTCGTCCGGCTTGAGGAACTTGCCCGACTTGGGGTCGATGTAGGTCTTGCCATGGACCATGCCCTGGGTAATAAGGCGCTTGAATGGCTCGGCAGATAAGGCGTCCGCTTGGGAGTACTGAGGGAGGAGTGGTGTAGTGGCTAGGAACTTGAAGATGAAGCGGGCATACAGAAGATGAAGAATGGCATGCTCAACACCTCCAATATAAATGTCCACAGGTAGAGCTTTGCCTGCCTCGGGGGAGAAGAGCTGATTTGGATTTTGCGGATCGGCAAACCGAGCGTAGTACCAGCTTGAATCGACAAAGGTGTCCATGGTATCGGTGTCTCTCCGAGCTGGGCCGCTACATTTAGGACACTCAGTCTTGACAAAGTCAGGCGCTGACTCCAGCGCATTGCCCGCCTTGCCCTGTGCCCAGTGGTTGTCCACCTTGGGCAGAAGAACGGGCAGCTGCTCGTCCGGTACGGGCACGGGGCCGCAAGAATCGCAGTGAATGATGGGTATGGGAGCGCCCCAGTACCGCTGGCGACTAATGAGCCAGTCTCTCAATCGCCATTTTGTGCCGGGCTTCGCAAGCTCTGCGCCTTCAAGCATCCGGATCATCATATCTCCCGCTTCCTTGGAGTGTTTGCCTTCGTAGATGCCGCTGTGCTCTGTCATGTAACCGTGTTCAACGTATGGCTCGTTCTCTAAAACCGTGGTTGATTCGTCCTCGGACGCGGTCAGGACCATTCGAATGGGTTGATCGATGTTGTGCTCTCGCCAAAAGGCATGATCCCGGGTGTCGTGTCCGGGCACGCCCATGACGGCCCCTTCACCGTAGTCGCCCAATACATAGGAGGCCACATAGATGGGCAGCGATTCCTTGGTAGCATCCGGAGTCTTCTCGTGAAAGGCGAGAGGGTTGATGCCTCGAATATGCGGCAACAGATACCCGACTTTGGAGTCTGGGGGCAGTCCAGGGAGGGTGTCGAGGAACGCTTGTAGCTCCGGATCGTGTTTTGCTAGCTGGGCCACCACGGGATGATTGGAGGCGAGGGCAAGATACTGGACCCCAAACAAGGTGTCGGGCCGGGTCGTAAACACTTCGAGGGCGGTATCAATCTTGATCCTACCAAGAGCCATTAAGGGGAACTTGACCACAGCACCGGTTGACTTTCCCAGCCAATTTCTCTGCTGAGAGATAACATGCTCTGGCCAAGCACCGTCCTTGGCCAAGCTGTCGAGCTCTTTCAGGAGCTCCTCGCTAAACTCGGATATGCGAAAGAACCATTGTTTCAATTTTCGCTTCTCGACTTTGGCGCCTGATCTCCACGAGAATCCGTTTGCATCCACCTGTTCGTTTGCCAGCACTGTCTTGTCCACCGGGTCGTAGTTGACCTCGGCCTCAGCTTGATATGCCAATCCGCGTTCGTGAAGCAGCAGGAATAGTTTTTGCGTGTGCTTGTAGAAATCCGGATCGCAAGTTGTCAATTCCTAAATATGGTTTCCTGTTAGCCCAATTCTATCTATACTGGCCGTGTTCACGAATGCATCATGAAGTAACACTTACTCGTGACCAGTCCCAGCTGCCATTCATCACGTCAAGCTGGCTCTTCATTTTGGTAATGTTGCTCTTAGTCCAGCCATCAGGTGGAACACCTCTCTCCAGGGCGGCATTCTCAGCGGGCAGGCCAAAGGCATCCCAGCCCATTGGCAGCAGCACCTTGTCGCCCTTGAGGGTGTGGTATCGAGCAATCACATCGGCAATGGTGTACACTCGGAGGTGGCCAAGATGGAGGGTGCCGCTGGGGTACGGGAACATGGGCAAGATGTAGCTATGCTTTTGGCCATCCGACGATGCGGCGGCATGAGGCTCGCCATTCGTAGAGTTTTGGTCCCAGACCTGGCGCCATTTCTTGTCCAGAGAAACAAGATCTACTGCATACCATCTCCGGGCCAAACGTCGAGGGTCGTGTCGCGTGAGGGCAGATGGCCGATTTATCGCCCCATTAGCACCAGCTGCTATATACCGGCGGCAAGGAGCCAGGCCGGCTCCTCTGAGGCTCATACGGCTGCCATGAAGCATGTGCATTATGGTACGGTCATATTGCGGCGTCAAGTCTCCCGCAATAGTCTTTGTGGTTGAGCAGAGACGAAGTGTGGAAGAAGAAGAAGAAGAGAATGTAGTGTCATAAACGGGATGGTTCGATGTCGATATGAAATCGCCGGACTTTTTTTGCACCAGCGGTTGTTATCGGAGCTCCCCCAGTGCTCTAACACGGCCCTGTAGGGGATCTGCGGATGCGTCATAGCGCTCCCCCAGTGCGATAGCGATAGCGACAACGGACGCAACCCCGCCATTGCTGCTGCTTAATGGCAGCTGCCCCGCCACCTTTGCGGCGGCATCGCAAAACTTTCTGCTTGCTCGTTTGTCCAGAGACTTGCAACTCTCTTGTTGGGTCAATTGACGCCTCTCTCTGGGCATCGGATACCGCGCTACGGACACTTCGTAGGCTTGCCGCATACCTACATCGTTTTCAATTGGCCAAATCTCCGGCAATTTGCAGCTCCCTTCGGCTGGAAAAACTGTAGCTGCGAGATAGTGCAACCCGACCGGCACAGACTTCAAGGGGGATTCTGATCTATCCATCCCGAGCATATCATCAGCCAGCAAACGAGTTACGCGCCGGCCTAACTCGACAATCATCGATCAATCCTCACTCGACCTTGAATTCCAACTGTTTTGCGTTCTTGTAGCGACACAAAACGAACGCTCGAACCGGCACCAACAATCTTTCAGGGCAGAATTTGGGCCTTCATTTATACCCAGCCAAAATGGACAAGATTACCGAGAAAATAGCGGCACTGCCGCCCGATGGGGAGTATTTCTCCCTCGAGTTCTTCCCTCCCAAGACGGCAATGGGATTCTCCAATCTGCGTGTTCGTCTTCAGCGAATGGAAAGAGCTCTGCGGCCTCTCTTCGTCAACGTCACCTGGGGAGCTGGCGGCTCAACATCGCAAAAGTCGCTTGAGCTGGCCGAGCTGTGCCAGCGCGAGATTGGCCTCACCACATGTCTCCACCTCACATGCACCAACATGAGCCAGGCCCTAATTGACCAGGCGCTGGAAGATGCGAGAGCACTGGGAATCCGCAACATTCTCGCCTTGCGAGGAGACCCGCCCCGCGCCGAGTACCGAGACGCCGACGAGCCGGACCAGACTGCTTCCGAGGAGTTTACATGGGCAATTGACCTTGTCAAGTACATTCGCAAGAAGTATGGCAGCTACTTTTGCATCGGTGTTGCTGCGTATCCTGAGGGCCATGGCGACGGAAGCCACCCCGAAGGCCAAAGCTTTGAACACGATCTCCCGTATCTCGTCGAGAAAGTCCAGGCTGGAGCAGACTTCATAATGACCCAACTATTCTTCGACATCGAGGCCTACGAAAAGTTTGAAACAACCCTGAGAAACCACCCTAGTGGCGCCTTCAAGACGATACCCATCTTGCCAGGCCTGATGCCCATTCAAAGCTATGCAATGATCAAACGCACGGCAAAGCTAAGCCACGCCAAGATACCGGAAGAGACTATGGCTCGCCTCAACGCTGTTAAGGGAGACGATGAAAAGGTCAAAATGGTCGGAGTTGACATCGTTAGCGAGTTAATTGGGCAGATTAGAGAAATCAAGAGCAGGACCCCGGGCCCCAAGGGCTTCCATTTCTACACGCTCAACCTCGAAAAGTCAATCTCTTTCATCCTCGAGAGAACCAAGCTGATTCCTGATGTCCCTGATGATGAGGAAGCCGTTGTCGATGAGCCTGTGGCAGCAGCGGCGCAATTGGTCGTACCAAAGATCAGCGTCAATGGTAATGTACCACCTCGCTCGTCCAGCCACGCACGCACGGGCAGAAGACAGTCCTCTGTCGGTTCGGACCCGCATAACCGTGTCATCGTTGGCAGGGCCGCCACGCACCCGGAGTGGGAAGCAACCAGCACAGAGGCTGGTATTCCCGCTGAAAGTGTCAACACTCGTGCAAACACATTGGCCATTTCTGAAGGCGAGGGCGCTCTTGGTCGTGAGGCGACGTGGGACGACTTCCCCAACGGTCGATTTGGTGATGCTCGCTCGCCCGCTTACGGAGAAATTGACGGCTACGGCGTCAGCATTCACATGTCCGTCACACAGGCCGTTAGACTTTGGGGACATCCAAAGGTAGCTAGTGACATTAATGACATCTTTGTGAGACACATTAGAGGAGAGATTTCCGCCATCCCCTGGAGCGAAGAAGACCTTCTTCCCGAGTCTTCCATCATCAAGTCCAAACTTGAGGCCATGAACAGAAAGGGCTGGTGGACTGTTGCTTCTCAGCCCGCTGTCAACGGCTTGCCGTCGACGGATTCCACCTTTGGATGGGGCCCAGCGTCTGGATTCGTGTTCCAGAAGTCATTCGTCGAGTTCTTCATCCCATCTGCCGACTGGAAGATTCTCTACGATAAACTCACATCTGCTGAAGTTGAGGAAGTGGTGTGCTTCTATGCCAGCAATGCTAAAGGCGACTTCATCTCATCCGATGCCAGCGGTGGCTCCGGTCGAGCCGTCATGAGCGCGAGTACGAATGCCGTGACTTGGGGTGTGTTCCCCGGTAAGGAGATTGTCACACCAACCATCATCGAAGAGGTCAGCTTCCGCGCTTGGAGCGAGGAGGCGTTTGATATTTGGGCCGAGTGGGCAAAGGTGTATGGACGAGGATCAGACAGCCAGAAGCTGTTGGACGAGATCAAAGAGGACCGCTGGCTTGTGAATATCATCCACCACGACTACGTGGACACGGAAGCTTTGTGGAGGTTGTTGATCGAGTAAGACGCGGTCACGGCTTCTTAGAGATGTTTTTGGAGTGAGGTAATGGATATAGGCGCTGGCAATTGTTAAAAGAAAGAACCAAATACCACGAAAAGCATCATTCGAATTATAAGAGAGAGAGTGTGTGTGAGAGGGGCTTATTAATCAACTTGTTCATCGGAGATGCGAGAGACGAGAGTTTGCAATCTCTTCATGCCTCAGACTCAACTCTGGCAAACAAAGCAAAACGAGAGAGGTAAACACCTTTTTAGATAAATCATGCGAGATACGCAGAGTTCCGAGTCAACAGGCAAGACTGCTCTCAACTCGAAGCCTGCACTATTCATTTTATATTTACTTTACGATCCACCGAACTTCATGTAAAAAGCATCATGTTTTGCTATTCGTCACTTTGGTCCTAGTTTGCTGTGTGTGAAGATCAAATCAACGAGTTACTCTTCTTCCATCATTCCCCTTATCGTCTTTGCTTCTTCATGCTCCAAAACCAGAGAGCACTGTAATAAATGAAAAAAGAAGAAAAAGAAAAGAAAAAACTATGACTCGAATGAACCGGTTTCCCCCAAGTCGTTGTTCAACAAAAGGGGGAGATGAAGTGACGCATTTGAGATTTTGAATGAAAAGCAAAGTCGTTAAAAACAAAAGGGTGTAGATGTGCCCATATGAAAATCGTGTAAGCAAAGAGAAGGGCAAAAGAAATTACCAGACATAAAAATAAGAGAAATACGCAGGTCTCTGAGAGGGAAACGAGTCAAAAGCAAAGTTCCTTTCCTCCGCCAACGCCGTGCATGCGCAAACCGTGGTCGCAGTACCTGTCCTTCATAATAGGTAACCACCAAGATCCGGTTTTCAAATATCAATCATCTCATCCATACGAGGATTTTTTTTCTTTCTTTGTTTTATTTTAGTGGGAGAATCTTCCACCCGCGATTCCGAACAGTGGAAACTGTCGAGGTGGAAAGCAGACAGAGAGCGTTCTCTATCATCCCTTCTTTTCTAAATCTCACCGTCGCCTAGCAAGTCATCGGCGTCACCCATCTGGAACGACTGCGAGACATAATGGCCCGAAGGCGGGTAGCTGACTGCAGGAGGTCCAGTGTTCATGCCAATGATCGGCCTGCCGCTGAACGAAGCTGGGACAGGCTGAACAGGCACGCTGACGGGGGAGAAGACGGAGGCAAAGTGGCCAACTGGGGCATCAGTCTCGGGCTGGGAATCGCTGGCATCGAGCAGCGCAGAAGCTTCAGCGATCGTAGCGGTGGCTTTGGCTGCGGCCCTGCGACCTGGAGTCCCGTTTCTCTGGCCCGGGAAGGCTCCTCCGGCCTTGGGCTTCTTGGTAGGCGTATCCTCGTGCTCGCTCCAGTTGTCAATGTCGGCGATATCATCCTCTTCTTCATCTGAAGAAGCTCGCTTGATAATGTCTGGCTGCTTGCGGCCGCGCTTTCGTCCAGTGCCAGTGCCGCTTCGACTTCCCGTGGCGCGAGCAGCAGTTGGCTTGGACGGCGTGGAAACGACACTGCCACCACCGCCGGAACCAAGATTGAGGCAGTTGGCGACATCACCGCCATCACTTTCGACCTTTCGGAGGGTGTCGGCGTCCTTTTTGAATGTACGAAACTGGAACTGAATACCATCTGGGGTAGACTGGCCAAAGTATTTGGCGATATCTGTAGAGACAATGGTTAGCTGTGTTCTGATAAGTCGATGAACAGATTGATGTTGTCCGACTCAAAGCAATGCAAAGATGTTGTAGATTGAAAGCAGGAGAGTGACGTTTTGAATGGGAAAATGACGAGTATGGGGGATCCATCTATTTCGGATCAAGAGTCAAGCGCCAGGGACCAAAGCATACTCTTCTTCTCCACGGCTTCCTGAGTAGCAGGAAGATCTCCGTCCGGGCAGATATTCTTGGGATCGAATCCCTGGTTGCGCCCTTCACGAATGATGACGGACTGTGCTCTGAGACGGCGGAATCGATGATTGAGAGCGTGCTCAGTCATGTCGGATCCATAGCAAGCAGCAATTTCTGGGACGAAGCGTCAACCTTCGCCCCAATAAAAACAATGATAAGATGAAAGGTGGCAGATGAAGCAGAAAGAGAACCCAGATTCAAGACCTTTCAATCATGGATTGGGGCAAGAGAAAGAGCAAACAGTACTGGTGATACATGAGAAAAAAGAGTTGCTTACCTTTGTAGTTCCATTTAACCTCGGGGTGAGCTGCGACAATGGCGCGTACCATACGGGCCTGGGCCTCGTAGGTTTTGTAGTTGGCCTTGGAACTGGCGGCAGGCATTTTGGTCTCGTTATGTTCTGATGGAGAGATCAATTGTTAGCAGCGAGTAGAGGCGATGGCGAGGTCGAATGACGAACGGTCAAGTTGGCTGAGACTGGAAATGGAGATCGCCGAACAATTTGGATGGAATAAAGATTGAACTGCGCAAAGCAATGATACTTGTTGATATTGAGAATAGGCAAAGGTAAAATGAAAAAATGACAGTGACGCACTAGGGTCTCTGCATCAAGAGAATCTTGCGGGCGGATGCGTGAAGGAGGAGGAGAGTTGAGAAGCAGCAGAGACGAAGAGCTGCTTAATTATGCAGATGGGGGTTGAAGCAGCTGGGTCACCTGACTTGTGCCAAAAGTTGAAGATGAAGTGACGAGAGGGCAAAGGCCAGAGTGAATGAGAGGTGAATCTGGTTGGGGGGACGAACCGTTGCCAGCTGGCAGAGGGCTGTCAAGCCAAAGGCGCGCAGGTGATGATTTCAGGGCGTGAAATTCAACGAAGTTTAAAAGGGAGTTATTTTTTAGATAGCGGTGGAGCTGAGATGCAACAAATGAAACGAAAGAAAATAGGTGTGATGGTTGATACTCAGATCCGGGCTTGAAGAGCATGGGTGGTTGAGGTGAAGATGCTGAACTTGAGACGCGGTATCAAAGGAAAAAGCAGCCTACCGAGAAACAAGGTTCGGCTCAACTAGGCATTTACCCGATTGGTTTTGAGAGCCGTTGAGGGCTTGAATAAGAATTAAACAAATCTGAGATGAAAGAGGATTGAATGGATGAATATGTATGGGTATAAAGACTGAAGACTAGAGTTAGTGGCTGGCTATGAGAGATCAATATGGGGTGTATAGCGACATACCTGGTATACTCGGAAAGCATCCAAAAGCGCAACGATGAGAGTTTTGTGTATGAATTCCAATATTGACAGGGATAAGGTAGCTGCCCGATGGAATGTCTATTGCATGACGATTATCCTGGAGAATCTTATACGGGCATCAATTAGCTTCTTCTTAGGCCAGAATACAATACAAAGTTTACAATCGCTCCGGGAATGAAATACAATAAGAGATACTAACCAGATGAGAGAAGGAGGAAAAAAGATAGAATCGAAAATGGCGAGAAACGAGTGAAAGGTGGTTGTATGGCTGCAGCTCGAGGTTCACCGCAGATGAACTTGGGCAGTACTTTCGCGTTCTCCTTTACGCGAACCGCGATTCGGCCCTAGCCGCAGCGGTTCCAAATGAGGAAAAAAAAGACCCAAGTATAAAGCGATAACAGGCTATCAATTTCGTCTTCTTCGCTGTATACGGCGCTTCGACACTCAGGAACACTTGATGTACTTTGGATGTACTTCGTATGTTGTATGCGACAGGGTTTCTCACCTTCTAGATGCGATGAGAAAGTCGGGGGGCTGGGAGTCTGTCCTGAGAATTTGGTGCAGAGCGCCTAAGGAGTGACTTTGGCGCTGAAATCGCATTAAGCAGAAAGCGACACATTAACGCATTTGGACGCTAATTACAATGAGAAGAAAGAATATCATGTATTTTGCTGTCAATTTTATTTCTATTTTCGATGTAGCTGCTATTTTGTGAGTTGTGGCTTTGCATTCACTTTCCGCTGCTCAGTATCGCGATATCTCATCTTAACGCTCTCAAAGTACAGAGCAGCAACCACGACAAAGATTGCAATGGGTGAATATATTCTAATCATAAGTCTATATAGAAGTAATACAGGTGCGTTCACACCCGGCCGACACCAGTACCAGCCATGGGGTTCATTAACATTAGTCTATTATATCCAAGTTCAACAGCACAGCGTTTATTTCCAACTCATTTCTTGAGACGGAATTTCTTGCAGCGGATGTCCCTTGACGGTAGCACCTCTGCCATCTCCGTAGAAAAAGTACTGGATTCCGAGGAAGCAGTCGCAGCAAGCCTGGAAGATGCCACACGCCTTGAATGCTAGCGGGATCTCGGTCGTGGCCGTAAAGAACCAGTAAATCTTCATGGCGTCACCTCCGATCCAACTAGCAAGCACGGACACTCGAAAGCCTTTGCAAGACTTGGATTGCGCATTGGCGATGATCTGCGGGATCGGAAGAATGGCTTCGACGGAGAGGCCGATGATTCCGACGAGCTCGGAATACGTGGGATAGTAGCCAGGTGTCATGCCGGACACGACAACTTCACCAGCGAGCAAGCCCATGAAGAGATAGACGATGAATTGCCAATATCTGCCCATTGTGTTAGCCTTTCCGATACTTCCAAGCGCTAGTTTGCTCTTTGGTGAGACTCAACGGTTTCGGCGATCTCCATTGCCAAAAGTTATACGGTCTTTGGGTAAAGACACCCTCTGGGGGAGCAAAAGGCAAGCCGGCCTCGCCGCCCTTGTTTGAAGGTGCAGGTCGGTGATCAAGAGCAATTTTGAGCAGCGCTACTTGCATTCCAACCATAATCAGAGACTGTATTAACAAGCTCGCATCGAATCGCGCGCCAGGCCAGTAAAAGATCCTATTCTCCCGCTCCGTGTTAGCCGTTGCGCCGGATTTGCCGGATAGTAGAGCCTTGAACTGGCTCATGCAAAAGGACGCACCTGAAGAACGATGCGACAAGCATAATCAGGGGAATGTCGAGAGAGAAGCCCGCGCTGGTCTTCTTGCGATGCATCGATACGGCCTGGTCGCCATAGGAGATGATGGGGGAGAGGATTAGGAAGAGCGGCGCGATATAGCCCGTCAAAGTCGCGAGCCAATGCATCATGGCGGATTATCGAGGTCGTAGGTTGCGAACAATTAAGGATGCGGTGTCGTCGTTCGGAACAGATGGATATCCAAGAAGTGGTAGCTAAAGAAGTGGCAGCGAGAATAAACGAAGGACACGCCGTGCTCCTCTGCCTTTCCGAAGAAGAGGACGGAAAATGGAATTGAATAGGTCAATTAAAAATATAACCGGCAGACCAAGCGCGCCGAAAAGTCAAGAGAAAAGAGAGGCGATTCGGGAAATGAATAGCAAAAGCGGTAAAAGACGAAAGCGAAGTTTAAGATTGCTGGTGAGATGGATTCGGAGCAACAGGGGAACAGGTGCAGAATGACCGCATCGATCGGCGTTAGAGCAGTACCTGGGCTTGGCGCGGTGCTTGGCGAGCTGGGCAGGTACAGCCCTACTGTCTTTAATTAGCATCGTCAAAGTTCTGGAGTCAGCCCTGATTCGCTAGCCTTGTATAAACTCATAGGCTAAGCAAACCTAGAGCAAATACGGCTTCATTCAGCATGGCCCATTGGATATGCTTTATCTTGGTATTAATGAATGGAATAAGGTATCAGCATATGCATAATAAAGGGAGCTGCCATTCAGCGCCTCAGGCTTGCTATCCGACATCCGTCATCTCAAAATTTAAGATAGTGATAATAGCAGATACGATAAGCATACAGCTACAGAAGCAGATACTAGAAGAAAGCAGCGATAATAGCAGATATCAAAAGAGGGTGCTAGTCGCAGCAGATACCCAAAGAACCGGGCATCTACAAGTACTTTGCTTACTTCGGTAAGTCCCATTAGAGTACCTGGTCAAAGCCTTTTCCTCGCATCCCTTTCCCAGACTTGAACTTGATGCTGTCGCTGGCGTGCTGGATAGTCAAATTGGGGCACTGGATAGCACTCCCATAATTTTAGAAGCTATTCAATCTGGTGATCTTGAAAATTTGGTCCAGAGAGGTACAATTAGTCCATTTGCTGATTTACAATGGAACCTTGAAGTTACAGCCCAGGTACGTACCCACTGGGGAGTACAATGTCTCAGAGTCACGAGGCACCACCTTCCTGTATTGACCCCATGTCTAGTCAGTGAGTGAGAGCCTCCAATCTTTTCCCCCTTTCTCTATTTCTCTTTTCCTATCCCTCTCCTTATCCCATCCCAGCAAACGCCAGGGTCTCTGATCCGGCCAAATTGATCAATGACATATTATTGATTCGGTTGCCAGATCAACTTCATCCGCCATGACGCGAAACGAATATCCGGCAATCGTCTCCCACTTTCAAGGGCAAGGAGAAAATACAATCATTAATGCTTCCAACGGCGTTGCAATGAATGAGTTTCCGCCCATGATTTGCTAGAGGTACATTTCAATACCCCCACGATAAGGGTCAGCAGCTTCCTGGATATCCAGTCTTCGCTGATGTGGGGCAAATGCCTTCATTCAACGAAGAGTTCCAGTACATCCTACAAGATCATGGGATAGATATGGTAAGCAAAGTAATGATCGCATCTATCTGGCAATGTTTGTATGCTAACTTGGTAGCGAATAGCACACAACTCCCATGGGCTCTGGCATAGAACGAATAGCCGGGAGCTCAGGTTGTCTCAGTTGGTCACGGATCTTGGACCCAACGGCTATGCTCAAACTCTCCAATGAGTTGAGAATATCAACCCTGCTCAACTGAAATTATTCGCTGTCGTTATGGAGTAGTCGCACGTTTATATCGGCAAGACCATGTCCCGGTGTCTGTACCTTCATCTCATTAATCCTAAGACAGACATGAGATGGCTGGTCACTTACTCCTCATTTGCCTCCCTCGAGTATGCCAATATCGCCAGTCGTCTCAACCAAGAAGTTTAACTGTGTCGCCAATGAGACTCGGTAGTGGATCTGGGAAGAGATGTCTACTTACAACTTGACGACGACGACGACGAGGTCCTTGTTTTATTGCCTATCCGCCGGATGATGAAGCTCGAAACGATATTTTCTGGGCAAATGTCAAAGCCGTCAACAGGATAGGTGCTATAATCTATATTCAGAATCAAGACAAGGCATGCCCGCTTCCCTTTCTATACTCTGCACATTATCTCAACGATCACAACAACGTGGCTTGGAGTAACAGAAGTATCGTCCTTGGCATGAGTGGATTCGATTCCCATATCCTCTTACAAGATATTTCTAGAGCGCTTGTTATATTTGCAATGGCGCTTGCAACAACCGTCTCCTACCGACATCTTGTCAAGTCGAGCACCACTTTGGCGACTGGAAAGCATGATACATCGTCTTTTAGTTGCCTCGGCAGCGTCAGAACCAACATCCAACTCTCACGACCTTGAACAGCGACAGTTGACTTGAAGTTTCATGTGAGTTGAAGTTCAAATTGATGTGGTCGAGAGATGAAGATGCGTTCAAGAGGGTCCCTAATATCCTGAGCCCCGGAATTACAAGCCCCTTACACAAGGTGGTTGTTCGAAAGATAATGGCCGGTGCAATAGCATCGATGAGTTGGGCATGGAGATTGCCATATTGGAGAATATGCAATTGCAAAACGCTCTACTGGCTTTACACAATAACTTGCAATATCTTGAGCCTATGCAGAGAGGAAGATATTAACAGAGAGTGGCGTGAAGAGGCATATGAGACATCACCATTTGCAGCAGTGCTTGCCCACAGCTCTTCTTCAACGCTTATAACATCTGACAGCTTATTATGTCGTCGCATTCCCATGGGAGGACAAAGGTGACGGCGCCGCGATGAAATGAACTGCGAGATTAGATAAAACCATTCTTGCGTCCGACATATCATCATGCCACCTGTATTATCAACCTTTGCTCTTCACTGTTGAGGCTACGATGATTGTTTATTATGTGCTTTTCAAGAATGAAATAGCGAGTACAAGGCTAATGTACTGGGAAACGATGCAAGAACAACAACCCAGACGAGGAAAAATGCTATTCATGGCCGTGGGATTTTTCCTCGAGAGGCTCACAGTTGCCATATCTCAAAGATTCTACAGCAGTTACACCCTCAAGAGATGTTGAGCAATGGACAACCTACCAACTGCCAATTCTAAATCTTCTGTTACCCTTTTGTTTTTCAGCACATCCTCCGGAAAGAACAATTCAAATGTCTTGAACACCGGGCCGAAATGCTGTCACACCAAGATTCATAGTAACCTTGGAGTGACAACGGCAAGACCTCTCCCAATGGGGAACTCCAATAGTAACGCTCTACGAAAACATTTTACCCACTTTGGCCACCATACTTCTCTTTCAGCATTCATATACGCATCCATACAGCGACGTATGTCTCAACAGTGAGGACATAGCCGATCCGAGAGGAGGTTTGGCTATCAATCATGGAAGCCCGAATATCAGATGATAACTAGTCGGCGAATCTCTACCATGCTTGTGGCGTGCTGGCCAAGGATATCCAGACCCCGGAGTACATGTACAAAGCTACCTTCGGTCGTCGCCATTGTCACAGGACCTTTCAGCTGCTCTTGGCCAGCAATTCTAGTCGCCATAGAGTCGCCGATGGCGGACGATCCATCTGTATGCATAAACAGCTTATGCCGGTTGTCGTTGTCTAGTACGAGCCGGCACTCGCTCGATGCACGAAATCTCCCCACGTCGGGTCCATGGACATCAGCTGCACAATACACACCACCAGCTCAACGTCTTTCTGAAACAGAAATAACGTTTTCTACTATCTGATGAGAAAGTTCAAAGTCAATTTACCGAAGCATCACGCGGCCCAAATCACGCTGAGACCCGTATATAGCCGGCGAGAAGCCCTTATGATCTGTCAACGGCTCGGGAGCTGTTAGGTGCTAACTTTCGCAATACGAAACACCCAACGTGGAAAAAAAAATGTCAATTTGCCAGGGAAAAAATGAAAAAGAGCGTCAACAGGCCTCGGAGTTTCCGCCACTAAAAAGCGCAAGATGCTTGAGCAGGGGTAGAATCGCCACCACTCTAAATCTGGGCATCGCCAGATCATGAGGCGGCTGGGACGTTCCGCGTTTAATTTAGTCGTGCCACACCACGGTCTACCAACAATCAAGTATGCCGCCAAGCTGTTAACAACGTGCCACACCAATGGCCAGTGGCTCAGCCAATAGAGCCTGAAGGATTGCGCCGACATATGCGAGAAGCAACCAAGCCCGAACAAAAGATCCAGGCAGTTGACGAAGCCCAATCACGAGGGGGGGTGCCCACGATAATACACAGGAAGAGCTGAACTTGAGCTGCGATGATGACGTTACATTGCGCCTGCCGCAGCATACGCCCATGTTTTTCACTTGACAAGCAACATTTCATTCAGTATTGCCACTAGTTCGTTTTGTGGACTTGCAGAGCTCATTTACCGATTTGGCTCTGGATGTTGGTTTGCCGAGGGCCGTCGCATATACGAGCTGCACAGGCTGGCCTCTCTCTGCACTTCACAGACTCATTTCGAACCCCAAGGGCTCGCGTTTCAGTCAACAATACACCGCTGCCACCTGAACAGTACCTGGGGGACCTGGGAGATGGGTAATTGTCTCTTATTGAAGCTCCTTTCCTCCGCGATGAGAATCTAGCTTTGTCTTTGCAAAGAGACAAGCTGTATAGGCAGATTTGCCTCCAAATACTGTCACATACGACCATATCCATCGCAAAATACGGGATCCCGTCCGCTCTCCCAGAGTCAAGACGATGAGAGGCTGATTAGTAGTCAGGTGGGTGACCACTGGCGAACACCGGCTGTTGTATGTTTGGTTCATTTTTTGGCTTTTTCTGTTTGTAAATTCGTCTTTGATGAGGCTCTCTACAACGAATAGCGTGGATTCGTCAACTCCCGAGGAGGTTTCACGGTTATCGAACGGACTATCTTGAACCTGGAGTTCCACGATTCGATCTCAAGGAGTAACTCGAACCCACATTATCTGGCCGACCGCCTTTTTGCATTGTTGAGCTATATGGTGACTTAGATCCAAAATGTAAGGAGCTGAATCGACGCTCGTAATCACTGATAAAACCGACGTTTATATGACTACAGTACTACACTGAACTCACAGGCGAGACAGGAGGCCCCATCGTAGCTTTATTCGCTCACTGGTTCATCCCTAAGTCTATATAAAGCTGTATTTAAGATCATCAAAGGCAGAAGGACATGAGACAAATGCTCAGGTTCTTTTGCCACGCCCTCAGAGGACATCCTGCCAACCAGGTCATGCCAAGTATAGGCGTTTCCCCTTTCATGGCTGGTTGAAGAGTACCAACAGTCATCCTATGTGTGCTCCAACTTTTTAATTCTACATTCCACTGGTTTTTTTTTAATGTAGATTATGGCCCATGATAGTCCTTTGTAGTGTAAAAGAACCGTTAATCGACTCATGCTTCTATCTTCCACGGGGCATTTCGGTGTATATGGGCCATCTTCAGCTTCAGATACACTGAACGGCGAAAGATGCCTTGGACGCCTGAACTGTGTGACATTACCATGTCAAATCACTCTTCTACATTATAGGATCAATCTACCCATGTCCAGGACGCCTTTGTATTCATTCCGTGGCATCTAACTCGTCCGGATCCAGCGGTTAGAAGAACTCACAAGGCTCCCCAACAGAAGGATCACCTCAGCCCCCCCGATCTTTTGTCTCTAAACAATCAGGCTGTGTGTAACACTCCACGCAACAAAAGTAAAATCCTTTGTCAAAAGTGAGAGGGTGGTGGGCCACGCAAAGCAATGCAGTGAGGCCTCTTTTCATCTCGTGTGCGGTACCTGAGCTAAACACCTCTTTCGCAGCAAATCACCAAAAAGGGCAGACCAGCGGTTCGCATGAGGGAATCACCGCTAGGACTGAAATCTTTCGTGACAATTCGGCCGAGAGAGGATGTGAAGACAGGGGAGTGGACTAGGTTTCGATTCCTTTAGAGACTAACGAGTTCATGAGGACGATGGGGGGAGAAGGCATGGGATTTTCCAAATACAGATGTGATATATATCGAGGATTATAGCACAGGCCACGAAGACTATGGAATCAATGCGTAAAGAGCGGGGAGCATACGCAACAGGCATCTCGGGCTTATTATAATGGCAGTACATGGTGATGATCGTCGATAGTTATCGAGTGTTCAAAGCGAGCCAACGAACATCAAGCAGAATCCTAAGATTACGTATTAAGACGTCAGATATCGAGAGTTTCCTAGCCTCGCAGATGCTTGTAATATATCATTATACCTTTCTTTCTTGTGTTGTAGCACACCTCCTGTAGAAGCGTATCAAGGTTTGCAGATTCACACATCAAACAAGGAGTCTTCTGCAGCCTCTTGACACAGATGCCTTCACTTCCAAGGTCACTCTGGAGTATAGCCCACTAGACTGACATACCTCATCATAATTCCCAATCCCCAAAGAACACAAAGCCATAAGCATGCTCATTCACAATTAATCCAGAAAAGTAAGCATCCAGGTCTAGGGTAGCGCCCCAATAGAAAGCCTGTACGGAAGAACACCCCAATTCGACAACTGACGCTATTCCCATGGGGCCTAACTCCAAAAACCGTCGGCTGATATGGCAATCCATTGTTCGATAGGTGGACGGATTTGGGCATGGAAATCACCACCCCTCCCCTAAGCAGGGAACCGAATCCACCAGCCGTCGGCCAGATTACTCGCAACAGAAGCCATGCACGCGATATGGATTGCCTAAGGCTATGAGCTCGATGGAATGCCGGGCGTGTCGAACCACTCCAAACCGATGTGCTCGCCACGGAGGCGAATGCCAGTAACAACCACAGCAACAATAGTACAGCAAACTTGGAACACCGCCAAATGCGATCCAGCAGGCCCTGTATAACCGGCCCTGCAAAGGACCATCCATTGACACAGCCAGGGGCCCAAATGGGGGATTCCAAAGTGCTCAGCTAATCACCTGAAACATCACACGGCCAAGGGGGATAAAAATCCGGTCTTCGTTTCGAAGGAGTCATCTCGTCCCTCCTTCACGGACATACTCTCGGCAGGTAGGAATCAGCCGACAGAGCAGTCAGATCCTTCTGCTCCGTATTCTTTCGCGGACACTTTCCCTTCTTCTACTTCTTCTTCTCCCCTCTCCGCGCGCGTGCCTCTTTTGTCGACTTTGCGTTGGCAGCGAGGACTAAGAGAGAGAGAGGGCGTCGCCAGCAAAAGTCCAATCACATACTGTACAATCACGCTGCAGGAGAGCTTCGGCGAACTTGAATCACCGCCTTTGACGAAATGGGCCAACCCGGCGGCCTGCAGGGTAAACATAGCTGGGCCCTGGAAACCGGGAGAAGGGAAGGGGGGATGGGGAAAAAGAAGAACGACGAGATAAGAGTAAGCCAAGGCCCCGGAACCTTTCTCACTCTTACCTACATGCGGCATTAGTAGCACGAGTATGCGTAAGTTCCCGAATCCAGCAATGCGGAACTGGAAAACCCCACAATCCTGTACTCATAGTCTTTGATACAACCCGAGTCTGACTGAGATCTTTGCCTTCTATGCATGCTCAACCAGGCCAGAAGAGAAGCATGGGTGGCACTGCCCATCCATGGAAACTATGGAACAATGATGCCCATGCTCCAAGACCCAATCTGTTCAAAACAGAAGGAAATGCAGGCTGAACATACGAGACCTCCCTGCAGTGCCTCTGGGGGCCTTTGGAAACCTTGAGACCGGGCGTCGATTCGTAGCTGGGTAAGTGCTGCAGATGACCAGTTACATCAACGGCAAACGAATAGAGAGCTGTATTGTGCCACACCTCTTGGTCACCATGCCGGCACTAAAGGGATTTATCAAAATGACGAAAGTGGGAAGCCATGGCTGTGTGCCGAAAAAAGTAACAGACAGGCCGGATTGGGTGCCCTCGCAAGTACTCGTATTACCTCAAAGCTGGCCATTTTGGCGGAGCAGAGTTGAAAAGCCCGAAAATCGAATGAGTTGATTAAGGGATATATGCAGTATAAGCACTTTGCAGGATTGGCTGACGACGGAGAAACAGGGGCAGGGTGATGAAGTTGGTCAACATGAAGAGAGATGAAGAGACGGCCAATGCCTCTCTACTCACTCACGCACTCACACCAGCTGTCGGGCCCGGTCTGAGTAGCGTCCCTGGTTGTGAACACGACGAAACGAAAAGCAAATTCACCATCTGCCCAGATACACGGTTTATCAAAGATGAGATTGGCATTGCCAGTAATCCCTGCTCTGCCATGTCATGAGGTTGCATCGGCGCCTCTCTTCAAACCGATGCGACGCCACACTTCGGCTTTCTCTCTGTCTCCGGCTCCCCCCCAGAAGCAAAACGCGCGCTACGGGGGTAGCCTGTCAGGATCTGATTACCACCCCCATTCAGCCGCGGCGGGCCGTGGGCCACGATCACAGGCCACCACTGCCCGTCATCGAAGAGCCCTTTTCGGGGCGTCTCCCCATTTCCGTGAAAGTGTGAGGCCGTCTCCGCATCCCGTCTGGAGTTGGAGTTGCTCCGGGCTCGAGCGAGCACACTCGTATCGTATCGTATACTTGTAATCTTGCAGGTGCCGTGCCGCAACAGTGGAATCACCACAGTAGCTCCGCGGATGGCCTCTCATTGAGCCCACACTTCTCAACCCGAGGTGCTTTGCCTCATCTCGCCGAGAGGGGCATTTGTCTTCTCGCTATAGGCGTGGCGCGCACGTACGCTCGGCTCGGCGTCAGCCCCCCCTCCAAGCCTAGTTCCGTGCATATTCCCCCTTCCCCAAGAACTTTTCCGGGGCAATTCTCAGGTGGACCCCTCAAAAGGGCCTGTTTCGTTCTGGACACCGAAGGAAAAGAAGCCTTCGCTCGCTAACTGTAAACGACACGCCCCCAGTCAAAGAAGCGCCGTTTGGACGCCGAACTCCAACTTTTTTTTCCTCTGCTGTTTCGATAGCAGCGCCGAGAGCATGACACTCAGGAGAGGTGGTTGGCGGATTGGTGGTCTTCGATCGAGCGGCTGAAGCGTTCGTGCGATCCAGCGGAACGCCTGCTGCCGTTAGAGAAGAGCCGGACAATGAGCACGCGGCATTTTCCCCTCATTCTTTCTTTGGCCGTGGCGTGTTGGGCCTGAGCAGCCCGAACATGTCATCGTAAAGTCCTAGTCTGTACAATCCTAGTCTGTACAATAGATTACTACTTAGTAGCCAGTTCTGGTCGCTGAAGAGAGGGAGCGAGAGCGAGACAGAACCAGATAGTACAGTAGAAGCGGCCCTGGCAGACCAAGGCCTCCTCTCCTGCGCAAGATCTGCCGCTGCCGCTGCCGCAGCCGCAGGGTGCTCGGCAGATGAACTGCGTACCGGGAGCAGAGAGGCGTCCGGCCGTGGAGGGCAAGTCGTAGTAGTAGCACCAACCTTGTGGAGGAATAGGGAATAGGGCCGGCGACGATGTCACCTCAGAGGCCACACGATGCCGCCTATCTGCTGTAGCTCATGTTACGATGCTAATGGGTGCCGCGGGCCGCCGCTTCGCTGCTGCTAGAATCTCTGTTTTGGCTTCTTCCCGCACACGAGGGGCTTAGCCACCAGTACAAAGTAGGTAGCAGGCAACCTCTGCAGTGTGCCGGGATGCCACGAGGGATTCTCCTGGCTGCGCAGGGCCAGCCCGCCATCAGTCCCAAATTCCGGCTGTTTACGTGATCCTGGTGACATGCACGTGGAAACGCCAGGGATGGTGGCATCAGGAAAAGGCTTAGGAGAAGACACATGGGCGCGCATTCTTTTCCTTTTTCCGGTCAAGACCCAGGCGAAACTTGTGGGGGTCAAGTGCTCTCTCCTTGTGTTGTTCCGTGGAAACAAGCGCAAGGAAGACGAGAAGCAGCAACAGCACTCGTAAGACGACGTGCTGCTGCTAAGGGGGTGGAGAGCCAAGCATCTCCCCTAGCAAGCCATACAATTTCAAGGACGCACACGACCTCCTGTACCTCTGCAAGAGGCTTGAAGTGCGGTTTTCATTCCGCCCCAGCAGTACTTGCACTCTTTCGAGGGTCCGCGGCGTGCTGCGGCGTATTGCGAGTCGGCGGTCGTTTAGCACTGATCCATGGCCCAAGCCTCGTTTCTTGTCCGAGTTCTAGAGCGGGCTACTAAACACTCGTGTTGGATAACCGGGCACGGGTATCATCCAAACGCCCCCATCTTCTCGTGTTGGCTTTTGGAGCATCTGCCGCAGACAACATCTTTGGTAGAAGACGGGGCTTGCTTCTTGTTAGGAAAGCCGTCATGTGTCGGCTAACCCAGTCACGGTCCTCAACCATCCCAAAGAACGGCACTTGCGCTGGAAAGTGCCGAAGGAAATGCTTATTCTGGACTGGGGTGCACTGTAGCGGCACATGGCACCTTTCTTTGGCCTGCTCCTTTGCCAAGGGCAGCTTGTAATAACTATTACATACACGCTTTGTCATTCTTCGGATTGCCGCTCGCAAGAGTGGATGCTCTGTTTCTTATCTCGCAAATCTTCCCTTTGGGTCAGCTCCTAGCTGCGCCGGACGCATGTTCCGCTAGGCATGATAGCCGGGGAGTTGCTTGCGAATTTCGAAAGGCCCGCTCATACCAGCTTGTGATTTCCCCGAATTCCGGAGTAAAAAGACTCCAGCAGGGCGGTTCGCTCGGTACAGAACGACTACCCGCGATGGGGGTGTCCTTGAAGGTGGGCACTCAGGCGCAGCCATGCAAGTCGAGACCAAAGGGGAAATCCGTCTGGGATCATTACACCAAATTCCGCGGCCTGCAAGGGCAGAATAGCCTGACAACTGCAGCTACAAGCAACTGTATGTACAAGTCGGTACTGCACTGTATTCGGTTGTCTGATCTAGGTCGGCGGCTGACTCCTTACTCCGTAAATGTGCTCGTACCTGCAATGCACGGCGGCATTTCAGGTGCGACTCCGTGTGATATTTCGATATTGAGACGGCATCAAAGCGGCTGGAAAAGCCAATCTTTCTGAGACAGAGGCATCCCAGAACCTAGCCTAGCGCGCTTGGCGTCTTGCTTTCCGTGCTCGTACGAGATCGGGACCAAAGCTTGAAGAGCTTATTTCTCAGCCAGTTCGAATTTCACATGGCACAACAAGGCGCGCGGCCGCTAGGCTTCTCCTGTCTCGGGTCCGTGCAGGTAAATCGTTCCTGGTACAGTCCGGTAAGAGTACTGTAACATTGCCCGTGCACATTTCAGTTTGGCTGCCGATTCCGTGTTGCTCCGTACTGGGCTCTGCGAATGCTTATTTAGGCAACTTTGCGTAGTCGGTATACACCACAGCTGCAACTCTGACTTCATGCTTGCCACGCTATTTGCATTGACAGCTGCAGTTATTGGCAAGTGCCGTGTCGATTAAAGCATTGCACCACGATGGACAAAGGAGTGCATTCGGAGGAAAACAAAATGGTGCCGAACTCATCTTCTGACAGCCGAGCGGCATTGGTGATGTAGCGAGGCTGGAAATACGAGTATAGATTAACTCCCGAAGGCCGTACGGCACCTTGTTTCATCTGACATTCGTCCCGGCAGCTGTGACGTACCTGTCGCACAGCCCCGTTGGTAGAAACTTGCGGATGCATAGTTGGAGTCCGTCTCCGGGGATTGTTCACTTGTTGCATGAATGGCGATCAGTGTCTTACAAGTAGTAGTATTGCTTTGGCCGCGTCTGATCCACACGCAGGATTTCCACTTTCAGTGATAATCACCGGCAGTTGCTGGGCCAGAAGCGCCTTGGGTTTGATTAAAAATGACAAGAGACTTGTCTCCAAGTGACCGATTCTAGGGTTCCCACTGATCCGGCATCCGAGCCCTGTAAGATTGCGTTGACTACGGACTTCGAGCACGGGGGGAAAGAATGTCACGTTCCCCCTAAATGGTATTGCAACAGCTGTGCCGGCCGAAAGGTTCTGCGTATGGCTGTACTCCGTATGTGACATACCTTTATTTTGGTTCTTGCTGCTCGTGCCGTATCATCCCCTTTTGTCACCGTATACACGGGAAGCCATCCGAGGTCCCGGCATATTCAAGCTGTGAGCCCGGCTCTTGCCTTTGCCTGGGTGCAAGGACCATTTGAAAAAGGGGCATTTGCCGCCTGATGGTAATGCATATCTAGGGATACCTGTGAGTACATGCCCAGCGTCGCACTTGCATCGAGTGCCCTGTGCGGATTACGCTCAGACAAATTGCGCCGGATGCATTGAGTGTGTGCCAGTGACATAGTCAAATCAAGGAAACAAGGTTGTAACGCCGATGTCCTCTTCAGGTGGATTCACTTACTTGGAGAAAACAGCGGATGATATTCCGCATGCTGTAAGTCGGGCGGCTGCATAGCTGAACGCACTATTGCCGTAGGTAGTATTTGCCGCTGGAACACACACGCTCCTGAAAAATTCGAAGATTATGCTGTTGCTTTGCAGTCCTCATACAACCTCAGAAATTTACTCAACTTGATCCGGCGTTGGTGGCCCTTCATTTGATGCAATGACTCTCTATTTGTCAAATCGACACTACCACGTAGTAATCTCGCGCTCGCGGTAAGCATTGCCAAATATGTAAACGGCAGTTGTCGAACATGACTAGTTCGACCAACTAATGACTCAGAATCTTGCTGGTCAAGTTTATTGCATTACTCGACATTGAATTCGCCAATCATAAAACCTGGCAGCATCTGAGTGCATTAACTGTCACGGCATGTATGCTTTGGAGTAAAAGCATGGATTGGGGAGGCATGCCGGCAGATGAGTTCCATGAATCGTGATTCGCGTGGGAAGCTCCCATTGTGTGCTCACGCAATGTAAAGTTGCCCTGGCGTATAAGCTTGGCAGCTTCGGACGCAGTCGGGATTCAACACCTGAAAGTAGGCTGTGATCCCAGCAAATTAGTCAATTGTTGCTGCTGAACAGTAGGCTATTCCCGAATTATCATTAGTGCCGAGCCTTTTTGGACTTCGCTTCTCCGTCGGGACCGAAAGACGGCGAAAAGGATCACCCATCTTTGCCACGATGCGAGGTTGCGAAAGCCGCTGCAGGCCTGTGTGGCTTGAAACTCAGCCGTAAATGTACTGTTTTCTGCGTAGAAGAATAAGTAGTTCACGATTTTTTTTTGGCGATCCCTGGCAACGAGTAGCGGCTGAAAAGAAGAAGAAGATAGAGTTGCAGATCAAAGACACGTTACACCCAGAAGTCCTACGGTGAGAGAATTGCCAATGTACGATTGAGCACTCGTATGGGTTGGTCCATTCGTGGCGGGGTGAATAGCGAACGGTTCATGTTTGAGATTAGCAGTCGTAGCAGCAGCAGCATCAGCAGCAGTTTGATTGTATTCTTAGATGGTCTTTCCTAGATCCTTCTTTTTTCCTTCTTTAGATTCGGTGATTCAAAATAGAAGACGCAATAGTCATGGTGTGTGAGGAGTCGCGGGACGCGCTAAAAATTAATAGATTGATGCTCCTGCTTACATGGGCCGGTCAGCACTGAGTCCATTTCAAGGATAAGCAGGAGAGGCTGGAATTCTGCACGTAGTTTTGCTGTAGTGTCAGATCTGAGCGTCAAGGGCCATGCCGGCTAAGTCTTCGCCGGTCTTACTCCGCATCCATGGCGGAAGGGGAACTTGTCAGCCATGCACTAACAAGCGACCCAGATTTTCATCTGTCATGGACCCTGAATATGTGTACTAACAACAATCAATATTCTCACGTCGTACTTGAGCATGTCAGTTTGTAGAGTGGCACCGCCACTGTTGCCGCAGGAAATGCTTTCTATTCGAAGTTGTTAGCTGAAACACTCTACTAGGTAGCTATTGAAAGGGCGAACCGTTGGCAGAACCAGGCTGAGAGCATCAAATAATATTAGTACTTTGTGTAAACAGAGAATCTTGTTTCTCCGGATTGAACAGATTCTGCCGGTATGCAGTGCTGCCCCCCTGGAAGGTAACTTCTGCAGTAGTGAATAATGCTGCAAGAACGGACGGAAGACAGGTAACATTAGTAGCACTATTACTGTACTAGCCGTAATACCTATGGTAGGGGTCGCGAGATGTGACGACGTCGATGAAAGACTCGGCCGAGCTGGTTGGTTCTCACTAGGTATACCGTGATTAGCGTTGCATGGCTGATCCGGAGATGGTGCTTGTTCAGGCAATTGGGAGCCGGGGCTCCCATGCAAGAGCCGCGGACTTTCGCGGGCAAACCGAACGGCGAAGTGGGCTCTGGGGTACAGACAGGCGTGTTTAGTAAGTGCTATCAAAGCAGCTCCAGGTGCCGGTAGCTGGGTGAATGTGCCAGGGGTTCTTGTACTTCGTACGATGTATTTCGTCCCTCGTATGCAGTACAAGGTCTGCATCCGCCAGAATCCTGCGTCAGATATTTCGTACTCGTTAGCAGTTCTCGATGGTGCCCGCGCTCGTCATTCTCATTTACAAGGTGAAAGAGCGGATCCAGGCACGCTGGTGTGGTTGACCCGTTGCTCCGAGGGGGGGACGGCACCATCCAGCTCTCGGTGATGTACAGCATTAGTAGCCCGGCACATTCGGCGAACTTTGTGCTTGATGCTCCGTAAAAGCTACAGAATGATAAGGGCTAAGCAGCCGAGTGCCCAGTGTGACGACCTCCGTGATTTGCATATCTAGCTGAGGTTGGTTGCGTTGCTTACAATCACACGCGACAGGGCATTTCGTACTATCCTTGGGTTTAGTCTAAACTCCTGGCAGAATGTCAACATGCATGTTGGGTGCAACAGCTATTGTTG